AGCAAAAAAATATAAAATAAAAAGCGTACTCTATATGAGATTGCAATTCAAAATATTAAAGTGCTACAATTGATGTATTAAAATATTGATTATGAAAATCGTAAAAAATAATAATGATTATATTATACTATTATTTTTAAAAGTTAGTAAAGGCCTTAGAAGTGTATTTCTCCATAGTTTTAACAAAAAATTATTGCAAGATCACAAAATGGTGGTGGTGGAAGCTGATGTAAATTATGTGCAACCATTTGCAGTTGATGACTTGGATATTTTTTCAGGCGAAAGCCATTCAGTCCTGTGAAGAACAGACCTGTTAGGATCGTTGGGTCCAGTCCCATTCTTTTTGGCTAATTAAAGGTATTGGCCTTAGTCTTTTATTTTTACAGAACCCTAGCTAATAAATAAAAAAGGGATAGTTTTTTGACGTGAAAAAGAAAGTGAAAGAGAATATGTCGAAAGGGAAAAGAAAAACTAGTAAAATAGAGAGAAAAAAAAATTGGTTGAATAAAAATCGATTCATGATTTGATTGAGTTAAAATTTTATTAATATGTTCATGATTAAATATTTTACATTTTGAACAGTGGAGATTAGATTTGATACTCTTTAGGAATAAATTCATTTTGTATTTATTGAATCACTTACTTGATGAGATTTTTTTAATTATTTTTCTAGTTATTGATTAACTCTAATTTTAGTTAGAAGAGAACTTTATATTTCAATTATTTGATAGTTAAAATTTTTTGGGTGGTCTATGATATTTTCTCTCCACACTGGAGGGTTTTTCACGTAACTCTTGGTGTTCAACATATATATATGGGATCTATTATAACTCTTGGTACCCTATATATGCATAGAGGACCCAAAAACCTAATAGCTTAAGTTTTTAGGCTCAAATGGTGTCCAACATATATATATGGGATCTCTAATATGCTCCTGTGGCTCTAAGCATGGTAAATGTCCCAACAACTAGTATCAGAGCTAAGGTCATGGATTTGAGTCCCAATAATGCTGCTACAGAAATGGAACACCGAAGTGGATGATGTATTGAATCAACCTAGAATGTAAGCTTAAAGGGCACTAAGACAACAATGTGACCTAAAAACACACTAGAGATGTGAGGTCACCTGGCTACGACGTGACCTAAAAGTATACTAAAGATATGAGGTTGCTTGGCCTATAAAAAATGTTGATAAGATTTACTCGCATTGAAGAGTCGAGGTGAAACTTAATAAGAACTCACAAATAAATGAAAAAGATTGTTGGGATAGTTCACATATGAGTAAAAAATCTTACATCATTAAAAAATCTTAATGAAATATCTTATATATACATAGAAGACCTAAGAACCCAATAAACCCAATAGCTTAAGCTTTTGGGCTCAAGTAATATCCAACATATATGTATATGCTCTCTAATGTGCTCTCATGGCTTCAAGTGTGGCAAATCTCTCAACAACTGGTATCAGAACCAATGTTACTAGTTCAAGTCCTAATAGTATTGTTGGGGCGTGCCCTTATAGCTCCAAGTATGACAAATCTCCCAACAATTGGTGTCAGAGCTAAGGTTATTGGTTCGAGTCCTAATAGTGTTGCTGAAAAGGAGATTATTGGTAGATCAAAGGTTTGTCGCATCCATCAACTTTATGTACTCGAACGTCAGTATTAAAGTGAAAGGTTCAACTTAAATGCAGTGAATATATGATAATATACAGATGCAAAACACTTAAGTGGATGATATATTGAGTCAACCTGAAGTGCAAGCTAGAGGAGCATTAACGATCATCAACTCCATGTGCTCGAATGTCGGTATCAAAATGAAAGGTTCAACTTAGATGCATGGAATATATGATAATATACAAAAACAAAACACTTAAGTAGATGATGTATTGAGTCAACTTGGAGTATAAGCTTAAGGACCATTGAGACAACCTGGGCCATAAAGTTGAGTGTTGTAACTTGACCTAAAAGCATATTAGATATGTGAGGTTGCTTGGCCTAAAAAAGTTGTTGATAGAATTTATTCGTAACTTTGATGTAGCAAATATATGATAATATACAAAAGTGAAACACCTAAGTGGATGATGTATTGAGTCAACTCGGAGTGCAAGCTTGAAGGACATTGAGATAACCTAGGCCATAAGGTTGAGTGTTGTGACCTTGCCTAAAAGCATACTAGATATGTGAGGTTGTTTGGCCCAAAAAAGGTGTTGATAGAATTTACTCGCATAGGAGAGTTGAAGTGAGACTTGATGAGAATTCATAAGTGAACGGATGAGATTGTTAAGATGGTTTACATGTGAGTAAAAAATCTCATATCACTGAAAAATTTTAATAAGATGTTTTATATATATAGAAGATCCAAAAACCCAAAATCTTAATTTTTTGGGCTTAAATGGTATCCAATATATATGTATGAGCTCGTTAGTATGCTTCCATTGACTCAAAGTGTGACAAATCTACCGACAAGACCAACTCCCTTTCAAGAATTATTGGATTTCGGTCGGTGTAAGAGGAAGAGAACCCAAAGCCCCTCAAGCTCTCACCATTTTGAATTACTTACCCACCTCTGCATCCAAACTTACTACTTCTCAGCCTCTCGTAACTCCTCGATGGAACGATTATAATCACAGCAAAGCATTTACTAGAAGCATATTTGCCCTGATGGGATCTCCTCAGCCACCAAAAACTCATCATCGTCGGATCATCCTTCTCAACACTCAAAACAAAATCAATGGTTTCATCAAGTGGTCTATCAACAATATTTCCTTGATATTGCTTCCAACTCCATACTTAGGCTCCATCAAATATGGCCTCAATAATTCTTTTGATCCGAAACGCCCTCCGGACAACTATGATGATAATTACGATGTTTTCAAGCCCCCGGTGAACCCCAATTCAACTCATGGAAGTGGAGTTTACACCATTAACTTCAACACCACTTTGGACGTGATTCTTCAAAATGCCAATGCGTTAGCAAAAGGTGTTAGTGAAATAATACATCCATGGCATTTGCATGGCCATGATTTTTTGGTGTTAGGATATGGAGAAGGGAAGTTCAGAGAAGAAGATGGGAAGAAATTTAACTTGAAGAATCCACCATTAAGAAACACTGCTGTGATCTTTCCTTATGGATGGACTGCATTGAGGTTTGTTGCTGATAATCCAGGAGTTTGGGCATTTCATTGTCACATTGAGCCACATTTGCGCGTGGGAATGGGAGTTGTTCTTGCCGAAGGTGTCCGTCGTGTTGGTAAAATACCCAGAGCTGCTCTTGCTCGTGTTATAACAGGAAGTGTTCATGGACCAAACTAGCTGAACTGAGACTGGATAATCATTTAATTTTTGTATTAGGATTCTTGCCATTTGGTCTTTACAAATATCATATGGCACTAAATGACAGTTTGGTTACAACTTTACAAACCTCATAGCAAATTGTGATGTTATGCTCTTGAATCCTAAAATTACTTGCTATTTTCTTCTTTCTTCCTATTTTTATTTCTGTTATGTTGAATTTGTATCTTTCATTTCTGTTCTACACTTCTACCTAGTTTCGAAGCATATTTTGCAGTTGCCTTTGGGTTGGGGAAATGGTTAATTGCCATAATTTCCATGGGCTGGAATCTTTTAATTTGGCCGAATATCATTGGATGGGCTTTATTTGGGTTGTTGACTGAAGTCTTCTTACGCATTATACTCAATTAAATCAATTTTAAAATTTTATTATGTAATCAATCATAGATAATTAGGCACTTTGGCCAACAATCTCTCTAGCCTTTTCTCTCGCTCGTAACTCATAAAAGGAGAAAATGGATGTCCCTGATTGCAAAATTTTTAACAATATATGCTTCCGTAAATAAAATCTGCTAGTCAATTTTCCGAATACCTCCAAATTAAGAGCAAAGATTCCTTTTTGCTTTCTCTCCTTTTTTTTTTCATCGCCTTTTCTCTCACAATATTTTTTGTGGGAGGAAAATTTCAAAGGGAGTACAATAATTTTCCTTTAAAAAAAATTGGGTGCAATCAAAGGAGAATAGTTTTTTTTTAATCAATAATTTATTTTTTAATTTCTCTTACTTTTTAAGCACCAAAGAAGGTTTTTGATGAGAAATTTTGATGGGAGAAATTTGTTTAATCTTTTTATAAGAATGGCATGTCACCCAAAATATAAGAATAATTTGTTTTTTTTTTTCATTTTTAAACTAATTCACAAGCTTTTGTTGATAATATAATTAGAAATGTTTTAGATTTTATTTGAATTTATAAATATTTTTACATAAAAGATTGTAACTTCATAAATGAAAAAAATTATGAAAGATTCGAATTTAAATTTTAAATTACATAAAAGATTGTAACTTCATAAATGAAAAAAATTAAGAAAGATTCAAATTTAAATTTTAAATTACATAAAAGATTGTAACTTCATAAATGAAAAAAATTATGAAAGATTTGAATTTAATTTAAAATTTATTAGATATTATTTTATAAAAATAATTATATAAATTAATTAAATTAATATATACTTTTCATGTTAGTCGAAAACTAATAGTTCTTTTGTTTGGGCCGCATGTCGCACTTCCCACATCGTTTCGGCTTCTAATTTTTTTTATTTTTACTTTCAGAAAGAAAAAATACGACCATCCTCATAATTGAAGAATTGTTTTTAATTAATAATTCAAGTTGTACCAAATTATATGAACATATTTACAAGCATGGCTAAAGCCTAAAAGAAGGGGAAAAAAATAGAAGTAACTCCTTTAATAAAGGAAGATAACATTGGATGAAGACCAATTGTGCATGCATTCCTATAACCAAGGCCAAAAATAATTGGTGACTGGTCAGGTGTTGCCTTTTAGAACACGTTCCCCACTCTGCAATTTCTTTTGTCTTAATTACACAAATTATTAGTTATTAATTATTATGAAAAAAAACGTCTATCCCAAGGATCAGATTGTATTAACCTGTCCTTCATTTTACTTTCCTCTCCTTTTCTTTCTTTTCTTTTTTTTTTTTTTTTAAATACTTTCAATTTTTCCTTGCTATTTAATCCAAAGTCTCTGTTCTTAATCTTTGTTTGATTTTATTACACTTTTTTTCCTTACAAATCCCCATTAGTTTCTCCCACTTTCTCTCTCTTTTTATCTATCCTTTCACAGTCACCAAACAGGGATGCAGCCAGCCATCCCCTTGCCTCTTCTATCTCTTCAATAATTCTCTCTTTAGGGGTAGTAGAAAAGTTCCAACCTACAAAACTAAAACGATAATATTCGTGTTCTCTTCTTCCCTTCCTCTCTCTCTCTCTCTCTTCATCCATTTCTTTCTTTTTGGTTTCTCCTCTCAAAGTCTTCTGTGTTGCAGAATTGACTTTTTTGAGTTCTGTGGAATAGTCTAAAATCTGGGTCTTTCCCTGGTGAGTCTTTTTTTGTTAACTTGGTATCGAATGGATCTCCATGTTTCTGACTTGATTTTAGTGCTTTCTTCAAGTTTTTATATTACTTTTCTGATATGTTTTTTTTTTATTTTTAATTCATAAATATGTGGTTACGATTGTACGTTTTGGTTTCTTCTGATAATTTTCCGAGATGGTTTTTAATTATTGATTGATAAAGTTGAGGTTTTATTGTCTGTTTTGTGGTTTTTTTACTAGTTTTCTGATTTGGGTTTCGATTTTTGGTTGGTGCAGTTTAGGGTTTCCATAGTAAAGTTGAGGTTTTGATTATCTGGTTTGGGTTTTGCTACTTCTTTTTATTTTTTATCGACCATTGATTGAAAAAGTTGAAGTTTTGACTGTCTAGTTGGGGGTACTTTTCTGATTTTGATTGTCTCTTTAGGTTTACTACTTTTTTCTTGTCACGGGTTTTTTTATTATTGATTGATAAAGTTGAGCTCCTGATTGTATCAGATCCAATCAATTTGAGCTTAGTTTTATCTTTACAGTTACTTCTTCTTTTTAAGATTTTTTTTTAAAGGGAAATTGTTTGTCCGGACTCCGGAGATCTGACTTGTATCTGATGGGGCCTTGTTTTATGTTTTCTAAATCTGGTTGTTCATGAATCAGAATTGATTTTGTACTTTTTATCTCTCTTATGTCATGATAACTAAAATTCCATATATGCAGATGATTAACTGATATTACATGGTAGGATAGTTGGATCTGTTCAATTTTCTTAGATTCTTTTTGTTTTAGCAAAATCTATATTTTTCTATTACTTAATTAGCTATATGTACCTAGCTTGTTGGAAATTGAAAATCTTTGTTTATGCTTCGGTGGTTTTGGCAGCATCGAATTGTCTGGTAATCCGGTTTTAAATTTTTGGAGCCAGGTCTTTGGTGCTTTTAGGTTTTCTGTGTATTTATGTTTAGCTTTCTTTATCAGTTCAGTGGCAGATGCTTTGCTATTTTATCAGGAAGTTTTATAGCCCTTGCAGGGCTTTTGTTAACCAATTTGTTTTTTTAAATACAGGTTAACTAAGGCCTTGTTTATTGGGTGATATGAAGTAATATCAGTACGAACTGATACTAGGAGAAAAAGGTCGTTTGATAAACTTGAAGCTTATTGGTTGATTCAGAGATTCCCTCAATTTTCAGACTTTTTTGGGGTCCTATCTTGGAATAATGATGATGTTCGATGAGATGGGAATTTGTGGGGATATGGATTTCTTCAGTGCTCCTCTTGGGGAAAAAGATGTGGCAGCCTCACAAACTGAACCAGAGGCGACAGTAGAGGATGATTATTCTGATGAAGAGATTGATGTGGATGAACTTGAGAGGAGGATGTGGAGGTACAAATTGCGTATCAAACGGCTTAAAGAACAGAATAAGGGCAAGGAAGGAATTGATATTGCCAAACAGCGCCAGTCTCAAGAACAGGCAAGGAGAAAGAAGATGTCCAGGGCACAGGATGGAATATTGAAGTACATGTTGAAGATGATGGAAGTTTGCAAGGCCCAAGGTTTTGTTTATGGGATTATTCCAGAAAAGGGAAAGCCAGTAACTGGGGCATCTGACAATCTTCGAGAATGGTGGAAGGATAAAGTTAGGTTTGATCGTAATGGTCCTGCTGCTATTGCAAAGTACCAGGCAGATAATTCGATTCCTGGCAAGAATGATGGCTGTAACTCAATCGGCCCAACACCTCACACCTTGCAAGAACTTCAAGATACAACTCTTGGTTCTCTTTTGTCTGCACTGATGCAGCACTGTGATCCTCCTCAGAGGCGATTTCCTTTAGAGAAAGGTGTTCACCCACCGTGGTGGCCTTCTGGAAATGAGGAATGGTGGCCTCAACTGGGATTGTCTAAAGATCAGGGCCCTCCCCCTTATAAGAAACCTCATGACTTGAAGAAGGCTTGGAAAGTGGGGGTTCTCACAGCAGTAATCAAGCATATGTCTCCTGATATTGCCAAGATTCGCAAGCTTGTAAGGCAGTCTAAGTGCTTGCAGGACAAGATGACAGCAAAGGAAAGTGCAACTTGGCTTGCTATAATTAACCAGGAGGAGGCCTTGGCCCGGGAACTTTACCCTGAGTCCTGCCCACCTTTGTCCTCTGGTGGAGGAAGTGGGTCTTTGGTTATAAATGACTGCAGTGAGTATGATGTTGAAGGGGCTGAAGACGAGCCAAACTTCGATGTGCAAGAGCGCAAACCTGGGAATCACAATTCATCTAATTTGGCCATGGATATAATGAGGGCCGTCCAACAACCACCATATCCTGTTAAGGGAGAAGTTGTCAATAATTTGGATTTCTTGCGAAAGAGGAAACCATCCAATGAATTAAACATGATGGAACACAAGATCCACACTTGCGAGTTCCGCCAGTGTCCTTATAGTGAACTTCGCATGGGTTTCCATGACCGGACTGCCAGGGACAATCATCAATTAACTTGTCCATATAGAAACTCATCTGCACAGTTCAGTGGTTCAAATTTTAATGTTAACGAAGTCAAGCCAGTCATTTTCACCCAACCTTTTGCACAATCGAAACCAGCTGCACTATCTATGACTTCTGTCCCAACAACCTTTGATCTTTCTGGACTTGGAGTTCCAGAAGATGGGCAGAAAATGATCACTGATCTCATGACAATATATGATAACATTCAAGGCAACAAGAACATGAATCCTGGTAACAATCCAGTTACAGAAGGTCAAAATCTTATTCAGCCAAAAATCCAACAGCAACAGGATGAATTCTTCCGTGGCCAAGGTGTCATGATGGAGGGAAGCTTCTTCGAGGAGTCCAGCATGCTGAATAATCAACAGGTGTTTCCACAAGGGGATGGTCAATTTGACCGGTTTAAGAGCTTGAATTCTCCGTTCGAGACCAACCACAATAACAACAGCTTCCAGTTGATGTTTGGTTCTCCATTCGATTTGGCTACTTTTGATTACAAGGAAGATATACAAGCAGTTGGGATGGATACCATGCCAAAGCAGGATGTTTCAATCTGGTTCCAGTAACAAGGTCAAGGCCAAAGTGGTTTTTTATCCACCTAGCGCAACTGAGCAGTTTGTTCTTCCAGGGAGGTCTACCTTACTCCTCTTGGTATGCCTAAGGCCTGGCGACACATGCACTGGCTAAAACCTTTTTTTTTTACATGTTATTGTATTTTTCCTCCTGTCTGTAGCTGTAGAGGTTAGCAAGTTTAGCAGGACTTCATCTGGGCTTCAATAAAAAAGTGGAAAGACCTATGATCCTGCTACTTATTTACATAGAATGTGACTGTCTCATAAATAAGTTAGTTGTATTTTCTCTGTGGTTTTCTCTTTCTTTCGTTTTCACCTGTTGTTTTGAACTTTTAGTCAGTTTTCTACCATTATCATGTTTGGGTAGGAATCTGATTATGAGTGTTTTGTCCTGTAATGGGTACATAGTGGATGGGTCTGTTGAATGGAAACTGTTGTCTTTTAATGAACCTTGTTTGCCATCCCATGTGAGCACATAGACCCACCGCAGTTAATGGAGGAAGATGCCAAAGTTGACTCGGATCTCTCTTTTATGGAAGATGGAAATGGAACTGCCCTGCTTTTGTGAGCGTGTGGTGGGGTCCGTTCAAGCACGGCTGCGCTCACTAAGGTTCAGCCAGCTGTCTTGGCTTGTTCAAAAGTTTGGAACTTATCTTTTCCATGGTCCCACTCCCAATTCAAAAAAAAAAAATGGGAAAAGATATTATGGTAAAGGGTATTGAAAGGGTATGGTCGAAACCTTGTTGGCACTTTGGTGTGGAGGTGCTTTGTTGCTGGGTTTACTTTATTTAATATATATTTATGACTGCTGCCATCCTGCAAATGAGGTTTTATCTGCAAAATTCATCAACCTATTTAATATTTAATTTGATCACATGGAGTATTGACTGATAATTTTATTTATTATACGAAACCTGCTTTAGCTGTCATGATAGCTTCATTTTAATATTACTTTTGATAGTTTTTAATGTAGCTTTAATCTTTAATCTAAAGTCGACACCTATTGACTTCTCTTTCAAATGTAAAATTGAAGGATATAAAGCTTTTTGTGCTGATGAAGTTAGCTACTTTCAAGTTAATTATAATTTTTTTCCCTTTGACAACAAAAGCATTGGGCTCAACCAAAGTAATTCTGTAATTGAAATTAAATGTGTTGGAATCTCCTTTCAGTTTGCCGCTATGAGAATCAAAACAGGTAAATTGCAGCAATATTGGATTCGAAATCAAATCAGGTTTCAGATGTTTTTCAGGTTAATTTGTTCAAGAGAATTTTAGAGTTAATGTCCTGAAATGTTGTGCTTTTCCTAAATTAGATTGGTTTGTCAAATTGGGCATATCACTGGCTTCTGAATCGATGATAAGATTTCAAAGTTCAAATGATTAATTCCCAAAAGTTCTTTTTTTTTCCTATTATTATTCTGAAGATGACCACCTTAAATGCACTTGTAAAGAGACAATTTAGTTAATTCATAATGTTTTTTAAAAAATAAAAATAGTTCATGTAAAGGAATTATAAAATTCAAGTCAAACTATTTCAATAAAATACAATACCAAACCTTTCTAATACTTAAGAAAATAGTGAGTTGATCTGTCTAAAATATCTGTATTCGCCTCCAATTTATTTGTGGTGATATCTTCCTCCAATTCCCCAGGAAGTCTTGGATCAAGATGGAGACTGTCAAGACTTAAAAAATTATCAGATCATCTCAGTTGAGGCTAAAATTATTAGGCTAATCATCAATGATTGAGTGAAAGCATATGTCCAAGATATATATATATATATATGTATATGTATATATATATATATTAGACAAGAACTTTTAATAAAATGTTTCAAGGTATTAATCAAAATTTAATTCAATTAATTTATATAATTATTTTAAAAAAAATAATATTTAATAAATTTAAAATTTAAATTTAAATACCTATAATATAATTTTTTTTCTTTTAATTTTAGACCGTTACCTATTTTAAACAATGGGTAAATAATTATTTAGGTGACTAATAGTTTTTCGGGACCTAATAATTTCCCGAATTTCTTCTGAGAATTTATCATGTTTATCTGTAACAGATTGATCCTTTTGTCATGGTATGATAAGGTAATATTTCTAAAAGACAAGATGTAAACGAAGAAAAAAACAAAAGAATGTAACCCTCATTTTTTGATTTGTCCTTGAAAAGAAATGTGAACATGTTAAGAAAAATTATTGCTAGCAGTTTTAGACAGAAACAAGATACGAATGATTTGGTTGTAGCTGCAAAATGCCAAATTGCCAATTAAAAAAAAAAATGGAAATGTAGCAATATTTTCATGGGCATTTAGAGCCACCCCTCTTGGTTTTCGAAGTTATTGTAACAGGGGCGACTGGAGGAGCACATTTACATTTGAAGCAGCATTTCTGGCAGAACATACAGGGTTTTTTGTAGGCTGTTTTTTGAGCATCTGTAAGTGCAGGATCCAGGGCACTCTTCAAGCAAAATTTAACAACAATCATATCCACAGTTTTTTTTTAATAATTGAGACTGTTGGAATTAAAATTAAAAATTTCGATCATGCAACCAATCATTTCCATAATTAAAGGCATAAAACTCAGTTAGGAGTCATGACATTTAAATATGGCAAATTTTCAATTCATTGAAAGCAAACGAAGTATTACTTAAAATAGACAGGCAACTTATAAAATGGGTCGAGAAACAAGAAATGTAACAATGAATCCAATAGATAATTATATATTTGGCAGGATTTTAGAAACATGTGTTTCAGGTTTCTTGGTGACGTGATCTCCTGATCTGGGTTACGACTAACAAGACTTCCGTGAGCTTGTTCACTACTACTCACAAAAGTTTTTCTTTTCTTCCTTTAGCTAACTGTTGACAGTCCAATTAAGTCTCCAACCTACCATCATAGACTAATGTTATATCAAATAATAATAATAATGTTAAAATTTTCCATGATAACAAATTTATTCATTTCATGGATGGTTAAAGAATCAAATAGCTGTAATTTCATGATTGTTTTAGACAGTTTTGAGTTTATATATCCTCGTGATCATTTGTTGAAATTTCATAGAGATGCATTGATTTTGAAAATCATTACTTAATATCATGGTCATGTTAGATCTATCCACAAGTTGATAGAGTTTTTTAGCTCAAATTCGGTTTGAGAGAATAATTTTTAATGAAAATTTTATTTAAATATAATTTTCATTCAAAAATATATTAAAAATATCATAATATTAATATTTGAAGAAGGATTTACTTGCATCAATATAAGTGTTATATTTTTTTATATTTAAATTAAAATTATAATTATAATTAATTTAAATTAAAATAATATTTTTAAACTTAATCATTTGATCTAAAAATAAAAAATTAATATAACAACTACATTGATATAAATAAATCTCTTTTTTATATAAAAAAATTTTGAACATTTTAAATCTGATAAAATGAGTCAAATCAATCTTGAGCACAATCTTAAAAGTTTTAATCCATTTTGATCTAATTCGATCAAAAAAATCATAACCTAAATGTATCACGGCCGACACAAAGATTGCCGGTACTATTATTATCTTTTATCACTGTTGAAAGTTCAAAGGTTTCAACATCACTTCATTAACTAAGAATTCAACTATAATCACCGTCGCCATAAAGACACCAATGTTTTCACCCATACTACAGATACAATACAACCCTAGCTAGCTATAAAATTATGTATCCATCACTGCTCTTCACCTAACTTTGCTCGTATTTTCTTTCCATTCTCAAATCAGAAAACAAATCGCCACCGCCAGCAGCCTGCAGGAACGTACCAGTTAGACAAGTGAACCAAATTTCAACCTTGGGTTCTTATTTTGTCAATCACTATATGATCAGATTCAGTTCTAATCCTTTTTTTTTTATTAATTTTCTCAAATCCTATTGGTGAAATAATCTCTTTTAGTTTCAATATATATAACTTTTCCTTCACGTAAAGGGTGATAAATAGTTACAACTTTTCCTTTCAAGTGGATGATTAGTTGTGAAAATATCCCTTTGTTTAATGATATCAATATATTCATCCCTTTGTGATGAAAGTGCTTATACATATTCTCCTTGAAATAATTAAAATTAAAAATTTAATATTTTATTATCAAATCAGATATAACAAACGTAAACAAAATAATTATTTTCTATGTGTTTTTTGAGACTATTTTTTTCTTTTTTCACTGCAAATATCAACACTTATAATGTTGGTCCCTTTGGACACTTTTGTGTTTGTGTAGTCAATTTATGGAGCTGGTTCGTTCATGCATGGAATTTACTATCTGAAAAAGTGAAAACCTTATCTTCCTGTAGAGGTTGTTCTTTTTCTTTTTGGTTTATTTATCAAAGCTTTTTTAGATCTTTTTGTCAAACTTTTTTCAGTGGGTCTATCAGAGAGGTTGTCAAGTGGATCGATGCCAATAGATGACAAGTAATTTACAACATATTTTGTCCTATTTTAGAGTGAAATAATTATGATAAGATTTACTTAATTATATTTGAATTCACATCTTACTTTTAGATTTGAAAGTTTGAAAACTAAGGTGAAGTTAATAATATAATTGATGCAGAAAAATTTAAATTCCAAATAATTTAAATTCGAATATAATTTAATTTGATAAAATATATAAAAAATTAAAAAATTATTCGATTTAAAATCGATCAAATCTATCAATTTGTCACCTTTACATGCATGAATGGTATATTAAAATGTTCTAAAAATTTATTTAAATTAACCTTTTCACTATGCAAATTAAAGTAAAGGGATTTAACAAGTTTAAGATTGAATCCCAATATTTCTTGTTACGGTCCCAATTGCTGAAATGTTTTAAGAGAAAGAACAATGTTAGTGCCTACCTGAGTTGAAGCCATCATTATTACAAAGTAAAGGAGAACAAATATTTATTAAAAGTTTGTCTGATTTAAGTTTACTTAATTTTTAAAAATTTTTTTTTTGGGGTATGCAAAGATTTTTTATTGCATATAAAAAATCTAAACATGACAAGAAAATAAAAGATTAGTGATAGTTTTGTAACGACATTTCACTTTAAAATGTCGTTAATTTCCATGTTTTCATAAAATTTGAAAGTTTTTTTTATCAAAACACCACTAAATATTCAAATAGTAGCATTTGTACTTATAAATGCCACTAAAGATAAAAATTAACGGCGTTTATCGACTAAAATACCTTAAATAATCTTTTTAAAAAAATTGGAGTGATTATTAAAGGTGTTTTTTTGCAGAAAACTTTTTAAATAATTCTCTTATAAAAAATAGATAAAAAGATTATTGAAGGCATTTGTGGTAGACAATGCCTTAAATAATCCCCTCATAAAAAATAAAGACGATTATTGAAGACATTTTTTATCAGAAACGCCTTTAATAATTCTCTTAAAAAATTGTAGATGATTATTAAAAGCGTTTTTAATCAAAAACACCTTTAATAAATCTCCTTGTCAATAAATCTGTCAAAAATAAATTAGCATTATTGGTTAGAACATATGATCACTAATTATAAGGTCGTAGATTTGATCTTTCCCTTCAATATTTTTTGAATTTTTCGACGGATTATTGAAGGTATTTTTTGTAAGAAACGCCTTCAATAATCATCAAATTCCTTTAAAAAACCTTAAAAATGCTAAAGGGAGGGATCAAACCTATGACTTTATAATTAATAAATGTATGCTCTAACCAACAACACTACTCCATTTTTAGCAAATTTATTAACAAGGAGATTTATTGAAGACATTTTTCATCAAAAATAGCTTTAATAATCCTCTACAATTTTTTAAGAGAATTATTAAAAGCGTTTTTGATAGAAAATACCTTTAATAATCACCTTTATTTTTTATAAGCAGATTATTCAAGATGTTTTTTGCCTAAAACGCCTTGAATAATTCTTCATAAAAATTTGGAGAAGATTATTGAAGATGTTTTTTGCTTGAAATACCTTCAATAATTCCCTTAAAAATTTATAAAGGATTATTGAAGGCGTTTTTTGTCAAAAACACCTTCAATAAATCTTCTTATTAATAAATCTATTAAAAATAGACTAGCGTTGTCGGTTAGAGTATGCAGTTGTCAACTATAAAGTCATAGCTTCGATCCCTCCCTTTAATATTTTTTACATTTTTTGAGGGATTATTGAAGGCGTTTTGGCCAAAAAATGCCTTCAATAATCTCTCAAAAAATCTTAAAAATGCTGAAGGAAAAGATCAAACATATAACCTTATAGTTAACAAGCGTATGCTCTAACCGATAATGTTATTCTATTTTTGGCAGATTTATTGACAAGGAGATTTATTGAATGCGTTTTTAATAAAAAAAAAAAAGTGCCTTTAATAATCCTCTATAATTTTTTAGGAGAATTATTAAAGACGTTTTTGGCAGAAATCACTTTCAATAATCGCTTTTATTTTTTATAAGCAATTTAAGTTATTTTTTGCCTGAAACACCTTTAATAATCACTCATAAAATATTGTAAGAAATTATTGAAGGTTTTTTTAACCTGAAACGCCTTCAATAATCCCTCATAAAAATGGAAGGGATTATTGAAGGCATTTTCTGTCAAAACGCTTTCAATAATCTCATCATCAAAATTTAAAGGGATTATTAAAGGCATTTTTTTACCTAAAACGCCTTCAATAATCTTCTCATAAAAATTGAAAAGAATTATTAATGACATTTTTTTACAAAAATGCCTTGAATAATCTTAAAAAAATAATTGAAAGGGATTACCAGAGGCATTTTTAGCTAAAAGTGCTTTCAATAATCATACTTTCCCGCTGCTAAATTTTTCTTAAATTTCAAACCCACAAGACCTTATTTATGTTTTTCTTTCCCTTACTCATTTCTTCAATTTTTGCTCATTTTAGGTCATTTTTTTCTTATTTTCTGTCTAAGTTTCAGTCATTTTGTGACCTTCTTCTTTTTTTTCTTTCGTTTTGGTAAATTTCAAATTAGCTTTCTTGCAATTTTGGTCAAATCTTTAAACTTTCTATTTGATTTGTTAGGTTAAATCCCTAAATTTTTTGTCTAATTTATTGCATTTTTGCCGCTATTCAAGCTTTATTGGTAAGCTCCATTTCAACATTGGTAATTTTTAGTGTTTAGCCGTTCCTTTTCTTTTTTTATCAATTTATTCCATTATTACAGTTCTGAGTTTGGTTTTGTTTGGTTTGTGAGAAAAATTCAAGATAAAACAGAAAGTGAAAGAAATATGATTTTTCTCTGAAAAACTTGAAATTAAATGTTGAATTTAGTTACAAACACAAATGAAATTTTAGGTTTAGTTTTTTTTCAACAAAATATTTTTTAAATTACTAAAAAATTGTTACTTATTAACATGAATTTGTTGATTCATTCAAGATATCCTTAGAAAACCATTATGAAATAGTCTATTATGTTTTTTTTTCATCTCATCTTGACATTTGTTTTGTTTATTTTTTCAGATCATGGTGTTTGATGAAACAACTTAATCTTGCTTAAAAGGATTCGTTGTGAATAAAAACCATCAACAACAGAAAATGGTAGTGATCAAGGTGGAAAAAATCTTTCATCAAATGATAGTATTTCAAATCTATGCAGTTATTAATTTCATTCATTTTAAATTTTTGGTTAATGTACTAAAATAATTTGAATGTTATTGTATGTATTAAGCTTTGTGTTATATCCATATTAGAACAAATTATGTATTTATAATATTCAGTTTATGAATTTGAGTTCGTTTTTATCTCTTTTAATATTTTTTATTTAATGATATAATCAATATTAAAAGAAAATTTAAAAAATATATTTAGCGGTATTTGTACCTAAAAATATCTTTAAATGGTAAAATATAACGACGCTTTCTACTATGAATATCACTAAATTTGGTGACATTTTTTACTATAAATGCCTCTAAATTTATTGATATTTTTATCATAAAATACCGTTAAGTTAGTGGCATTTTTTTAAAATTATTGCTATTTTCTTTGATACAGATATAAATGACACTCTTAACGATGTTTTGATAAACGCTTTTAATCTTTTAGCGACATTTATAAACGTCGTTAAATATGAAAAAAAAAACGTCACTAAAAATCTAATCCCTTAGTGAAATTTTATTTGGTTGAATACAATATTCAAATTATTAATTGGATATTTATAAACGTCGTTAAATATGAAAAAAAAAAACGTCACTAAAAGTTTAATCCCTTAATGAAATTTTATTTGGTTGAATACAATATTCAAATTATTAATTGGACAACTACTACAATTACTATTAGTCTTTTATATTGCCATTTTATTCTTTGCATTAATTAATTAATTAATTATACAATTGAAGAAAATTCAAAACTTATCCGATTCATTTCTTGAACGAGAATACATATCCTTATTGAATTAAATACTCAAATGCGATAAATGAATTTAAAATTTTATAAAAGTATAAAAAAATCGGGGCTTATTAAACTTGAAAAATAACCTTTTTTTTGCCCTGCAAACCAAGTAACAGATATAAAAATCTAATATAAGACGAAAAACATTATCAGTCAAACTGGAAATTTAAACTAACGTATTAAACTAATGAAGGGACATGGTTTCTGCTCATCACTTTATGGTGAAATGCAGCAGTTTACGGCATCCAATGAAAACATGCCCTCCCTGAGAGGGTAACCGTCACTGTATTTAAGCATGGTAGGCTAGGCTGAGGATGGGGATGCCTTTTTTTTTTACAGGATGTCATTGTCTAAGAGAGTAAAGTCCATTGAATGCTACAACACAACTTGGGCACAGCTGAAATAATTATTGGGTCAGGATCTTCTTATAATTGGACCTCGGATACTCTGTTCAACTCATAAAACAGCAAGCCTTTAATATATATCATGAAAAATGGTTAATTAACTATATAATTCAAACCAAGGCTTAAAACAGTCCGATTCTAGTCTCAATTTTTTAAAATTAAAAAAAAATAATTTGTTTGATAAGTTTAAGGTAAATTCGAGTCTATGATTCTGCTTCTCAGTTCTCAAAATGACAAAAGAAATGCCAAGAAGAAAGTAGCCCACTTGACAAGAAGAAGAGGAAGAAAGTGTGAAGTTTGTCTTATAACATGGCATTTCTTTTTACGTTTCCTAGCTTTTGTACATTTACTTCTTTAATAATTTCTAGCTCCCTTCCAACTCAGCTTGGGTTTGGCCTTTGGGTTCTTTTGATTTTGACCCATGATTTTGAAGCCTGTAAATTAATTAGTGTTAGATTAAATAAAATATATTATTATGGTTTTAGGGTTAGGTTCACAACAATCTACATTTGGGCCTGAAATTTATTTTTTTTCAAAGTAATTTGATAAATTTAAATGGGATTTGGGGGAGATTAGCTTAATATGGCCTGTGGAGTGTGGGGCATTCCCTTGAAATGGGCTACAGCTTTCTGGCCCAAACCAATTAGGACTCCCATTTCTTTTATTGTTAGTCCAAGTGTAACCTCACCTAAGAAGTCCCAACATTGAATAGTGAGATAACAAAAATACATTTCAAAATAAAAGAAAAGGCTTTTATGGTTGTGTTAAAATTTAACTATCAATTAAACAACAAGAAGAATAATTTCAATTTTTTAGTATAAAAGAGATCGAAATAAAAAAATGAATTTTAAATTTATAAAATGTTATTTTTAAAAAATGATTATATAAATTAATTAAATTAAACTTTAAATTCAAAATTTGTTAATTTAAACTTTGTTATTCTTTTTGCATTGAAATGAGAATTGAGATTAAATGAGGGTAAGAATAACAAAGACTTACATTTGTTTGTATAATTTTCAATTAATGGATAAAATAAAAAATAAGGATTAAAAAGTGTGGACCATTAATGAAAGATCAAAATTAAATGCCAAATACTTATAATTTACTAACTTTGGATCATGAAAAACAATACAAAGAAGACTAATACTAAATGTTGTGCACAAAATTAGTTAGCTGTTGAATTTCAAGACTTTTCAATTCAAGTTAAAAATAACAATAATGATAAAGAACTAAGTAAAGATTTTTTGATTAAATATGGCAAACAAAAGAAAGAAATGATTTTAGATCAAAGCTACCAGTAAAATATTTTCACTTGCATAAAAACAAAGCATTCTGTCTTGGGAACTGGGGATTAACCAAAAGTTTCAAAGGTCAAAGAAGCAACAAGGCACCAACTCAGCCAATTACTAATTCATTGCATGTTACTATGTTTTTATGCTTTAATTATCTGATTTCCAGCTATTCAACACCAAATAGCAAATCAGTTGTTCAGTTCTAGTCTTCTTCTTTAAATGTGTCTGCAATTTATTACCGCATTGAGAACACCACCACCTAACACTCTGATCCACACTCTCTCACCTCCCTCGACTCACTATTTCAATTGTTTTCTCTTCTGTCTCTGGTCTTGCTCTGCATCTTTGACCTTCTCTTTCCTTGATAAAACTTCCATCTCCTCAAAATTTTAGCATTTTGTTGTACTTTGGTTGCAACTTCCCAAGCCAAAAAAGATCAAGATTCTCACTTTTAGCAAGCCTTTTTCCCGGTTTGTTTCCTTCTTTACTTGTTGCTAAGCATTATCTTTTCATTTCTTACTTTTCAGTTCCTTGGTGTGGAAAATTTAGGGTCTTTTTCATGATGTTTTCTGGTGCATTTCAGCTTGTTTCACTTAATTTTGTTTCTGATTATCTAAAAAATGCACATGGGTTTTGAAGTTCATTAGCTGCTTAAATTAGTTTAAAGAAGCATCTTTTTACTGCTTCTTTCAATGTGCTTTTGTAAGTATCCCATTGCTTGACAAAAAATTAGTTGAATTCTCTCCTAGTGTTACATCAAGATGCAAACTTTGGATGCTATGTCGATGGGTATTCTTCTGCTTCATTCAAGCGTTGCAATTTGCTGTAGAAGTTCTCGTTAGTTGAGTTCTAGTTGGTCCCATTCTGATATATTCACTGAGATTTGTCGGGGTAGGGGACTTTGATCGAAGGAATGCAGAGACTCAATTTAGTACTTTTGTTGTTTCTGGTAGCAACTGCATTAGCACAACCTGAATTTGAAGCACTCTTAGAGCTCAAGAAAGGCATTGAAAAAGACCCTTCTGGTAAAGTTCTTGCTTCGTGGGACTCTAAGTCCTTGGCATCAGATGGGTGCCCCAAGAATTGGTTTGGAGTCACCTGTAATGATGGTCATGTGACTTCAATCACTCTAAATGATTTGGGTTTGGTTGGAAACTTCAGTTTCCCTGTCATTGTTGGTCTTAAAATGCTTCAGAATTTATCTATTTCAAGTAACCAGTTGACAGGAACCATCTCAAACATTGGCTTTATTCTGTCTATTGAGATTTTGGACCTCTCAAGTAATGCCTTTCATGGGGCTATACCATCAGGTATTGTCAATTTAAAAAATTTAGTACTTCTGAATCTTTCTTCAAATAATTTTGAAGGCACATTTCCCTCTGGTTTTAGCAATCTTAAGAGGTTGAAATATTTAGATTTGGGATCTAATGGCTTTTCTGGGGATATCATGAATCTTCTGTCCCAATTGGAAAGTGTGGTGCATGTGGACTTGAGCAGCAATCAGTTATCTGGTTCACCGGACTTGGGACTTGGAAGCTCCAGTTTTGTTTCTTCAATTCAATACTTAAATGTAAGCCGGAATTTGTTGGTTGGAGAGCTATTTGCTCATGATGGAATGCCATATTTTGACAGTTTAGAAGTTTTTGATGCTAGTAACAATCAGTTAGTGGGAACTATTCCCCCTTTCAATTTTATAGTCTCTTTGAGGATTCTTCGACTTGGAAACAACCAGTTGTCCGGATCACTACCAGCAGCTCTTTTGCAAGAGACCTCAATGATCTTGTCAGATCTAGATCTTAGCCATAATCAACTTGAAGGTATTCCCCTTTAACAGCCTAATGTAACTTCTATGTCATGTTAGTTTACTTTCTCTTTTTCGTAACTTTGGCGAGCAATTGTGTATGTCAATGTATATTGCGCCACTCATTCCTAGGTTGGGTTATATATAAATTTGACTCTGCCTAGTAATTAAGTTATGTGGTTTGGTAATGCATTGCAATGACATTCTCCAAAGCGTCACATTCTGCGTTTGTACTTATAGCATTGGCTCTTTTGACAATATAAGATGCTTCCTGCCCTTCCAGAATTTGGAAAATAATTGTACACTTAATATCTTTAACTAAATGGGGCTAGAAAATGAATTTTGTTTCTGGCTTGCGCAACTGGAAAAGAAGATTGTCTTGGATCATGAGATTGATGATCAAACTAACATGGTAGGTATGCAACATGAGAAAAGGTATATATATGTTCTAAAGATAAGAAATTAGAATAAGTGTCTGAAAATATTAGTATCATACCTTAACCTTCAATGTAGTTTAAGCATATCTCTTTTTCTACCTAATAGTTTAAAATATGCTCAGCAATCTTGTCTGTTTACTTTTTTCATTGTTTCCCTTAAGAATTACACTCCTCCAAAATTAATTCACATGTGTGGTAGTTTTAGTTACTAGGTCCTGTCTATCTATTTAGGATGTGCAGTTTAAAGTTAATTCTACAAGGTTTCATATGCCAATTAATTTTAGTCAGTGGTTGTTAAATCTTTTATTTTTTTTTTTTGGAACTGTGGAAGATCTTACTGTCCCACTATATTATATTTTCAAAAACTCTTTTGTATAATTTTTTTTCATCATGAAAATTTCTGCATCCATGGCAGGGCCAGTGGGAAGTATAACCTCAGCAACTCTAAAGATGCTCAACATATCATCAAACAAACTCTCAGGGTCCTTGCCTTTTAAGATAGGGCACTGCGCCATCATAGACCTCAGTAACAACATGCTCTCAGGGGACTTGTCCAGAATCCAGGGTTGGGGAAATTATGTTGAAGTTATTGAATTGAGTTCAAACTCACTGACTGGGACCTTGCCAAACCAAACTTCTCAATTTTTAAGGCTGGCTACATTTAAGGTTTCAAACAACTCATTAAAGGGTGTTCTCCCAGCAATTTTAGGTACATACCCAGAATTAAAGTTGATCGATCTTAGCCTCAACCATCTCAATGGATCCCTCCTTCCAAGCTTCTTCATGTCAACGACATTGACTGATCTCAACCTCTCAGGCAATAACTTTACTGGTTCAATACCTCTTCAGGACATGAAAAACATGCCTTCAGTAAGTTCTGCTGAAAATTTGAGCCTGGTGACTCTTGATCTGTCTTATAACTCATTAAGTGGCCAATTGCCCCAGGAAATTGCTAAGTTCCATAACTTGGAGTTTCTTAACCTATCCAATAACAAACTTGAGGGCAGCATACCCGATAGCCTTCCTGATGAACTGAAAGGACTCAATGTGTCTTTTAATAATTTCTCTGGTACTATACCTGACAACTTGAGGAGGTTTCCTGATTCAGCATTCCATCCAGGAAACACCTTCTTGAAAGTTGGTTCTTTTCCATTGTCACCAAAAGGTTCTTCGGACTTGAATTTGAATGAGCATAGGTCTCAGATGAAACCTGTTACCAGAATTGCCTTAATTGTAGGCTTGGTTGGTGGTGGTGCTATAATAGCTCTTGTGTGTCTAATGTTTTATTATAGGACCAACTGGAAGGAAACTAGGAGTGACAGTTCGAAAAGAAATGGGGGAAAAGAAACTCTACATGAAGGGGAGTATTCCCTTTCTCAAACATCAGCACCTTACAGAAGTAAGGATTCATCATCATCTTCATTTAGTTTCCGTCAAGAGCTTTTGTCATCATCCAAAAAAGGTTCTACGTATGATCATGGAAACAGTTCATTAGTTTTAAATGACCCTAAATATTTTGGTCACCCTGAGTCCAGGAGAAAAGATGAAGGATTGGCTTCACCCAGTTCTCTCTTGTCATCTTCAAATGCGTCTCCATATAAAAACCAATTTCCATTTGAGAGTCCCGGTGCACTAAAGGTTCATTCTCCTGATAAACTAGCTGGGGATCTGCATCTCTTTGATGGTTCTCTGGCATTTACTGCAGAAGAACTTTCACGTGCTCTGGCTGAAGTTATTGGAAGGAGTTGCCATGGAATATTGTATAAAGCTACACTTGACTCCGGTAATGTATTGGCTATCAAATGGTTGAAGGAAGGGATAGCGAAAGGTAAAAAGGAATTTGCAAGGGAACTAAAGAAACTTGGGTACATCAAACACCCAAACTTAGTTTCTCTTCAGGGTTATTATTGGGGTCCCAAGGAGCATGAGAAGTTGATCATATCAAATTACATAAATGCACAATGTTTGGCCTTCTATCTTCAAGGTAAGATTCTGTTTTCTGTGTGATTATAGGCTTTTTTGGTCATTTGTGATTGTAGGCTTGCAAACTAGAAATTAATGGCCAATACAGAAGCCATTAATCTCAAATTCATTCCACTTTTCTCATGGATAATTGTTTTGTCTCATTGAGTCTTATTTGATGAAGGCAAAAGTGATATCTCCTGTTTTAATCTTTTAAACTGTGGTGAGGTGAATATGCATTGAGCTTGGGTTTCACTACTAACTTTGTTTCTTCAGCAGAGAAGGAGCCAAGAAAATTGCCTCCCTTGTCTCTGGATGAACGGCTTAGGGTTGCTATAGATGTGGCTCGATGTCTGAACTACCTACATAATGAGAGAGCAATACCCCATGGCAACCTCAAGTCGACAAACATTTTATTAGAAACTCCTAATTTGACTGCACGCCTCACTGATTACAGTCTCCATCGGATACTAACACCAGCTGGCACAGCTGAACAAGTCCTGAATGCAGGTGCTCTCGGCTATCGCCCCCCTGAGTTTGCTAGCTCAAGTAAACCGTGCCCATCATTAAAAAGTGATGTGTACGCCTTTGGGGTCGTATTGATGGAGCTCCTGACAGGAAAAAGTTCAGGAGAGATTGTTTCAGGGAGCAAAGGTGTGGTTGATCTAACTGATTGGGTAAGGTTATTAGCAGCAGAAAACCGTGCTGGTGACTGCTTTGATCCGATGATATTGGAAAGGGATAATGGGGAGCACACGCATAGAACACTTGATGCCATGCTACAGGTGGCTCTGAGATGCATCCTGCCTGCACAAGAGAGACCCGACATAAAATCAGTTTATGAAGATCTCTTAGTGAGTGTTACAGAAAGGTAAATAAAAGGGGTTCTAAATGTGTACTTTAACACTAACCCCCATTTATTTGTTCTTTACTTTCATAATTTGGACTTAGTGTCTCAAATTGTTTTCTCCAGTTGTCAACTTCTAACACTGGGTTCAAAATTGGTACTGTAAATATCAATTCGATAGGGTTAGTAGGAAAGTAAGGAAGGAATAAAGTTCATTGTAGATGGTGGGTTAATCATTCTCTTTTAGCCATTGTCTATAAATGTAACTTTAGATATAGATTCATTGACTCATTTTATGTATTTCATCTCATCTTTCCTGATGTACTCATATTGAATTAATATTCAACATTTCAAATGAACAAAGAATCTGACCCCCCAAATATAAAGATAATGTTATGATTAAATTGAACATGTCCATATTGAAGATGGGCATGCTTCCATGCTTGGTATACTTGAATCAGACAATGAACAATTGGGAGACAATATGAAGCCCTTGAGTACCAATGTACCATGTCGGTGGAAATTTGTACTTCAGTAATGAGAAACAGTGTGCAGGCACCTGATTAACTTGAGAAATACTACCATCAATTGTTATCCGCATCAGATCATTGAGATGTTTCTCATCTCTTACATTGTGAAAGTACTTTTAGCAGATGGATTTACTTTGGGGTTGACCTAATTTTACTTGGGATGCAAAGAAACAATTGGCAATGGAAATTTTACCCTTCACAATTTCAAGGGCAGAAGAACATAGAGTTCTTGGAGCTGCCTTTCTACCACCCTTCTCTTTTAACTTCCTAACCAGGTTCATCGGGTCAAAATGGTAGGCTTAATTTGGTTATTCTGGCAGCAATTTGATTTCTTTCAAGGGTTTAGTTGGGGACCACTGGACTATGGACTGTCAACTTTGAATATGTTTAGGGAATTTTGGGTTAGTGGGCCATGTTGCTTTAAGCTTTTCACTTTCCAAGAGGCGAACCTTAGCCGGTAAGTAGTCCTCAGTGTTCAAATCAAAGGCCCATAAATGGTTTTCAATCAGCCGATGACTGCGTGTATAATTACAGATGGTTTCAAATATTAAATGGGTGCAAGAGAATTCACTCTTAAATTGATCGAAAAAAATATTAAATTTAGGCAAAATTTGAAGAAATTTCCGGTCACATTACTATTCAAATTCTGAAAGCTTTGCATTTTACAGTAATTCCTTTATTCTTTTTATACATAAGATATCATAATTTGAAAATAAAAAATAATAGATATTAAGTTTTGAATTCTATTCTATTAAATATTATTTTTTTAAATGATTATATAAATCAATTAAATTAAGTTTTGAATTCAAATAATAATACCTTAACTAATGAAGTTTATTGAATTGTTCATGCCAAAAATAAGCATAAACTATTTTTCTTGTAATTGTATATAGCTTTCATTCAATTTCAAAAAGCTGTAAAAATATTTTCAAGAAAAGAAAAAAAAATAAATGAAACGGTCCAAACTACACAATATACGTACACATTATCATTTCTATATAGTTTGCTTTCTTCTCCTCCCAGCATCACAATAGACACACCCAAATGTATATCCCACGCGTGTCGATCCAAAACAAAGTTTAAAATCTCATGTTTAATTTATTACCGACAAATAGAAATTGTTTTGCAATAAAATAGTGCTAAATTGTCCATTTTCTTTACAAGATTTCATCTTGTTAAGCAGGGAAAAAATTATATGAAATAATTACGTTATATTAATATATTTATTTTATTATATTATATAATTATATTATTTAAAAATTAATTATTTATTATAAAATAATAATTAATTTATTAAAATAAATATTTATTATTTAATATTGTATATGATGTATAATAAATAATTAATTTTTTTATAATATAATTATGTGACAAAATTTAAATAAAAAATATACACTAATATGACATAATTATTTTATATAATTTTTTCTAGTGAAAGAAAAGAGAGAGGAAGGTGCAAATGAGGTAGAGTAGAGGGTTAAAGACTGAAGTTGCCGAGTGATTGCTTACGAACGCGGTACCTACAAGTTAGAAATAAAATAAGTGGTCCCTTCTAGGAACTAATTTGGAAATATATTTGTAAACGGCGACTTAGTAGCTATTGGTTTTGAGGAATTTAAAGATATTAATTGTTAGGGTTTTCTATGTGCCAAACTAATAAATGATAAATTGTCAAATCTACCCTTTCATCAGTAAAAAAAAAAAAAAAAAACGAAGGGAAGGGTTAAGCAAATAGCTTTTTTTTTTTTTTTTTCAAATGAGATGGAATATTAACTTCAAACTCTCATTGTCCAATTTGGTTAAAACTCTTTTTTTTTTCGATCCATTAATCTTTAGGAATAAAATGATATTTAGTAAAAACTATAATTTTCAATGCATCATACGTTTGCCACACTATAATTTAATTAATTTATATAATTATTTTTAAAAAATAATATTTAATAAATATATAATTTAAATTCCAGCATTTCAACTCCTCGACGTCTTTTGTAAAAAAATATCTATCATAAATCAACCCACTATATACAAAGAAAAAAGTCCTTATTCCAAGAACTATATAAAATAAAAAAAAATTATCTAATAAGTACTAGCTAAAAAAAATAAACCGAAAATTATCTAATAAGTACTAATTAAAAAAACAAATAATAAACAAAAAATCTTATTGGGTAGGCATCATAATCAAGCAAACGGACAGTTTGTCACTAAAAACAACTTACGATGGTCATTATCTACCAAAGGAAAATGGAATGGGGCCAAATGCCAACTGACCCACATTCAATTTTTCCCACACGGAAAAAGAAAAACAACAGATAAAAACAAGGAAACATATGTCTGACCCAATGAAAGAAACACGCTCACAGGAGAGAGGATCAGAGGCAGTTTCTTTCTTGACTCTTTCGCTTTCTTAAAAGCTTTTCGGCTCAACGTTAGTTCTCCTTTCTTGACACCAAATTCTGAACTGTACTCCATATTTTACTAATTCCTTACCTTCCTTTTCGTATTATATAGTCTATTATATATATTTATGTCATAAAACCCTTTGTTTTGGCCATTCTATTTGTGAACTCTTCAGCCTCGTTCTTCTCTTTCTCTGTCTCCAGAACGCTATAGCCAGCGTTGAGGAACAAAAAAGAAAAGATTGTTTTGATTTCTCTTTTGATTGTTCAAGAACCTCATCTTCTTTTTTTCTGGTCAGAATTTGCTAGTTTCTACTTTCTCAGGTTTGTTCTTCCATTGTTATTAGCTGTTCTTTTCTTGATTTTACATCAAAATCTGGTTTCTAGTTAGCTCAGCTCTTCTGGTTTGGTTTCTTTAAATTTTGTTTTACTTGTTTTTGCCCCCAATGAGTTATAGAGTGCAAAAATCAATGTGAAAATCTTGCTTCAATTTTTTATTAAGAAATTTTCAAAGACTAACACAACTTTATTACCAACGTTAAAACAAAAGAAAATTAAATTTATTATATGACAACTTAATTAAAAGATTAAAATTTCTATATTATTAGATCATGCTTAAGTGAAAAAAGGAAACATAGTGCTTTAGGAATTGTTTAATGTTTGTCTAATGTAAACGTGCAATCCGTTAATGGGGAATATTTATGATTAATTTGTTTACTTATTGATAATGCATGTATCGTTAATGTTGATGAATGTGAGTAATTAAGAAACATGGATCATGTTTTCCATGGGTGATGCATTATAACTATATATTTTTTGATATCCCAATTTAATCCTTTATTAGCACGCTCATTAACAGTATCCTTTCGTTTCCTTGACGATTCTAATGACTTAAAGGTTTAAATCTAAATTAATAAGAGACAAGGGATATATTTAATTTCTTCCCCTTTATTATCGGCATGAGAAAAATTGAACCCAAAAAATAAAGTCAAGGTTTTGGTAAATCATCAATATCAAACACACGTCTAATCCACATGTATACTAAAAGCCAATAAAATATAGCAACGAGATAGCACAGTAATATTGAATTCAGTTGCAGAACTAAAGATCTTGAATTTGAATCATAATCATAGCTCAAAAGAAGAAAATCAATCAATAACATATACAATCTTAAGCCTACATATTATTAGAATTGAATTGATTGATTCAAGTATTTTACTAAATCAATCTCATCACCATCATCTCTAATTTATGCCTTGAGTATTATTTGCTTAGCTATACAAGTTAAACTTTCAAATTTCAATCACTAGCACACTTTTTTTGTAAAATAAAAAAAAAACCCTCAAAATTTAATATTTTATTTAAATAATTTTTTATCCTTTTATTGTACTGAAATAAATTTTTTATTTTTAATTTATACTCAAATAAATTATTAAATTCTAATTTATATCCAAATAAGTTTTTTTTTAATTTATACATAAATAAACATTTAATATAAAATCAATCTTTTATTTAAATTAAAATTTTATTTAGATACAAATTAAAAAATAAAAAATTATTTGAATACAATAAAAATATAAAAACTTATTTAAAAAATTAAAATAGTGCAAGAGTTTTTATTAGTATTTTAACCTTTTTTTCTCTTAATTTTTTCACTATTATTATTATTTATTATTATTATTATACTGAATTTTTGCGTTAACCAATGGAAAAAAAGAATAATAAATAATACTCTTTTTTTAAATTGAAGTTCTAAATATTCTAGTTACTAATTAGAGTGCAAAATTTTTCTAACTTGGTTTTCGTTATTAAAAAATTCAGATTTCCTAAAACCCTTTGACTGAACGAACGTGCATGTTTATATTCAATCACGTCTTGATTTAAGGCCTTTTTTTTTTTTTTTTAAATCAACAAGGCCAACATTTATAGCCAATTTCTGACTAAAATAAGACAACTAAATCCCTGTTTTCTCCACTAAAATCTTAGTAATCAAATTTCCGTCCGCGGTATTTGCCACATCAGCCTGATGACATGGCAATTTCTAATTGGCTTCTCTGGCCTTTTATCGAAATCCCTAGTTTGCCCCTAAACCGCGTAAACCATACGTATTTTATGTACATGTATCTAAGCATTAGGTCTCTCGCAGACACAGACACTGAACAGCCGCGTTCTCGCTTTTTCTTTTTGCAGTGAGTCACTGAGTTAACACCACGATGGCCGAACGAGTCCAACCGAGCTACCCTCCACCCTCCACCGATGAGCAATTGACGCCAAAGCTAGCACCTCCGTCGCCTGAGAAACCTATTCCACAACCTGGAACTTACGTCATCCAAATCCCCAAGGACCAAATCTACCGCGTCCCGCCGCCGGAGAACGCACGCCGCTACGCGAAGCTATCGAAACGTAAGGCTCGCCAGAGCACCTGTCGTAGCTGCTGTTGCTGCTTGTTGACCACCATCCTCGTTTTCCTCCTGGCCGCCGCCATTCTCGCAGCCGTCGTCTACTTCGTTTTCAAGCCTGAGTCTCCAAAGTACTCCGTGGAGAGCGTGGCAATCAAGGGATTCAACCTAACGTCATCTTCGCCGCTCTCGCCAGAATTCGACGTCACCGTCCGGGCAAACAACCCCAACGATAAAATCGGTATTTACTACGAGGAAGGCAGCTCCGTTAAAGTTTTCTACGAAGAAGTCAACGTATGTAACGGTGCGTTGCCGGCTTTTTACCAGCCGACGAATAACGTAACGATGTTTGAAACGGCTTTAAAGGGCTCCGGTATTGAACTAAGCAAGGCCGCTCTTAGGGCGCTTTCCGATGAGCAAAACAAAGGAATGGTGCCCTTTACTTTGAAACTGAGAGCGCCTGTTAAGATTAAATTGGGGTCCATTAAGACATTTGAGATTACCGTTAAAGTGACGTGTGATATAACGGTAGACAAGTTAACGGCGGCGTCTAAGATTGTGTCAAAGGACTGTGATTATGGCGTAAATCTATGGTAGTCAGGTAGTGTTTGGAGTGTAGTTGGTACAGTTGGGATGTTTGGTTGCGAGGATAGTACTCCATTAATCTGGTTTTTCCTTTTGGGGAACTTTTTCTCATCATATTACATATCATAGTTGTGGTATACATGATAGAGATTTTTAATTGACATCGCATTAATGATATTATATGACATGGTTTATTTAATTCTTTTTTATTAATTTATTTGATTGTTTGTATTCTTTTAGTTATATGATTAAATTGTACAAATCATCCCTCTACTCTTTTAATTTCATTTTTAATTATATTTACTTTAACGATTTAAAAAATATAAAAATTTGATTTTAATAGATTAATATTTACAAATTAAATTCATCATTTCATATAAATACAGAATAATTTGTATGATTTGACTTAATTATATCATGGGAGTGATGATTTTTTTTATATATAAACAAAGATTGACAAAAATAATTTCAATGCCATTTATAATTAAGGGATTAGAAATCATTGTGTATGGTTTAAATAAAATGCTTTCCAAATTATTTCTTAAATTATTATATTTTAGGGGGTGGTTGATTAAATCATTGTCTTACTCTTGGGCTATTGGCTAGTAATGATTTATCTTTCATTTACTTATCCAATAATTGTTATGTATTCAATGACTGAACGCACATTCGCATGAAAATTTAGGAGTTATAGTCCCCACGCTTGGAGGAATCATTCCAAGAATGTGAAATGTTTTGGAAATTTGGAAATAGAATTTCGGTTTTTATAAGCTCCAGAATTGGTTATGCATGTCACTGACTTGGACTAGTTCAAAGGATGCATTATAATGTACTTCATGAATTATTTTAGACAGCATTATATTATTTTCAAGATTTTTATAATAATTTAGTTATCGAAATAATTTTATTATTAAAATAATCTTATTACTCATGAAATAAATTTATTTTATTTAATTAAAAATCATTAATTTTAAGTAATTAAAAATTATTGTATTTGTTATTACAAAAATCAAATATTATTTTATTTGAAAGTACTAAAATAACTATATATATTATAATAATTACATAAGTTAATGATTTCAATATTATTTAGAGATAATAATTTTTAAAATATTAGTATTTTTTATTTACCTCATAATAATATATAATTAAATTATTAAATTAAACAATTTTATTGATAGGTAAAATAGTTTTTATAGTATAAATTAGGTAAAAAAAATATTTGAATTAGAAAATAAAATTAATCTATTAAAATCAAAAGATTACATTATATATATTAAAAAATAAAAAAATCATATAAATTATTTTTGAACTTGTTATAATGAATATTAATTTAAAAATATAAAAATTTATAATATAAAATATTTAGAGTTAATTTTTTTTTAAAAAAATTAATTCACTATTAATTATCGTTAATTTTATATATCACTTCATCTTAAAACGTTTCTCATCTTTTTAGATGAGAATTAAATCATCTTTTAAGATAATAATTTATGTGAAAAGCTAATCATCGTTTTAAATGAAAATTATATTTTAAAAGTGAGAATTAGATTATTTTATAAAATAATGATTTAATTAATTTTAATAATTTAATATTATTGTCACATATAATTATTAAATAATTATCAAATATAATAATTTAATCACCCTATCACAATAAATTTTTTAAATGATCATTCCATGCTAAACACCAATTAATATTGATTTTTTTTTTTTTTGGGGGTAACTGCTCATGGTGGGGGAATAAGTTTCCATGGAAATTATTGATTAATGAGAGAAAGTAAGAGACAGAAAGGAGATTTCTAATAACGTGGGGGATGAAGTCAGCTCCAAACTCCTAACCTGATATTGATGGTCTGGCGTGACCAAAAATAAATGGCCAAATGATAAAATTAGTAAAAGCTTTAAGTAGACCTCCCCGGTAACCACCCAGTTTTATAAATGGTACAAGCAATTAAAACTTACGCTCCTTTCAGCATTCCAACTCTCAATAAAATATTAATGCATATATATCTTTTGTTAATCGGACGTAAACGATTCGTAAGCTACTCACTCTTTGACTCTGAATACTCGAGCTTGACCCGTGAGCCAGTAAGATTTGATCTCGTGAATACTTAAGTTTGATTGCTTTATTTTCGAACTGAATTTGAACTTAAATTATTTAAGTAAAGAATTGAATTGAATTTAAATATTTTAATATATGACGCAAAAAGTTTATAGATTTAATCAAAATTTGTTAAAAATTTTTATATTTAATATGTAAGCATGTATAAAAAAAATAGAGATATGATATTTAATATTTATATTTATGATTTTATGGAACTTATAGAATCAAACTTAAGTTGTTCAAGTGAATTATAAGTAAAAGATCTCGAGAAAAAAATATCATAATTGATTACTTATTATTACTAGCATCAAGAAATGGAGTGAATCTCAAGTGTACCGAGTTCAAGAATAAAAATCAAAACATGTTCAGAGCTCAAATCAAACTTTGAACCTTGAGTTTTCGAATTAGTCCAAATTTAAGTGTGAGAACAAATCGACCTGATTCACTTACAACCTTACCTGTTACTAAGAGCATTTATGCCTTAAAACAAATTTCCAGTTTTCAGAATCAGAAGGTACTGCTCACAGCATTACCATGACTTCCTGATTGGATACTGGGTACTTCAATGACAATTTAATCCTTTATAGTAACCAAAATGAGAGCATATGGGTGAAAATTTATCTGAGTTTCTATGCTCACTATTGGGGGAAAAAAAAAGTAAGAAAGAGACTATACAAGTTTTGTTTCATACCTCTAATTACAGCTTTGGCCTACAAATCACCCCATCTATGGCATCCATTTTTACAAAAGCAGAGCTTATTTATTGACTTACTGAATGTAACAGCTACCACATATCCTTACATTCCGTTCTCAATATAAAAATGCTGCATCCTATGTAAAATGCTACATGTGTCATATTTTTCTTGAACCCAAATTGCCATGATCGCTTGACAAATTTGTATTGGTCTTCTCCGGTGCGACTCTTTTCCGGATAGAATAATTTACAGTTGATCCTTTGATGGGTCGCTGCTTTGGTTACTGCAATGGTTATTGCTTTGATTGTTGCTCCTGAACATTGCTTTCATCATTGCCAGTCTCGGCTCCTTGGACAGACATATCATAATTAAGCTTAGCTTCTTGAATTTCCTTGTCAAGTTCTGCATACATCTTTGCAGATGCTTCCGCGAAACACTTCAATTGACCAATAAAGAAAACTAAGCTTGTCCCAAAAGAATCCTTCAAAGCATCGTCTCTGAATATGTTATACGCAGAATCACTGATGCCGTCGTCTTTCCTGGATGCTGACATCCTTTCTTGCATAGCATCATCTCCTGACATATTAATTGCAGAAATACTGTTGTCATCCTTCCCAGATGCTGAATATGGATGATTGGCATTCTTCCCCTCATTCTTTTCTTGGTGTGGTAAAAATCCAGATGTGTCTGCTGCCAAACGTTTAATAGAGTCTGAGACATCCTTTATTGACGGCTCCAATACCTCAAGCTTGTCGTACCAAGCGCCACATGTTACATATATTGGAGGGCCGAATTTTCTCAAGAATTGGGTTTGAAGATTTTTTCTCTTAGATCTCTTCAAAGAGTTTTGTTGAATGGAAACACATTTCTCAAGCCAACAGTTTATGGCTTTCAGATAAGCTTTCTGGGCACCAATCCACTTTGTAAAACTTGAATAGAGCAATCTTAGTTCATCTTCAAGATGAGCGGTGATCTGCTGATGTGATTCGGATGGTACAGAGATTTTCATGTTGCCAGTTTTGTATGCTACAGAGATAATTTGAAACTGACGCCTGTGACATTCAGACATTACTTCCCACATTCGACTCAACCTGTGTTGGCACAATAAGTGAAACAGATGATCTAGAAGAAGAATATTTAAGATAAAAGCAAAAGTAAAACTATTTTAGTAAGTTAAAGTATCATCTCTACAGGTTCGTACAAGTATGGGAGAAATGGCAAATAAAATCATCATAAAGGGAGAGATTTATTAGAATGGAGATATAATTGTTGGAGGGGAAAAGCAGTAACACAGACTTACCCTTCAATCAGCTCCTCAAGTTGTGGCTGCAGTTCACTGTCCCGTAAATCCTCAATCCTTTTGGATATTGAGTGAATTCTGTGAATTGCAACACTAATTCTTGAGTGCAAATCCTTGATAACAGCTCGAGTCTTGTCAATTTTCCTTGAACTCTCTGCTGTTGACTCAAGCCGTCTTAAGCTTTTACAGTTCAAGTCATACTCACTTCGGATTAACTCACTGGCCTAAGGATATGAGAAATTACAAAATGAATAACTTTCAATAATCATTTATTTTAATGCCCTCCAGACAAGTCACAGATTGACTAGAAAACCTCAAGGCTTCAAAAACTTACTGGTGCAAAATTGGAGAACTTTTTGACTTTGAAAAAAAATAAAAAAACAACATCCAAATAGGAGTAAACTATTTGAAGTTCTAACTCAGAACCCAGGACAATAAATGTCCAGGGTTCCACATATAGGCAAAGTTTGCAAACATAGGACCAACTACAAAAGCATGCATTTTCCTAGGAATTGAAGCTCTATTCCTGATCCTCTTTTAATGGTAATCTTTTAACAGCAGAAACATCAGTAGCACAGAACCACAAAACCAGGACTGTGCAAGGACATTCTTCAAGACAATCACTTCAATTCCTAGCCCATTGACTACCAAGACATTGAATTTATCTTGGAATATCCTATTTCACCTAAGCTGGACTCAGAATGTCTAAACAGAAGGCATATAACCAGAAATGAAAACTTCTCTGCAGGTCTGGAATGGAAAAAGTAAAGCAACAGAATAACAAACAATACCTTTACTTCATCATAAAGCTTCCTCTCCCACGCATATAGTCTATTGAAGGTTGAGGCATGACTACCTGAAATCATGCAGGAATTATAGAAAAGATTGTTGCTAAGCCCCTCAGCGTCGTCCTTTGCATTTAATCCCAGAGGATTCCCAGATGAAGATGATCGAGACGATGTTGTCCTATGCCAAGTCAAGTACTTTTCAGCGGTTTGAGGAGGCTCTAAGTAATGATAATAAAGGATTAGCATAGGAATCAAGATTAAAAAAAAAAAAAAAATCTAAGGTGCTCAACACAGAACACTTGCACTAGATCTCACTACATACATTCTAAATCAAATAAGTTTGCTGATATTGAGATGCTACCACAGTTGCCCCTGTATATTTTGTTGTGCATTCATTGTTTATGATAACAAGGCTGAGATATTGCAAACATGCATAAAAGGACTTTTAGATTAAGCGCATATAATTCCATATTGATTATATTCCCCATAAAAGGATTTGATAACATTAATGTCTTAAATATGTGAATTTTCCTGTTGTATCCATTAATACAACTCAACTTTCTTCCACTTGTTGCACCTTTATATACATAACTGTACCTTGCTAGTAATTTCTAGTAAAATATATGCAGTAGAAAGAATGCATCCCACTGTCTTGCCTAAAAAAGTTGGCAAAGAAAGACTCCCAAGTCCCAACTGCTAAAGTTTGATCGTGCAATGGTTTCATGTAAGGATTTCAAGGCAATAGCATAAATTTGGACGTCATTTTATCATCCTTTCACATTGATGTTTTTCTTCAGACAATTAATATTAGTCATTCCCTCTTCCCATCTTATACTGTACAATTTCAAGATATAATGATATATCCCATTTGTTACCTTTGCTCATAGCTCTGTCTGCCAAGTATATTCTGTTTGGTGCATAGAATACCCAATCACTACCAAGACATGTATTTCAATACCAAACAAAAATGCATGGAACTACACTTAAGGAGATCAAAATGCTTCAAGATGGTTATTGCTTATTTCTAAACTATATAATTAGTAATGGAGATGTACCTTCTTTAACATGGCTTGGATCTTCTCCGCAAGAGAAACATGCTCTGAAGAACGAGGCTGTCATCAATCCGCCTAACATGGTAGAAACTTCTGTTACCAATAGCTTTCATGAACTAAGATAAATGTAAGAAATCTCAACTATTTCCTATGACCCTTCAATGAAACTGAATAAAATGGAAAATTCCCCCAAATCACCAAAAATTCAAAATTATTTTACCAATTTTTTTACATGTCAAGGCTTCAATCCAAATGCATTCAATCAAAGTCATTCTTTAACTGCCATCATGCAGATAAATTTTAAACAATATAAAAAATTGCAAAATAACATTGTTCCTCTCCTCACTAAAGAAACCACTTCTTAATTGAGCACACAGCTGCCAACCCTTATGAGACACCAAACATACTGGGAATTGCACTCTGCATGTGTGCGATGGGCATGCATATGAGAGTGACAAAGAAAGAGAGAGTCTGGATCTTACCTTCTTTTCCTGGAAAAATAGGACGGAATTGAAACTTATTAGCTTCAAGCATCCTAGGAACTTCTTTCCCAGAGTCAGAAGCTTTTATAAAGAGGACCTCAATATCTTTCATGACAGAATGGAAGTCTTTAGGGGCAGCCCTGTTTTCAGAACCATCTTCTTTGACAGGTGTTTTCTTTATTTCAGTTGGAATAGAAACACCAGAGGGTGTACCTCGTAGTGGTGACAAATCAGGAGAATTGCTCTTTTCCCCATTGATAAAGTCAGTTTCTGAAGCTACACTACCTGCAGAAGGGTTAGCTGATGATGCATTGGCTATTTTATGGTCATTTACTCTATTCAGATTTTCAAAACTTCGAACTAGAGTATCTGCAGGAGTCTCATCATCGAATTCGTCTTCTGAACCCTGAGTTTCTTCTCTTTCATGTAAAGAAGCCCCCTCTTCATCTTCCAGATCAGAAAGACCCTCCACTTCCCTATGTTGTCTTAAATCATCAACAGTTTCTGACCCTTGGTTCAATTCCTTCCCTTCTTGAAATGACAATTGATGGTCAATAGGATGCGAAAGACCAAAGAAATCCCATTGTGGAGTTCCTGGCGGCAAAGAAGAAGCTTCAAATGGTGATGATTCTTGTTTTTCAGTGGAATGGGGTGGGGTATTCTGTGCAATACTTGATGAGGTAACCAATTTGATATCATTTAGAGGGGGTTTCTCTTCAACTATTTTTGAAGACATAACCCCAAATTTCATTTGGTTCACATGAAAATGACTGGAAGTAAGAGGAGAACGTGATGGAGAAAAGGCTTCAGTTGCATCTACACGTTGTGAGAAAGATGGAGAAGAGTATGAAAACTGGGAAAGAGACTTCTTGTTTAAAGTAAGGGGCTCCGGTGTAGCATTAGTCGAAGTGTAAAGCGAAGACTCAACCGGAGCTTCAAGCTCAACAAACATTCTAAGAGCACTTCCTGTACTTTTTAGTGTCTCAATATATGCAACATGAGTAGCAGCCAGTGAGCATCTTCCATCCAGTGCCTGACGAACATACTTCTTCCTTTCACGACATAACTGCAGGGCCTTATCCTCTTCTATTTTAGAGCCAGAGGCCCCCATATTTCTACCCTCTACTGATGGATACTCCTCTTAACATGCAATCAGGACATAAGGATTCTCCTGGAAATAAATCAAGCTCATGCACATTAAATAAACATATAAAAAGGTTTAACAAACCTGACAGAAAACAATAAGCTAAACTCAATTCAAAATCAAACCTTTATTGAAGCACACATTAAAGAAACATGAAAACAATCTCAAGAAAGATAAAAATGGATTCAAAATTAAAATTTCAAAGATAAATATGGAATTGTAGGAGCCGAGCATCTTGGATATCCAATAATTGTATCTCCAATATTTAATTTAAAACCTGTCCACATTTAAGATTGAAGACTTAAGTTTTCAGATGCACAATATCCAGTGGATTTCACAAATCACAACATGAGAAGCTTCACGCCAAAAGTAATTGATTAAGAACTAATACTATAGACACTTAACCAAACAAATTTGGGGTGGTGGGGAGACAGAAAGTTAAGGCAAAAGATAATGCTAGAAGAACATGAGTCAATAAACAGCGCCATCAACAAGAATAAAAGAAATAGCAGTTCACAATTTGAGCCAACAGAGCAAGAGAAAGCAAGCGAATGAGCAAACTTAAGCTAAATGAGAACCAAACTTGAAAAAATTGGATGGGAAAAGATTTGACGTACAATCTTGAACTCAAAACCTATAATAAACCGACAACCTTTGAGAAAAAGTTAAAGAGCAAGTATGATTAAAGAATGCTCAGATATCTTTAATTTTTCAGCACAAAGCAACATGAATGGAGACGGAAAATAAAATAATTAAAAAAAAAAAGCTGCAAAGTTCAAAATTTTAATGTAGAAAAGAAAACCCAAAAAAGGGATGGTAGGGAATCTATGTGGATATTCACGTGTGCATCTTTCAAGACAAAACCAGTATAATTATGTCAACAATTGCTATAAAACCATATAATCTTAACAAGATTAATTTCTCTTCAACTCGAAAACATTTCCCAGAAAGTCATCTCTATGTCCCAAAATAAAAAAAAAAATCAATCTTTGTTTGTCAGAGCTATGAAACATAAAATAAAAACAAAACCCCACAAAGAAAGGAGATTAAAATACCTTGAAGACAAGAAACCCAGTTTGGTTGACTCAAAATTACACCAAAAGAGAATCAAATTCAAAACCCAGAACACAGTGATAAGATTAGATTCACTCTAAAAAAAGAAAGGCAACAACAAAAAAACAGTTAGAAGCAAATCTCATGAAAAAACATCAATCTTTTAACAATAAAAAGAGCTTCCAAATCAATGAAAGAGAAAACCCGGATAAGAAAACCAATCATAAAACCATCTTGCAAAGATTAAAAAGAAAAAATCAATTAGACCCAGATCCAGTAACTGGTGGCAAAGGCAGTTACCTTGAAGAATAAAGCAGCAAAAGAACAAAAGATGAAAGGAGTATAAAGGACTGATGGGATCCTTGATAAATGTCAAGCAAAAAGATAGAATAGAAAAGAAAAGCTTGGGTTTCAGAGCAGAGTCGTGTTCATATAGAAGAAGAAAGGATCATAGAAACAAGTGGAAGAATAGAAAGCAGAATAGAGAGTTTCTCCCTCTAAACAAATCGAGAAAAAAGGGTTGAAGCTATTAAGAGAGACGGCGAGAGATGAGTCATGTAATCAGTGATCAGAGAGAGGAAGGGGAAGCGAATCTGAATGAGGCTTGTGTGTTTTGTGTGCAAGAAGAATAACACAACGGACGGCTGCTTCCATGCAAAGCATTTGGAAAACAAAGGCAGTATGTGGACTGTGGTCCCCACTTCTCCTTCCTTTCCCTTTCAATTTCCAGTTTTTTAAGGTTTTCTTCTCGAACAAAACTTGTGATTTTCTAACTTTGTCTTTTGTCTTTGTTAATGAAATTGACAGGCTGACGAAACGGAAGTACCAAGTAGGGGTAAAAAAGGAAAGCAAGTTTTCTTTCTCCCATTTGTAAATTGAATGGAAAACACATACAATCAATGGGGGTTTTTTATACTGTGGGATGACCATGATGAAAGTGTCAAAAGAAAACAAGCACCTTCAGGGGGTTTTAGTTGGGAGAGAATAAAATGGAGAGAAATAACAAATCTTAGAGAAGAATAATTAAGAAGAGCATCTTCTTTTGATAACTACTTTTAGAAACACCTTTAATTGCCCTATTTAACACTACTTTTAAAGCGGATTTGATTAAAAAACTGTGGAAGCAGTATTAAGTTTTGAACTGCCAAAGTTTGACATTTGAACCTCACCAACCATGTAAGTTCAAAAGTTTGACAATCAAAGAAGTATGAGAAGATTGTATCAAACTTGTTTTCTTCCAACTTTTTTTTCCATTTTTTTTTTCATACTCTTCAAGGAAATGGAAAATATATTGATTTATAGTTATGAAAATGGAGAACAATTTCTTAATGAACCCAAGCTAAAATGGAAATGCCAACTTGACAGAATGACAGTCCATGATCATAAATCATGCAATAAATTATTGGGAGGGGAGCTAATCTCTGTTAGCTAGAATGCCAATTCTTGCTTTAAGAAGGTAAAGAAAGATGGTGCATATCCAATCATTTTACCATATTTTAATCTCTTCCTAGTTCCTACAATTTTTTATTGAAAAAAAAACATTATTCTATTAGGCTAGAAATATAAAAGATTTATTTAGGATTTGGAGTTTGGACCTCGCATTCAAAAAAAATTGAGTCTTTTATATGTAGATGTTATGAATTTTATATCTTATATTATAGTTTCACTCATTACATGTTGATCTTTACTCGTTTGATAGTAGCTTAAAACACAAATAAAGAGTACATGAAAGCTATGTTGCCATAAGCTCAGGTCAGGCAGCTGCAGATAAAAATCAATTTAGATTGTTTATGTTTTTTTTTTTTTTTTTTTTTGCAAAGGATTTGGAGTTTTAGGGAAGTGACAGACAAAATCATGTGATTAATCAATGTCTTAGTGAATGAATCTTCCTAAATATGAATAGAATTTGAATTATAAACACAGTAGAATACATTAGAGAAAATTTTTATGAAGTTTTTTTTTTTTTAAATGATTTAATAAAAAATTTAAATTGATAAATTGATAGAGTTAATGTAAAAATCAATAACATGTAAAAAAATTATTAAAAAATTATTTATAATTAAAATTTGATCTATACTTATTCAATAATAAAAATTCTGATAACATTTTTACTAAAAATATTTATCTAAAAATATATATTGAAATTTATTAAATTTTTTTTTAAATTTACACACTTGATTTATGTAATGAGACTTTTTAATTTATCAATTTTAATTTTAATTTTTATTTAATCATTTTTAATTAAAAACTTCATTAATTTCACCTAAATAATTTGAACTCTTTCCCAAAACATGTTTACATTTCTCTTTTTCTTAATCCCAAGGAGTCTTTTAAATAGAGAAAATCTAACATTTTCCCAAATTATGTTTTTGGATTTTAAAATCCTAATTTAGAAATTCTAGTTTTCTGTTCCTTCTTCATTTTTCAGCCTCTCCACATTAAAATGGGAGGGGAAAAGGAAAAATCACCACCCTTTTTAACTACCAAAAAGATGCTTTTCACAGGAAAATGCTTTGACAGATTTTATACCAGATTCCAACCAATATTTCCCAAAGAAATAAATAAAATTTTGTATACTTTTCAGTTAATGTATTTTAATTTTCATTTTGGTTTCTCCTAACTAACCTCTCTCTGGATCTAATAATTTGCTTGCATGTTGCAACCCACATGAAAAGCTAAAAAAAAGTTAAATCTGTTATTCTTTCACCATTGACTTTGATAAACCAAAGTAGGGCAAAAATATCGAAAAGGTATTTCGAGAAGATCAAGGATGATAAGAATCAAATCATCTAAGTTAGTTTTATATTTTACCATGCATGTTAGCAGAATCTGAAGAGAAAAGCAGCTTCTTCAGTATTAAGCTAGTAATCCCATTTTATATTATTTTTATTGTCAGTGAAATCTTTGATATCTTTTTGGACCAACAAATCTCAGACACCTTGCCACTTAGCACATTAGGATTAATGTAAATCTTTTTTATTAGACTCTTAAGTGCTTGTAAATTGCACAAACAAAGCTTCATACAGAAATAGATATATAAATAGATTAATTCATTGTATTTGCATTCTACCAATGTGTTTTTCGCAGTAGAGACAATTTTATGATTTATCATAAAGATGAAAAGTGGCATAGATTTCCATCATAAAGCTTGCTTCTCGAATTGGATTTAGCCAATGAGGCATTTCCTTTAGCCTACACTGTAAAAAGGATGAGAAATAACTGGCTTGATTTTACCAGGGGGCAACAGGAGCTGACAAATGCTAATGACATGAGAGGAAATTATCAAAACCTGGCAAATGAAGCTGAGGGAAGATTGTCTGAGATAAGAAGTCAAAAGGGCTGAAAAAGCAAAGGCAGCCCATCTGTAAAATTTGGAAAGACAGCCTGCAGAGAAGATGAATTCTTAAGAATAATTCAGAGATCCTGCCATGCAGAAAATGTGCCTTGGAATTAAGATACATAGTCTTGTACTGGACTACTGGCGGGAGAAGCAATGGATCACAAGTGATTGAATTCAGCTAAATTGATGACAGAATAGAATGGCTGGTGATCAATTGTTATAGGCTAGGGAAAAATTGAACATCTTCATCCAGCTAGTATACCAACCTGTTAAGCTACTGATTCCAATCTGAGTAACAGAGACATTAACTTCACCTTGTAATTGAATGTCAAAAAATGAAACCAATTTTTCTTCATCGTCAACTAACTTTTTGCCTGATATTTAAAATCAAATTGACAATGGAGCAGCACTCTTCACTTCCATCATGATCAACTTTCCAGCCATTTTAGATACAGATATTGGGGCCAGCTTGGATAGCTTGTCAATTATAAGGTTGCACCTGTTTAAAAAGCTGGACATACAGAGATCAGGGCTCCCCTTTATGCCAAGAAAAGTTGATGAACATAGTAAAAATATAATCGGGTTGGCACTCGGCAAGAGAGGTGAACAAATAGAATGAAAGATAAAGGAGGAAGTGAAAAACTAAAAGCAAAATGAACAACCCATTGTATCTGATCGGAAACATACCAATTGAACTCTAATATTTTTTTTTAATAACAAAAGAAATAAAACAGACCAAATGAATAAAATAAATGGAAATGATTCAGAAGCTTGGTTTGGGTTTAGAATCTAGGTACTAATAGTTCGGATCGAATTGAATTTGATTTGAGTTGTTTGAATATTACATAATATTATAAAATTTTAAAATTTGATTTAAATTTGAATCGAACTTTCATTCAATTAGAATTGAATTGAATTTTATAGGTTTAATTCGGTTCGATTTATCAGTTTTTAATTTTTAATTTTTTAAATTATTTTAATATAAAATTTTAATATATTTAAGTAGATTTTGATATAAAATTATTATTTTTATTTTATAAAAATTTTAAAAATATATAAAAATTAAAAAATATATATAATTCAGTTTGATTTATTTTTTTTCGATTTTTTACCTTTCGATTCGAAATTCGATCTAAATTTAATATATAAATTTAATATCCAAACTGAATAAAAAAATCGATTCGAACCGAACTAAACATTATAATTTCAAATCGCTTTTCAATTTTTTCAATTTTTTTCACCTTAAATTCAAATCCAAAGCTCAAATGACATATAAAAGTCCAAATTTAAAAACTTAGTCGTGTGTGGTTTAAGAAAATATTTTTTATTTTTTTCAAATAATGTATTTGGAGGATAAAAATAAATGTCTGTTTTCTAAAAATTCAAAATAATAAAATATGTTTGATATGTTATACAATTTTTTTAGAAAAATAATAGTTAAAGAAATAAATAAAATATTCAATAATATTACTCTTATTTCAAAATTTTAAATTTTATTTAATAATTTCATTAACTTTGTTAAAGGAATTCGAATGAAAAGAGATAAAACAGATTATAAATAATCTAAAGACAAAAAAGGAAAAAACAATTGATTATGGAAATAATTACTATTAATGGCTTTTAATTATAAATGTATAATATATATTTGTTAATTAATGGCTTCAAAATGTGTTCAAATATAAGATAACTTATTAGCTTGCTAAATCCAAGTAAAGTAACTCATAATCAAAAATATTTTTTATTTTTATATTTAAATCCATTTTTATTTTTATTTTTTAAAAAAATAAAAACGAAAAATACCTCTGTTTTCTTTTCTTTTTAAGTTACTAGGGAGGATCTTGATACCTTTTGTTTGAGGTGATGGATATATCATGAATGCTTCATATGTTTTTTTTTTTAATCAAATTCTCAAAAAAAAAAAAAAAGAACTAGGATAATCCCATTAATACTCAACTTACCAATTGTGCATCATGTTTATGTTCGTACGTTTTTCATGGTTTCTTTTTCAATACAAAGCTACTTTTATGATCTGATAAGATTTGTTTATATTAATAATTTCTAAATCACACAAACAATTTTCTATGTAAAGAAAAACTATAGAAATTTGTAAAATTACATCGATTTGGTACTAATTGCTTTGATGATTATTGAAACTTGATAGCTGTATTTTACTTGATGCATGGAGGTCAGATTCCAGTTGTCCAAGAGGAAAAGGGGAGATTAAGGAAGTCCAAACCAAAGAAGTAATTCAAAGCCAGGACAATATCAATTATCAACAAGCTTATCAAATCTTGAAAATTTCACTATAAGTCTTGCCCAAAAAATTCACATATAAAGTGAGGTGATTTAGAGATTACATAAATCATTTCAGAAACAGTTAGCAAGTTAGGGCTCAACTCCCCCTCTCCCATGTCTTGACCAAAAACAATGAGCAGACCAGTAGCAGCCTAGAGATGCAACCAATAAGAACAAAACAACCTTGACCATTGATGGCAAAGTGACCATAACATATACACACACATAGACTAACAAGAACAAATTAAACAATCTTGTAATCCACTTTCGGCACACCGAGCAGTTTTATACCTAGTAGACAGTAGTATTAAATTGGATGATGGCATCCCCTTACAAATACATAGGCTTGCAGGATGTTGCAGTCCTCAAAGACCAATGATTTTCCTATGCATTTGCTGTCCATGCAAACCTTCATCTCCATCGTGATCGTGAAAAATGAGTGTTAAGATCCCTACCAAGCATAGCACTAAACCCACAAGAACTTTGTCATATCGCTCCATCCAATGAAACTTGAGCTGGCTAGCACCATAGAATGATAAAGCCACCAGGGAGGTCATCACTGCTATAGTGCTGCAAATGCAAATCCAACGTCGCCTTAATTAAGCCATGTATAGTAAAATATGCCCAGGCTATAGCTTTCAAATAAGGAGAAGAACAGACTAGGCCGCTATATGTTATCTTGTCTGATTAACCAGAACTTAAGTATACCTGCAGACTAGTGACATCCAAAATATCTTCTGCAAAACACACAAGGACTTGCGAACTCTTTCATACACATAGAAAACTTTTCCTGTTTGTTTGTCCTCACTTAGATCAGTTCATTGTAACATTAAACTCTTATACAAACAATGTTAACAACTAATGTTACAGATTATGGGTTGAAGCAGGATGCAAGGACTGCGTTGAAAAAAATTATTGTCGCCAAAGCTTCAAGAAAAATGGTGGGTGCTGGGGAAAAGGAAGGAAAAATCATGCAATTTGTTTTCAGGAAACAAAGTAACTGGCTTAAATCAGTTCTATAAAAAAAAATCAAATTGATTAAACAATTCTCAAAATTCGGTCCTTTGTTATTTATACCTGAATAGCAGCACTATAATTGCAAGTACCATCATGGAAGACGAATTTCCAGCAGCTAGAAACACAGGAAGAGTGGTAGCGCAAGGAGACAATGCCGGAACAAGGACAAGTCCGGCGACAGCCATATTCTCCATGGGTTGGTTATGAGAATGACTGTGACCACCCTTTCCAGACAAAAACAACAATATATAGCTACCACCAAGAACTATGAGCAAAAGTGAAGCAAGTTTATGCACTGTTTCTTCACCGGCAATCGTGTTCGCCATAGTGATTGCTGTTATACCAAGAAGTGAAGTAGATATTACATGCAAAACTGCTCCGAATGCGGCTGCACATAGAAAATAGTACAGAGATAAAGAAGAATGACTGAAGCAATGCGCACAAAAATTGTTTTAACAGTATTTGATTCCCTTATGTTAAACTATCTGCTACAAAACCTTCAAGTTTTGATAAAATGATAGAAACCCAGAAAAGCAAATCAACTGCAAATCAATTATGACTTTAAATAATGTTTAAAAAAAAGCATCTGGGTATGTGTAAATTAGAGATCTAAAAGCATATATAGTTAGATGGAGGGAACTTACTGACTAAAAGGGTACGAGAAAGGGTCCATTTTTGGGCACGTCCGACGATGGAGAAGGGAAGCCAATGGGTGGGAATGAAGGAATGAAGAAGAGAAACGGTGGCTATGCCGCCTATTGTTGACAGATCTTCGGCGCTGAAACTCTCCATTTTTGCTTTTGTTTTAGAGTGAAAGGAGATTTAAGAATTTGAGATTCCTCGGGTCTTAGTTAGATTCAGAGAATACATTGCCGCATTACATTGATTTTGGTTTTCTTTTTTGAGTGGAGAAATGGTGAAGGAAGAAATGGATTAATGGCGTCAGTTGAAGCCTTGAGAAAGAGATCTGAGAATGAAATGAAGTTGATAAAAGCAAATCAGAAAAACGATAGGCTTTGGTTGATGTAGGCTTTTCGCACCAATTTATTTTTTTACGTTACGGTGGAATTGGCTTTTGATTTGGAAATAATGAATTACCCTGTTCCATCATGGTCAGCTTATTTGCTTCCCCCTTTACTGGGGTTTTTCTTGAAGAGGAAACTTTTGCTTACAAATAAATGTGACAAAAAAAAAAAAAGAGTACAATTTTATTAAACAAGTTTAATAAATGTAAAAAAAAAAAAGAGTATAATTTCATTAAACAAGTTTTCTGTTTTCAACTTTTTACTTCTCTCAAGCAGGCATTATTTGAGAATCTATAATTGGTCATAGCAGGTGTAGTATTGGATCTTCAGAAGCCCTTTAAAATGTTGGCAATGGCAGAAACAAGTTGCCTTTACCAACGCAACAAATGGCTAAATTGATGGCAAGATAGATTCAACATCCAAATGAAATATAGAACTGCAAAATGATTTAGAAAAAAGTAATAATCTTAAACGAAATCCACTCACAAAATCCCTAGTACATGGGCCAATAACATCTCTGTCCCACATCAAACATCCGGACCGGCTACAAAGAAAGTTCTGAATTTCAGAATAAGTTCTCTTTAACATCAATGTTTCTAAATATCGAAAAATAGAAACAAAACCTAGGAATATGTAGCTTAGTGATCCCCGGGCATGCTCTTAATAATATCAGAGTCACCTGAAAAACACCGAGTTACCACAATCAGAACAAGCAGGTATAGAGTATGTAATTCAACATGTTAACAACAGCCTTATATGTACCAGGGTCAATAATGCTGAGGCAGCACACTCTGAAATATTTGCCGCAAGCAGTGCCCAAGTCTACATTGTCTGCAGAAACAAAACACCCACATTTTTAAGGGAATAGTCCTCTAAACCAAATGTTGAATTACCAGCAAACTTTAAACAACAAAGTTGTCACCCATTAATCAACCAATCAGCCTTACATATGAAAAACTAGAATAACAGGGAAGGCTGTTTCCATCAAGGAACAATATTACAAAGATAAAGAACACACACCGTAGACCTTAGAAATCAAGTCATTAATTGGCTTTTACATACAGATTAGGGTTCGTTCAAGTATTTCCATTCACCAGCACCAGAAAATGAAATTCCAAATGTCTTTTCGCGAGCATCTTCAAATACAAGCGTTATTACTAATAACTAAAGAATGGTGGGGGGGCAGGGAGGGGGATGAACTAATCTTATTGATAATCTGTGAACTGAATATAAAATGGATATAGCTCAATGTGATGTGAAAATCAATCCAAGATACTAAGTACGCAAATCATGACATAAATAGCTCATATGAAAATCAATCCCAGATTCTAAGAACTTAAATCATGACATAAGTAAGTATTTCAAGTATATAACAAGAATATAATAGGTAAGGCGACATACTTCCATTGTAGTGGTGAACTCCAACCTTGCACAACATGGCATAATATTCAATCTCCGACTTCCTAAGAGGAGGGCAGTTGTTGGCAATGATAATTAACTTACCTGCAAAACATAAAAAAATAAGAATATCCGCCTTCCTATTTACGAAGCTCAATCAACATAAGATTCACATCACAAACGGAACAATCCAACATCAAACAAATCAAGCAAAAACCATCATGCCCTTGTCCAAGTTAAACACTATTTTAACAAAAAAAATGAAATTAATTCAACTTCAATCCACCAGTCAAAACAATAAAATAAAAAATCCCATCATTTTTCATCTAAACCAAATCTAAAAACACCAGGAATATTCAAATCAACCTAAAATTTTTGAAATCAGACAACAAGCAGAGTTTTTTTAAAAAAATCCAATACCTTTGGAGCTTCTGAGAGATTTGAGAACAGTCTTGTAACCCAAGGTGTATTTCCCACTCTTCATAACGAGAGCCAATCTGTTGTTAATGCTCTCATGAGTCTTCTTCTGCATTTCATCAGACACCCCATTAACAACATAACCATTAATTAGCATATTTTCAAAAAATTAGAAAGAAATAACTGTAAAAAATAAAAAAAAAAAGAAATCGAGGGATTGATTTTACGGTCTTCTTGGCGGCAACCATTGTCGTCCGAGGATATGATAGCTTCGCGAAGACGGGGGCTGGGACTGGCTGCGGAAAATACGAATTGGTTGACCACTAGAAAGAAACCCTAAAATCGAAACAAATGTATTGATTCCTGACTCTAGGGCTTTTATTTTAGGATTGGGTTTTGGGGCTTTTGGTGTTTAGTGTTTGGGCTGAAAGACCGACAGAAAAAGAAAACAAAAAAAAAAAGAAAGAATGCTTCGTTGCCATGATCCATCCCAAAATCATGGCCCAATCCTTTTAGAGATCCAATACCAATTTCAACATCAAAGGAAAGAGATTTTTTTAGACTTGTTTTTTTTTTTTTCCTCCTTGAATTCGTTTACTTCACCGTAATATAATTTTAAAGTATCATAGTCCAATGGTCAAGGGACACATAATATAATTTTAAAGTATTATATTTTTTATTTTTCTTTTTTTTCTTTATATGTTGTTTTACTTAAATTTTTATTTGAGAGATTTATAATTTAAAAATATTGTAAAAATAATAAATTATAAAATTTTATCAACTTGCTTGTACAAAAGGCACTGTTTAATTGAAAAGCTGTAAAAGTATATAAAAAATTTTAAAATTATTATATAAAAACCTTAAATAGATAAGAATCAGTTATAACCCAATTTAATTATATTAGATATTATTGGAATATTTTTAAAATAATAAATTATATGAATTATATATGATGATAAATGGTTGTTTTAAATATAATTATTTATTAAAAATTATGTCCTACAAATAATGATGTTTATATAAATATATTTTTTTTATGGACAGAAATACTTGTACAAATGGACATCTATTTTATTATTAAGGGAGCTCTTAATTTTTGAAAGAGATAGAAAATACAATTTACATTAAAAAAATTTGGTAAATTAAACAAAAGCTAGGAAAAAGCCCTACATGTTTTTTATAACTAAATCATATGATTATATTATTGCATTTGTGAATGTTCGGCGAATTAATTTCGTAAACATAAAATGTAATTAATCACAAAATTTCATTATATTTTTAAGATTTATTCGCTAATAACATTTTTTATATTAGTTAATAACAAATTTCAAGATATTAACTAAAAAAAAAAAATCTTTGAATTTGTTAGTTCCAATGAAAGTAAATATATTTTGATCAATCCCCCAAAAAAAAAAATTGTAGTGAACAAAATTTATGATTCTTTAACAGCTAAAAAAAGCAAGTAAAAATTCATACAAAACTAAAGAGGAAATAAAGGTTCAAATGTAATTAACCTTGATCAAATTAAATTATGATTTCAACTCCTAAATATAACCTTTAAAGCTTTAAATTTTTACTTTTTGTGTTGAAACATTGGACGTTGGAGGGAGTATTGAAAATTAAAAAGTTAATGTACTTTTTCTCCCTACAAATAAGCCCTGAAACTTCTTTAGTCAGGATAACAATTTATGTTTAATTTACGCTGGTAATAATAAATCAATTCAAATTTGCTTACAAAATTGCTAACCAAGTTATTATTTAACTTTAAATATTGATTGAAATATCTATATATATATATATAAGTCATTGTAATAAATATAAAATTTCGTAACCTTATACTATAAATAAATTATTTGAAATCAAAATATACTCCGTTATATAGCATAATTAAATGTAGTTTATCTTGATATTGTCTTTATGTGGGATTAGAGGTGTTACAATTTTTTCACCTTTAATGCTTGACATCTCTGTCAAGTCGAGTCCATCAACAGGATCAAAATCACACCAGACCATCGTGTAGCACTTAGTGACTCATATGACTGCAGACTAGTGACCGTTTTAATATCATTTGTGGAGATCCACACTCAACCTGTGAGATATTGTCTATTTTGATCCGAAAATCTCACGATTTTATCTCATAAAAAATACTTCATAAATTGAGATTAAATCTCTACATATATATCATTCATTATCTACACATAATCTTGATATGAGATTAAAGGTATTACAATGATTCTCTTAAATAAAGCTCAAAAACAAACTCCGCATATGAAATATGATAATTTCATATGAAAAAAAAGGTCAGCTATACATTTATTTTTGAAATAGAAGTCATTATACATTAAATACTATTGAAATGTATATATTTTCAATGAACATATATATATATTTATAAAAAGCAATAAAAAAATTACAAGTAAAATTAATAATTTAAATATGATATGATATGATAATATGATATAAAAATTATATTAAAATAAAATAAAATGATATGATTTAAAATTTTAACGAATCATATATTAAATCGATAAAAATAAAAAAAATATTTTATATTTAATATATCAATATAAATTATGATATAATAATATTTAATTTTACATATATTAAATATGAAATAAATATAATATAAACTCAAAATATATTTTAGGTATGAATAATATCATAATATTTTTTCTTAACGATCCAACAAGCTTCGATTTTATCCTATAAAAAATCAAATCATAAAAACCCAAGTCATGAACAAAGAAAAACAAAAATGTAGTCATCGATGATTTAGTGTATTTAAAGGGCAATAATAAATAATTAATTACTTAAAAAAAAAAAAGAATTTGGCAGTGTAAAAAAAGGGTTTTTCTTTCTTTCTTTTTTTTGTAGTATTTTTATTTTTATTTATTTACCGGACCAATTCAGCTCTTCTTTCTTTTTGCCCTCGTCTTTAGTACCCTGAAAAAAAAAAAAAAAAACCTTTTCCGTTATTCTATTTCTATTTTCTCCTTCTAGGGTTCCGTTTCACCGCCACCATGGCCGAAGTCATAAACATGCCGGTCGATTCCCTCGAGCGCCGCGGCGGTGGCGACCGTAAAGACAATAACAACAACAGACAGCCTCCGACAACTGACGATCCCAATTCCTCTCCCCCACCGCCGCCTCTGTCTCGACGCCGCGACCGAGACTCGCGTGAGGTACGGGACCGTGACTACTACGATCGCAACCGCTCTCCTCCACCTCCACTTCCCAGAGAGAGAGATTATAAGCGCCGCAGTAGCATTAGCCCTCCGCCACCGCCGTTGAATTACAGGGATAGAAGACACTCCCCTCCGCTGCGGAGGTCACCGCCTTATAAGAGGTCTAGGCGTGAGGATGGAGGCTACGAAGGGAGGAGAGGGAGCCCTAGAGGAGGATTTGGACCTGGAGATAGAAGGTAATTTTTTTTTAGATTTATTGTCTTATTACAATTACAGAGGAGAGGGAGCCCTAGAAGAATTTGATGTGCTTAATGTTATGAACTTATTTCTGATTTGTTAAACATACTATTTTGCTTGATTGATTACAGCTTGGAAGTTCGTTAACTGAAAAAGTAAGACACGGGTTACAATAAGATGGAAAATAATCTGTAGTTTAGGTATAGGCCTGTAGAGTTTTGTAAAATATACTTTGTTAGGCCATGATGTGGCTATTTTGAATGCAAAACACTGCAAACAAAATCCTACTGGGTACTACTGACCTGCAAAAGAACCTTAAATATAGGAGACAGAATTTGACCCGCTGGATATGCTGGTAATTGTGCAAGATGTTTTTTAGTTGGACTGGGGGTAGCATTTTTTATGGTTAATGAAGGGTGTGAAAGTGTTTGTGCTGGTTTGCTTTAGGAAATTGTATACTTATTTGGGTCTTGATTTCATTTCCTTCTTGAAAATGCTTACACATTACAAGGATTCCTTGTTTGTTAAGGGAGCAAGGGACTTTCCCTTTCCTATTAATAGTCACATTGTTTTGCAAAATACTGGACTTCCTCTGAATATCTGGCACTGGCTTTTTGTTTTGTGTAGAGTTACCTGAAAATTGATCAGTCATTCAGTTTTCTCATATTGCTCTGTATCAGGTGTATCTTCTATATATGACTATGTTTCATTATTTTGACTCTGGACTTTTCTTTATGTTCATATTTTGGTCATCTATTTTGATACTTTCTTATATGATTAGTTATTTTCACTCGGCAGTTTTAGTTATATTAAGATTTACTCATGATGTAGAACACTTTTGATGATGCAGGTTTGGGTATGACTATGGTGGTGGATATGATCGTGAGATGATGGGGAGGCCCGGCTACCCTGAAGAAAGGCCTCATGGCCGGTACTTTGGTCGCTCTTCCAGTGGCTATCAGGGTAGTCCTTTCTAGAAACTGGTTAACTACTTTCAAATTTCCTCAAGCTTCAAATTTTGCACTTGGAATAATCTTGAAGACTTTTTTGTTACCTTCGTATTTACCTTCTTTTTGCCACTCACTATTAGTATAATTTAAAAGGTTATGTTACAGTTATTGATCCACATTCTTTGCATTCAAATTTTCAAATTTTAAATTTTAGCTGTTAATATAATATATGTTAAATTATTACGTTTAATGCTAGTTTTATAGACAATTCATTTTTACCAATAATTTGATATTTGAAGCCAGCAAATTCCTTCTGGTTATGAATAGCTCATTTTTCGTGTGATGAATTATGATAATTGAAGATTAACAATGGGTCGAAAATCAAAACTGGTATTTTGTACTTAGTTTTCCCTTTTTGCCCTTTTAGATGGTAGTGTCATTTTGGAAAGTATTTAGATGCATATGATCAAAGTATCTTTGGGCATCTATGAATGATGCATAATTGTGGTCAATGATGAAACTGCAATGAGTTGGTGTATTTCTTGTAAAATTCCATAGGGTGATGATTCACTATTGTATAATGTGATAGCGAAAAACTTTTTATCAATCTTTTCAATTTGTTCTGTTTTATTTTAGTTTGCCAAATGATATTGCTTCTGCAGATTGGGATTCTGGCCGTGGCGGTTATGGTGATGCTTCCAATTCAGGGAGTACTCAAAGGTTAGCTTTCCATCTTGTTTAGGGACTCTTGTTTAGATGAGGTTTGAATTGCTTTTTCGTTTCATTGCATTGCATTGTTGGCTTCATTGAAGTTTTCTTTTAATTGAGGCCAATTTCAAAATTGTTCTTATCATTTGATTGTTGGATCTTTATTTATCTCATTCAATAATATGACCTGATAAATAAATTTTTCAGAGAAGGATTGATGTCATACAAGCAATTCATTCAAGAGCTTGAGGATGATATACTTCCGGCTGAAGCTGAGCGCAGGTACATATGAGTATTAATGTTATTGATTCGGTTTTTAACTTGTTTGAGACTTGTGGCTTAAACAAATAGACTGTCAATTAACTGTGGCTTTTTACTTTACAGGTACCAAGAATACAAGTCAGAGTATATATCTACCCAAAAACGAGCCTTTTTTGATGCTCACAAGGATGAGGAATGGTACTTCCCATTGTTTACTGAATTACTGCCTCTCTGATCACATCATTTTTCTAATCAGGCTTTGCTTATGTATGTAGGCTGAGAGACAAATATCATCCAACAAACTTGGTCACTGTCATTGAAAGGTTAGTTGTACTTGCATATTTGATGATGTTTCAGTTCATGAATTTGTTAGTAAGCTGATGGACCCCCTCAGCCCTGTATTTTGTAGCATGGTATCATTGATGGGTTTGGTGTCATTTCCTCTTTTAGGAGGAACGAGCTTGCACGCAAAGTTGCAAAGGACTTTTTGCTTGATCTGCAGAGTGGAACACTGGACTTGTAAGATTGATATACTGTGTCCACTTACTTTACATGCATATTCAGCCTGGCTTCCTGCATGTTATTTCTGGCTACTAACCAATAATTTATGTTTGTGATGCAGAAATCCTGGTGTCAATGCCTTATCATCAAATAAGTCAGAACAGACCAGTGATCCTAATTCTGAAGATGAAGCAGACATTGGTGGCAAAAGAAGGCGGCATGGTAGGGGACCTGCAAAAGAAACTGATCTTTCTGTGGCTCCGAAGGCTCATCCAGTCAGTTCTGATCCCAGAAGAATTCAGATTGACATTGAACAAGCACAGAGCCTTGTACATAAACTGGATTCTGAAAAAGGAATCGAGGAAAATATTTTAAGTAGGTCCAACAATGACAAAATAAATAGAGATAAATCTCATGGTAGTTTGAGCGGCCCTGTGATTATTGTACGCGGCTTGACTTCTGTGAAGGGCCTGGAAGGTGTTGAGCTTCTGGATACTCTTATAACTTACTTGTGGCGTGTCCATGGCTTGGATTATTATGGAATGATTGAAACAAGTGAAGCTAAGGGTCTTAGACACGTGAGAGCAGAGGGAAAGAGTTCTGATGTGACTACTAATGGATCTGAGTGGGAAAAGAAACTTGACTCATGCTGGCAAGAAAGATTGAGGGGTCAAGATCCTTTGGAATTAATGACTGCTAAGGACAAAATAGATGCTGCTGCTGTTGAAGCTTTGGATCCTTTTGTCCGGAAGATTAGGGATGAAAAGTATGGTTGGAAGTATGGTTGTGGTGCTAAGGGTTGCACAAAGCTCTTTCATGCTGCAGAATTTGTGCACAAGCATCTTAAACTCAAACATCCGGAACTTGTGATGGAGCTAACATCTAAAGTGCGTGAAGAGCTTTATTTCCAGAATTACATGAAGTAAGTGCGGTCTTACATGCAGCATATTGTTGTCTAAATTTTTAATTTGAAGGATACTTCTGTAAGATATAAATTGTTTCCGTTCACAGTGATCCAGATGCGCCTGGTGGGACGCCTGTTATGCAGCAACCTGTACTGGTATGCCACGACTGGTGTTGTTTTGATAGATTGCTCCTACTGCTTTTATAACCTCAATTTTTTTCCTTTTCTTCTTGTAGAAGGACAAGCCCCAGAGACGTAAAATATTGGAAAATCGCTTGAAAGATGAACGTGGCTCACGTAGAGAGCGGGATAATCGAGTAAATGGTAGTGATAGATATGATAGGTCTGAGAACCCTCAATCAAGTGATTTTCCATCCAACAATGATGGTCCTGATGGGGGAAATGATCCAATGTTTGATGCTTTTGGTGGACAAGGGATGCGTGTTGCAGCTCCATTTTCTTCAGAAATTGCACCTCCGCCAGTATTGATGCCTGTTCCTGGTGCTGGGTAGGTCTTATGCTGTTCTACAGGTAGCAGTAGCTAGCTTATTATTTTCTTGAGGGCTTATATGTGTGTAATTGCAGTCCATTAGGGCCATTCGTTCCTGCTCCACCTGAACTTGCAATGCAGGTGTTCAGAGAGCAGAGTGGTCCTCCTTTCGAAGCCAACAGTAGAAGTGGACGTCCTGGACCTAATTTAAGTGGACCAGCGCCCTTTCTTTTGCCTCCTGGCTTCCGACAGGATCCTCGGCGTTTACGAAGGTAAGTTTGCAAACCATTGAGATGTGTTGCAGCTGTTTTACTTTCAGAGCTAACCTTAATTACTTGTCTGCCTGAATTCAGTATTATACAGTTCGCTTCATGTTCCTAAATTTTATGATTCAATAAATTCAAAATACGTAATTGTATACATTGTTAGGATGTTTGCTGTTTCTCCAATGGATTGTTTTCAAAATGAGGTGGGAAACTTGCAATTTATAAATCACAAAGTGGCTCTAGTGTTCCATGTAACTAATGGAAAATCAAATGGTGTTATGGTTTAGTGACATGCTTGTGATCAACCATTCCTCGCCTTTTTTGGAAGTCTATATTTTTGACATCCAATATACTCACAAGCCATCACATTTCTTCCCCGCCCCTCTTCTACCCTTGTACTCCTTGTTCCATTATTCTTTTGTCTCATAAAATTTAATTGCCTGTACTGATAAATCTAACTTGAGCAGAGTCGCCTTTTTCTTATGGTTTGGGAAGAGAGAGAAATACTATGTTATGTACGCCTCTTCTCAGATAATAGTATGCGAATCAATTCTGAGGTTGCCACTTTGTGATTTTACTATTGACTATTAGTTATTCTGTATTTAGATTTTTAGTTATTCTATTGTGTTTCTCTTCTACGGTCAGGTTAGTAAAGCATGCCCTGTTTTATTTCATGCAGTTATCAAGACCTAGATGCACCTGAGGATGAAGTCACTGTTATAGACTACAGGAGTTTGTAGTTATTAGAAATGGAGGGATGACAAGACTAAAATGTATCTGATGGAGACAGAAAGCTATTCATCAAACAGTCCAAGGTGAAATGCCCCTCTATTTGAGAAGCATTGACCTTGTTCCATTTGGTTGAAACATGAAAATTCTTAAATCTTGCTGGGTGCACATTAGCTGCGTCTCCTTGTGATTAAGATTTTTCTCTTGCTATGATTTCACTAAAAAGTGTGTAATTGCTGCGAACTGTCTTCTACATTTTTGGGCCCTCTTTAACAAATTTGTATCTGCAGTTCAAAGGACCTTTAGTGGATAGGTTTCAGATAACTGCTTATTTGTTTTGATCTTCCTAGTGTTATAAAGAGCTGATCATTTTATAATTTGATAATAAAATGCTTCCTGCTTTTGTGATATTCTTCAACCAGCAGTGGTTGGGGATGAGTTAGGATCTCACGTGCCTATTATGCCAGTGACTCATTTCTCTCTCTCCTACCTCTGTTACTCCCTTTTTTTAAATTTTTATTTGTTTTTTATATAATCTTTAACAGAATACGCAGGGAACTTAGCAAATTGATCAAATTGTTTTCTGCATTTTATCTGCGTCGTTTCTATGTTTTCGTCAGAGCAATTTTCACAAGGGATTTGCTTGGAAGGGATTGGCATGTAGTATTATGGATTGCTTAAAAGTTTTTAATGTAATATTTGAATTATTAATTTTTTTAATTAATGTGATTTTTAAAAGATTGTTTGTTTGCTATATCATAATTTGAAGTTCGTCATATTAAAAGTACACATTACATTAACTAATAGATTTTATTAGAAAATTTACAAATATTACATAGAGTATTTAATTATAGTTTAAGAGTTACTTTTAACATCAATGCTCTTTTTGTTGGTTTTGTTTGCATAAATGTGCGTTCGGTACATTCTCCCTATTTCACTTGCTCTCCCCGTTACCATAAAACCGGGTGCTCTGTTCTGACTGTGAGGCATAAGTTAACAAGTATCACTGGTCCGGTATCTTTATTGGCCGTGTCTAAGCGGATGATAATCTTGCTTGTGATAGCAGAGTTAATCACTAAATTTCGGCTTTATAATTCGTTTCATATTTCTTCTAATTACTTGCCTTGTAGCCTTCAAGTTGAGATAAATTCATGACTCTGATTTAGCTGCTGAATTTTACCGTTTAGAAAATCCCAAATAGACACTCAACCAAACTGATGCCCACCCCCAAGAGATGAGCCATGCCACAAAATGCATAAAAGCCTAATCATTACAGGAATGATATATTTTTCTCAAATGTGTAAGTCAGATTAAACATTATGATTGAATTCACTTTTTTACATGTACATATATAATACACAACGCAAAAAATTACAGAGGAAGAGATAGGGTAAAAAAAATCTATTCAACACACATACCACAAGTAGGAGCATCCCCATCATCTTGCTATGCTATTCTTGACCATAAAAGATGGTATGCCACCGATGGAGATAGGCTACTCATCCCAACTTCAATGCCTTCATTTCCTATGCTTCTTTGATAAAGGCTCCGCTTGTGGTTCAGTCTGCAAAAAGATAAAATTCCATGAAAATTCAAGAACAAAACAAAATTTGTGGAAATGAAAAAACAATTAGCATGATAAAATGACACATATCAAGAAGTGGAAGTAAATTACAAAGGTGAGATCCTACAAGGAAATGGTTGAAGACAACTGTAATTAGTAATATGAAGTGATAGATAACTGTAATTAGTAAAGGAAGAGGATGCTTACAGCATTTGAAAGCTGCTCCCGAATGTAGGCCATTGATCTTAACATTGCACCTAATGTATCCCTGGACACCTGGAATTTAACCTCTGACTCTCCTGTAGTAGTCTCGGCATCTTGAAGCTGGAATGGAAGATTAAAAAAAACTAATAAGCAAAAGACAGATAGTGAGGTGTTTCTGAGGGTATAAAAAAACAGCAAAAGCCATGCTTTGTTGTCCGATGGAAAACTAATTTATGTATCAAAGCAACAAAGCAATTCAATAACAAAAACGACAAATCATTGAGCCAAGCTGGCTGCCACTGCACATTAACACATGCTAAAGCAAAAGTCAACTTGTATATTCATTTCCACAATCACACATTTAGATTCCACATAATTCCATTAGAAATCCTACCTCACAATCAGATTAGTACACAATAATCAACACATGAAAATGAATTATTGAATGGCAATTTGTCAACACAGAATAATAATCTTGAAGCATTTATCAGTAAGTTTCTTGAATACTTCCAGAAAATATATAGGTTTATTGTCATTTTGGAAGTGTATGACGATTATGGATTAACATACCTTCAAATTGATGACGGCGACCCTGTTAGCCGGGGTAGAGAGCTGTTCACTGATATAAGCCATAGACCTCAGCATGGGTTCTAACGTAACCCTTGAGAGCTGAAACTTAACCTCCGTTTCAGCTGATGAATTCTTGCTATAATCTTGCAACTGTATCAATTATATATCAGATATGCATAAGAAAAAGGCTTGCAATAAGTTGACAATAAGTGACAAAAAGATTAATGACTAATGATAGCTATGAGCTCCATAATAGCAGATGTAAGCCTAACAATTTTAAAGGGTTCCATGTACTTCAGCAATTAACTTTAAGGTTATAATTTTTAAAGGTTAATGCAACTAAGTTGCGACTCAGGATTTCATGTACTCACTGGTTATTAAAATTTTAAAATACACGTACCTTTAAATTAATGACAGCCACTCTATTTCCAGGTGTTGAATTCTTATTCTCCATTACCCAAGTCATTGATTTCAAACAAGGAAGAAGCGGCTACATCAAAGACACCCATAAATTTATCAAGTCGATATCCTGTTCTTCAATTCAAAATCGGTGGATAAATGAAATGACATTAAAAAAAAGTTGGAATTACTTATCATACCATGTTATCAGGATGACCATCATCCCGATGAACAGAAACAGGTGCCATTCGTGGCAGATTCAAATCTGAGACAGATTGAGCCAAAGCACTAGTGTCATTAAGATTGAACCGTCGTGTAATTTCATCTTGCTGTGGCCATAGCAAAGGGGCTGTATCTGAAGCTGACATTGAGCTCTTCTTGTCATCATAGGCAGCACTACTGGCCTGTGAGCTAGGAGGTGCAACTTTTGATACATTTTTCTTTACAACAGAAACCTTCTTCTCACCTTCCTTAAGAGCACCCATTGCAACATTATAAGTCTCTGTAGCTATAGCCCCATCTTCTGCATATTTGATTGCTTCTTGACATAAACTATTATACCGTGCTGTCAGGGACAACTGGCCATGCAATTCACCACCACGTTCATCTGTTCCAACCCCAGACTTTGCATTTTGTGTCCACCGTTTCAAGATGTAATGAGAAGGTAGTGTGAGTACGTTTGTGACAGTGAAGACTGTCAAAACATGTTTACAGAGGATGCCTGAATACTCAAACATTTGACAACTACAATTAGCTCTCATTTCAGGGTAGTTCAATGTAACTATGTACTCTTTGTTGTCATCCTCAAATTTTGCGACTCTGAATGTGCTGATAGCTCCATCCCCTTCAATTCTATTAGCAGTGTAAACAAAAGTTTCAACTAGTTCTTCTTGAAATTTTGTAAATATTTTCCGTGTATATAGATTAGCTGCCTGTTTCTCCATAGGTGATGGTGTCCGCAAGACTGGTGTGGTGCAAGTTGTGTCAAAATCAGCTTCAATCTCCCTCTCAAACCAATTCTCTATTGCTCGTTCATACTGTCTAAAGAACATAGGTATAGTGGTCTGTTGATTCACATAACCATCAAAAAAAGAGCCATCAAATCCTTGATTGGGAGATATTACAGCAAAAAAGGAATCCCGAAAGTAGGCAGGGACCCATTGAGCTCGAGCACTATATAATGACTGAAGCCAATCATGTGCACTAAGATTATACTTTTCAAGAAGGGAACTCCAAGACAATTCAAACTCCTCAATAGTTTCAGTCAAATTAATGCAATTATACAGTTCCACCTGAAAGTTAGGATGCACATGACAAACATGAGCCAACTTCTCTGGGCCTTCTCTTAAAACATGCCACTTATTAATACAGTGTCGAACACCCGGAAACACCTGAGACACTGCTGTCTGTATAACTCTGTCTTGATCAGTGATTAAAGAGACAGGTTGGCAATCGTTCATTGCAGTAAGAAATGTTTTGAAAAGCCAAACAAAAGAAGCCTCTGAATCATCTAGTAGCAATGCACAACCAAACAAAATTGTCTGACCATGATGGTTCAGCCCTGAAAATGGAGCAAACGGCACCCTATACTGATTTACTCTGTAACTCGTATCCAGTTTCACAGCATCACCAAAATGCATGTAGGCTATCCTTGACCTTGCATCAGCCCAAAACACATTAGCCATGCGATTATCATCATCCAGCTGTATTGCATAAAAGAAACCAGGGTTCTCAGCCTGCATTTTCTTGAAATAATCAAGAAGATTTTGAGCATCCCTTCCCAGTGTTCCTTTTCTGTTAACTGGCCTAACAGCATAATTCAGTGCCCCAACATTCTTAAAAGAGCGATTTGATTCTACTGGAGGAGTGTTCCTAACGCCACGATTATTTGCATCCATGGAGACACGATTTCCATCCATAGAAACATACATCACACCACTTGGTACAATTCCCACTCCTTGATAACCATCAGCCATGGTTTTTGCAGCACCCGCAAAGTGCCTACGGGGACGAAGGTAATGCACTTTGCTAGGACTCATCACTGAATGGCTATGCTCCTTAATAAACTTTGTAACAATCCACTTATCTCCCTTTAACTCTATTCTAAGCATTGCATTGCAACTGTCAGCAGACCTTCTTTTCAAACCCTCTCTGCCACAGACAAACTCCCTAGCAACTATTGTCCCATCAGTTTTATTCTGTGAAGAAATATGACCAGCTTTGGAGCTAAATCCCATACGTCTAGCATACTCATCATAGTAAGTTTTAGCAGCATCTTCAGAATCGAATTCCATGCCCACATATGGCTCAGAAATCCCATCCTCATCATGGGCTAAGGAATTCTCTACATGATTTGCTTCTCCACCTTCAATGGGTTCAGCATCCCCATCATCTGACATTCCATGAGGGCTCATACAGTCTTCTGAATCAATAACATGGACATCCATACTAATCCACTCACAGTACTATTTCATTAAAGTGCCTTACTTTGTGAGCAAATTATGTTTTAGTATTTTGGTATATTCTATTCTTTTTGAAGCGAGCTTCACTTGTTTTCTGTCAGTCAATAAGAAGCAATTCATTACAACATAATCAAAAGCCACTGCTCTCACAAACACACATACACACACAACTAACATAACCTTTTACAGGAATTAGAGTTCATCAAGTTATGCTATTACCACACCTTTCTAGCCGACTACATGGAACTCTTAATGCAAAATACTAAATGGAAACTCACATGGAGTAACAGCTAACTAATCAACAAAAAGGCATAAACTCAACTTTCAAATGGACTAAAGGCCCTAAAGTATCACTAAAAAATTGTTCTCTACATAACTAAGCATACAAATGAACACACGTGCTCGCATAAAGTGTAAGAAAAAAGAGGAATTGAACAAAAAAATGCTTTTTCCTCATCCATAACAGCAAAGAAAACAACCAAGTGCTGAAAACTGAAACTCCATGGATTGAACTAGAGAACTAAAACTAAAGAAAACCCCATTACTCAGGATCATCTAAAAGCAGAAACCTACGTTGAAAAAGAGCAGAAAAATACTACCTTGTTGATCAAATTCATGAATTTTCCGTGGATAACTTAAAAGGAAGTAATGAGAGTTAGAAAGTACCTGCGAATGTAAATCTTGAAAAAATTGAAAGACAAACTGTGAGTTGAAAAGGAGAATAAAGCTCAGGAATTTTAAGGAAAATAGGAGTCTTTGGAGTTTGGAGTGGGACTATAAGAGATTGATCGTTTGTTTGAGAGTGAAAATCTTTTACTTTTTTAATTTTTTTTCTTGAGAAAGTGAGAAACCCTAAACTCTGACTGTTTAAACTTTTCAAATTTGCAAAGACAACCCCCTAAATTGTATTGTTAAGCACATGCTAAACGCACCTCCAAGATGATGAGAGAGAACAAAAAACCCGTAGTTTTCGACCCGAGACCAACCTTTTCGGATCATTCCTACCCGGTTTGTGGTAAAAACTAAAAACAAGTTTTCTTACTGATATTACTATATTTAGTTTGATGATTTCTTTTGACATCATCCTCGGACCTCAAGTAAAACAATAAAACATAAACTATATTTTTTATTCTCCTGACTTTGACATTGCTTTTTAAAAGATACTTTTTTTATACTTAAAAATGAAATTTTGTTGTTTTTTTTTTTTTTTTTGCATTCTCCGGAATCAATTTTTAATTTGGTGGATTCAGAAAAAAAAATCAATTTTATTGGTTAATTTCATAGCCCAATTTCTAACCTAACGCAAAACCCATCGAAAGAGAAAGATAGAGACTTTGCAACTCTTTTCACTTCAGTCTCCTCTGCTTCATCTACTCTCTGTAGAATTCCCAAAAGTATTGTTTCAAAAATATATCAGTCAAAAAGAAGAAAACCCAAAAGCCAGAAGATCAACCAGAAGCGAAATAATGAAGACTATCCCTCTAATTCTAATGGGCTGTGGAGGTGTTGGACGTCAACTCCTCCAACACATTGTTTCCTCTAGATCCCTTCACGCCAAGCTCGTAATTTCTTTTTCCCATTTTCTTCATCATTTCAATCTTTTTTTCCTTTCTGGGTCTCTTCTTTTTCCACAGCATCTTTTCATTCTAACTTCCCTTGCATTGTTCAAGTTGTTGTATTTTTTCTTTTGGGTAAATTGTCTGTGGAGGGAAATGAGTTAAAGGACAAGTCTTTGGAGTCGTTTCATTGATGATGAGTGATAACTGTATTGCTTTGAATATGATTTTAATGTCCTATCTTTTGTTGCATAGCAGGGAGTTCATTTACGAGTTGTGGGAGTATCTGATAGTAAATCACTAGTTATTGCATTAGATGTTAAACAAAAAGAGTTGGATGATAACATTTTAACCGAAGTTTGTAGGGTCAAATCAGAAGGTTCTTCTTTGTCCGAACTTCCTGGCTTAGGTAAATTCTTTTATATCCATGTTTTTTGTGTATCAGACTAAAGCTGCTTCTTTATTTATATTTTCATGATATTACTTATGCTTCTTTGTTGCGTATTACATGTAGGTGAGTGTCAAGTGTTCTCCAATTCAGAATCAAGAACCAAAGTGCTAGGCATTGCATCACTTATTGGAAAAACAACAGGTTTTTGTTGTTGTTTTGCTGTTAACATTTTTGGCACAGAATGAAATGCTTTATTAGGTTTAGTCAAAGTGCAAAGTTTAGTTCATGACCGAAAGAGCATTTATGTTTTTTGTAATTTTGCCACAGGTTTAGCCCTTGTCGATTGCTCAGCCAGTTCTGAGACTATTGGAGTTCTAAAGCAAGGGGTTGACTTGGGTTGTTGCGTTGTTCTGGCAAATAAAAAGCCTCTTACATCCACGCTGGTAATAAGTCCTAGCACATATCTTCATTATTCAGTGACTTGAAACAATTAGGATGCTTTTCCTGTCAAATTATATTTTGTGTAATTCCATTGATGTGAATGTTTTCACTGTGAACTCCAAATCATCAATAGAGTAACAGGCTCTGTTGTAAAGAGATGCAAAGGTGGCATTTCAGGCTGTTATTAACTTTCCGCTATTGATTTATAAGTTTTTACCTTGCTGCAGATCTAAAATTATTATGATCTTTGTTTGCCCTATCCTGCAGGAGGACTATGACAAATTGGTTTCATATCCTCGCTACATACGACATGAATCAACTGTAAGTGAAGTGAAGCAAGCTCCTTGAGATATTTTTATTGCAGCACATACTGGAAGATGCTGTTTTCTGTAACTGTAGTGCAATGTCTCCAGCTTTTTCTACTGATTTAGTCATTATTGCTTAACAGGTTGGTGCCGGTCTTCCTGTCATATCATCAATAAATCGCATAATTTCATCTGGTGACCCCATCCATCGTATTGTTGGAAGTTTGAGCGGTATAAATTTGTTAATCCACATATGAATATATACTGTTAGGTTGAATGTTTCTTGGGTGTCTACTTGGTTTTCTATATGGTTATTAATTATACACACCTATTGCTTTTGACTTGCCTTTCATATACAAAATTGTTTCTGACAGGTACATTGGGTTATGTAATGAGTGAGGTTGAAGATGGCAAGCCATTGAGCCAAGTTGTTAAATCTGCTAAAACCTTGGGATACACCGAACCAGGTTTATATAAAATTAAAATTGCTGTCTTTTAGTGAACGCTTTGTTGATAAGTGAATCTTAGGGCTTCTTTTTGCCATGCATAACTGAATTACACCCTTTAAAATTTGACCCTTCTCTTTGGCCCAAGGTGTTTTCACAAAGAAGTTAGGTCCTGCAAGATCTTTTAAAGTCACTGCAAATGTATTTTTATTGTTTAATCTTGTCATTGCAGATCCACGAGATGACCTCAGTGGGATGGATGTTGCCAGGAAGGTTCGAGTGAATATGCTCCCATGTTGTTGATTAATTTGTATATCTGACTCTGTTTTTCTCAGATATGAACTGCATGCCATTTGTTAATATGAACTGTTTGGTGAGAAATATAATATTATGACATGCAGACATGCATTATCATATCATTGAACCTCTTATGTGATTTGCTAATCCATTTATGAGGTTTATTTATCATTTCATGTATTTTGTATGTAAATAAGACATAGGCATAAATAGCCATTGTGGCCTTTTGCATAGGAAAAATTCTATGGCTCAGTTTGGCCTTTCTAACGTCTATAATATGCTAATGGTGAGGATCCTTGATGTATAAATCGATTTATACTTGATCTAATGGATTATAGCTGGATTAGCAACTATCCATTATTACATAACTTATTTGAAGTGATGAAATGGACTTATCATACTTGCATAGATTCTCTAGGGTGAAGTTGATCTATTCCTACTTTAGAATTTTTACGATTTCTTCAAGTACATATATGGTTGATTTAATTAGTTTCCATTCTCTGAAACAGGCTTTGATCCTTGCCCGACTTCTTGGGAGGCGTATTGACTTATGTAGCATAAGGGTCAGTATCAAAAGTCTCTGTTCCCTGCTGTTCTATTGGTTGCTTTGAAGCCATAATAACTATACCCCTTTTTTCTCGGCTGAGAACTATAATCCATTGTATGTTAAAATTTATGCGGGTAATATTTTGCAAATCTTACAGAATGAATTAATTAACATCTTTCCTTTGGGGAAGATGACAAATGGTAAAAAAGAATTGTAATTACTACAACTTTTAACTTTGGTTATTTCATAGAAATTTCTTTTTAAATAGTATAGGAAAGGTTAAATATATTTTTGTTCAAAGCATGAAACTATAGGTTGTCCAGTTTTGCAGTAACGAATAGAATCCTCTATTCAATACATGGAGGTGGTTGTGAGAAGAGCATGCATACTGCATCTTGCTTCACATGCATTGAGCTAGGTCAGGATGAAGATGAATACTTCGGAAGGCCTGAGTTTAAAATTAAATTGGTCGGTTTTATGCATTATCCAAATAGTCAGTCAACTTCAATTTCCTTTTTATGGTTTGATCTATTTTGAAGATTGAGAGCTTATATCCTGAAGAAATGGAAGCTAGTAAGATGTCTGTTGAAGACTTTTTGAATGGTGGGATTGTAAAGCTTGATAAAAATATCGAAGAGAGAGTTAGAAAAGCTTCACTCAATGGGAATGTACTCCGTTATGTCTGTGTGATAGAAGGCAAAAGGTATTTAAATATTCATGCTACTTCTTTTAAAAACATGGATAGAAATGTTGATATGCATTCAAGCACATACAGACAAACACCTTCACCTTTAAAAAGTTGTCGTGATTTGTTATTTTTGTCTGAGGTCTGACAGTGATTGTAGATTTCTCACATAGGATCTGCACAGGTACAGTTAATGAATAATTCGAGTAAAACAGAAAGAACTCTGAAGGTTGAAGGAGATTGATTTGTCTGGCCAATTTGTTATTTTTATCTGAGGTCTGATACCGATTGTAGATTTCTTATATATGATCTGCACAGCTATAGTTAATGAATAATTTGAGTAAACAGAAGGAACTCTGAAAGTTGAAGGAGATTGATTGATCTGTCCAACCCAAAGAGCCATACTGATTGCCAACCCAAAAGACTTTTCTGAAAGTAAATTGAAATGTAACAGTTGGTTTATTTATGGTGTTAATAATGTTTGCTAAATTTAACTAGCATGCTTCCAGAAGTGTCTGGAAAAATCCTAACATTGGACTTACTTACCATTTGTTCTTTTTCCGGTCTTTGAATAAAATCTAATGGTTCCATGACCTTGTTACTGCTTTTAGGTGTGAAGTTGGAATTCAAGAACTTCCTAAGAATTCTGCTTTGGGAAGATTGAGAGGAAGTGACAATGTAGTAAGTTCCTCCTTTCTTATCTTATAGTGGCTCCTTCTCTGACTGAAATTCTAATCTGTATGGTAAATTACATTTTTAAAATATTGGAAATTCCAATGCTTAATCCATTGGAAGTCAGATGAACAGGGAAAAACTAGATTTAATAAATGATAAGGCTTAAAGTTTAGAGTTAATATGGTTAAATTATTTTTCTTCTCTTTTTGTGTTGTTCTAAGGATGGAACAATAAATTCTCATTTTCAGTTGTGGTAGAATAAGACTGCTGGATGTTTAGCTCAAATATGTATTCGAGCTACTAGATATGAGCTTGAACTATTTCTCACCTGTTGCACTTGCAGCTAGAAATCTATAGTCGATGCTATGGTCAACAACCATTGGTTATTCAAGGTGCGGGAGCTGGGAATGATACTACTGCGGCAGGTGTACTTGCTGATATTCTTGACATTCAGGATCTATTTCCCGGAAAGAAATTTGGTTCACCGGCTTGGGAAAACTGGGGACTCGAGCCATGTATTTTACCTACAAAATGAAGCAAAGAGACAAATCTTTTGAATGTCAAATAAATTTGCTAAGGACGGCATGTTGAATGTTGTTGGGATGTTCCGATGCTTCTGTCAAGAAATCTTTGATTAGAGATTGTGAACATGCAGGTGTTTGAGCTGATAATAGAATGGAATCTGCTATTTTATTCTTTACAATTCAAAATTTTAAAGAGCATTAACAGATCTTCATATTTTCATGAGGCTGCTTTCAATGCTAAGGGGTACTTTGACTGGTAGAACTTGAGAATTTGGGCTTAAAAGATCTTCAACCATAAACTTTGAGACAGATAAAGAAACTTGATAGGATTAATGTGAAAATCTCAAGGAAACAGCAGCACTTGACTGTCTGCTATACAGAGAAGCACTTGATGATGTCCACGGTGCAGATGAATTTCCTCTGTCGTTTCCTAAGGTCCTGTCCCTAGCTATCATATTTCAATCACATATTTTCATCTGGAACTCATTATGACTTAAAGAAGTAATCAGGATTTTGCAACATGTCAGAAACAGTTAAACTACAGAAAAAAAAACATTGGCAATACTGAACTGTGGAGAATGCACTTTTATCGTAAAAACATTGCATCAGAATGCATTAAGAAAGTGCGTTTTGAGTGATTTCCAGCCCATAATACATAAAATAACAATCTTAAATTTAAAACATGTTATTTTATACTATATAAAATCATTACATGTAAATATTTCATCGTATGGAAAAAATCTACAATGAAGTCTGCTGGTTTGTTTTTCCCTCACTTATCAAAGCTGGGAACTACCTTCCACCTCCAGTTCAATATTTTGATATTTGTAAAACTTAGCACACACCAAATAATAACCAAAATTCAGTGACCCCAACACGACAAAGGTCCAATAAACATTGTCTAGCCTTCCATCGTTTATGTCATCTGGTAACCATCCTGTAACATTCCTGATCAGATCAACCAGAGCTGTGCTCACATAGAAAGCGATCCCAATGACTATAGAAATCATGGAAGTTGCTGTGCTTTTCATTGAGACAGGGAATTCTTGATAGTACAATGAAACATTTCCTGGAAAATGAAATGCTTCTCCAATCCCAACCACAATGAGTTGTGGAAACAGCCATAAAGATAGCATAGGCACTATGGCACCATGCTGATCCTGGAGGTGGTGATCATGGGCTATTTTCAGCCTCTTTGACTCCACCAGGGCCGATATTGCCATGCTCAGTATATTGAACACATGGCCTATTCCGATTCGTTGCTTGGGTGTTAACGACTGGCCAGTCAGCTTCGGCCAATTGGGGAATAGAAACCGATCTAACAGGGCAATAAAGACAGCTGTGGTGATTAAAACCACGACTACGATAGATCCAGCAGGTATCTTGAAATTGGGCCCAAGGTGACGGTCCATGGCTAGAGCTTGGAGAACTGTCATGTTGGTCTGGATTGCAATAGGGACTGCTAAAAATACCGTGCTTGCCCATATTGGGAAAATTCTGATAAGAGTTTTCAGGTCTTCCACTTGTTGGACTGAGCATATTCTCCAAGGCTCGGCAATTGATCCATCTGAATGGATGTCTCCTTCAGTTTTCAGTGCTGCACGGTTCAAGAACCTACATGAAATTAAGTATTTGATCAATTAAAACCTACATCAGATCAAACAAAATCTTCTTGTTTGATCAGTTAATGAAAATGTTTTTCTTTGTCCAAATCCAAAGCTATTTATCAGATTCTATCACCAAGGAAAACTACAATTTCAAACATGATAGGATCAAGGTCATGAGCAATTTTTTGTGGGGTTCACGTCTATTTTAATAAATTTTCATCCGAATTCTTAGTATTCAATTAATGACAAAGTGAACTCTTTCTGTCTGACATGGTGAGCAAGGAAAAAGACATGCAACCACTTGGCTAAAGTTGAAATTTAGAGACACTATTGACTTCAGCAACATTGATAGGACTCCTTCATCCAATCAGGATGAGTGGAATAAGGCCCAAGGCAGTCCTGATGGAAGAGCATGAAGTGCAGCTTTTCATGCATTTTACTTATCTAGTAGCTGCAATAGTAACAGGAATAGTATGATCCCTGACAAAAGTAGTCATTTTCAGCACTAGAAATAGATGAATGAAACTTTGAAAGCATGGTCAGGCAACTATTTACAAGCATCATCATCAATGATTATCAACATTTAAGTTCATATATACCTGAAGCTACGTTTAGGCGTTGCAGCTGCGGTTTTAATTGTTCCATCATTCTCGTGGCAATAATCTTTACTGTCAGATGAAAGCAAGATGTTCCTCTTTCGTACAGCAGCAACAACCACACGAGCTAAACTCGTGTAAGGGCTTCCTTGTGGCTTGTCATGCCGATAGAAACGGTTTCCCACGAAGAAAATGGCCAAACCAATAAAATTAGCAGCAGCACAAATGCCAAATCCCAATCCCCAGCTAATACTATCCTGAACATAGACGATGACTAAAGAACTTATAACACAACCAGCATAAAAGAAAAAGAAGAACCAGTTGAAGAAAATTCCTTTATCCTTTGGATTATCAAATTGATTAGCTCCTAATGTTGCTAGAGTAAAGCGTACCACCCCCAGGCCTACGGATGCCAAAGTGATACCCGTATACAAAACAGCTAATTGAAGTTTTGATGGACCATGGCACAAACTTGATCCAGTTTCACAGTGTTGAGGTCTCAAGGAGCTGAATGTTGCTGTTAAGGTTAGAACAATCATTCCCTGGAAAGGTAGAAAAGTTACAAATCAAACTTTTTTTTAATTAAATAGATTGATCTAGAAAGATTTTTCATAGAAGTGAGACAGATAAGAGTGTTATTACCAGCAAAGAGAAAGCTGAAGAAATTGAAACAACATGAAAAGAGCCAAGGAAAGAGTCAGCCAGGACTGCTCCAATAATCGGAATTATATTGATGGAACCGTTGATCACATTCGCTATCTGAGTAGCGTCAATGCTCTTGACATTGAATTCCTCAATCAAGTACACAATCAAATTCGTCAACCATCCCCAACCAGCAATGATCAACCCCGTCAAAGTTGCTTTTGAAACAAAAACATGAACAAACGTTTCACTACAACATAGTTTTAGACTTGTCTAAAAGGAAGATAGATCAGAGGGAGAGGTAGACAGACCTGAAACAAAGACAAAGGTAAACCAACCACCACGTTTCCCACCAGAACTTGACAACTGCGCTTCGTAGTCACCTGCGACAGAACCATTCATGTTGCTAGCAGTACCAGCTGACTGTTGCAAATCCATGGATGACATTTTAGCCTTTGGGTTTTGAATCTGAGTTGCTTTATGTCAGGCAATCATTTTATAGACTAAAGAGTATCTGTTTTTTTATACTGGTATATCTGATATCTACCCCACACATTGTTGAAAGTCCCACTCCTCTTAAGATATCAGACATGAAATTCTTAAAAATAGCAAATATTTAGATTCTTAAAATCCAACAATTAGCTTTTTTTTTTCTTTCTCAAGTAATGTTAATTGCAATAATGAGACAATATTACCCAAAAGATTTGGAAAAGGATATACACAAAATCATAAAATTATTGGATGTTGATCAGTCAATGGTCTTTTACATGAACCAATAAGCAACGAGCCAATCAGAAGGGTGAAACTGTGAATAACGTGATGCATAATAGAAAATTTTATTTCTTTTATTTAAATTACGGTAGCTGAAATGTTCCCACCAACAAATTTTGACAATGAAGGTCTAAAGCATAAAAAAAGAAAGAAAAAGACATAGATAATTAGAAAACAATAATGTTAGTTGCAACTTGTCTTTAAAAAAAATATACTAAGAAATCATTTTGTCTTAGGAGATGGCGGATGGTTTTATTATTTTCTTTCATTTTGACTTGTTAAAAAGCGACTCTACATTCTTCTAATGAAATAAAAGGATCTTTTCAGTGCATTTAGATGTCCCGGGAATACCCTGGTTATGTTAAAATTATGCATTATATAAACCTGTCGTATACACTCTTTCATTTACCCTAGTAGTGGATCCATGTGAAAAGGTAGAGTGTTCATGAGCATCTTTAAATATTAAAAAAAAAAAAAATCCTGGACACTCTTAAGAGTTTTTCCTAAACACCTTTTTCATTAACATAATTAATAAATCCATTGACAATTATATATATATATATATATATATATGTTATAAATGGACACGCCAAAAAAATTCCGGATCTGTCAATGATTTACCCTGCTTATCATCTTAAAATTATGCATATTACATTCAACCCTTTTCAGTTTAATTCTCTATAAACAGTTCAATATCACTTCGTCAAAGCTGGGAACTGTCTTCAACCAATTCCTTCTCAACATTCTATATCTGAATAACTTGGCACACCCCAAATAATGACCAAAATTCACTAACCCCGTAAGCAATAAACACAACAACGTAAAAGTAGTATATCATAATAAATTGACAGTAATAGGTAACAATCGATAATCAATAATATAAAAAAATAAAGTACATCAAGATTTACGTAAAAAATCTTTCAGTGTAAAAAAAAAATCATGAATCACTAGAAAAATCTCTACTATTAAATAATGGGATATACAAAGTTCTTCTCTAGCTAAAGCTAGAGCTAATCAACAATTAAAGAGAAAAAAGAAAAAAGAGAATTGGTTGAACAGAAGTCGATCCGTGGGCTGATTAAACTAAAACTTTGTCAGCAGATTTATGATTCAGAGTTCTACCTTTTGAACAGTAAAAATTGTGTTTAAAGCTCTCTATGAATAAATTCAGTATGTATTTGTTGAGTCATCTATTTAGTGAGATTTCTTTAATTATCTTTCTAGTTGTTAATTAGCTCTAGTTTTAGTTAGAGAAGAACTTTGTATATCCATTATTTGATAGTAGAGATTTTTCTGATGATTCGTGATTTTTTTCTCTATATTGGAGAGTTTTTTAGGTAAATATTGATGTGCTTTAATTTTTCTGCATTGTTAATTGTTATTTATTACTGTTGGTTTATTGCGATATATTACTTCTACGTTATTGTGTTTATTGCTTCAAGCTCGACAAGTAATATTAGAGTAAGAGTTATTTTGAGACATAGATCCAATAAACATCGTGTAGCCTCCTATTGTTTATGCCATCTAGTTTTGCAAAACTACTGATCAAGTCAACTAGAACTGCGCTCACATCGAAAGCAATTCCAATGGTTATAGAAATCATGGTAGTTCCTGATAGTGTAATGAAAGATTTTCGGGGGAAATGAACTACTTCTCCAATGTCAACCAGAACTAGTTATGGGAACAACCATAAGGCCAGCATAGGCACTATGTCACGGGTCGAGATTTAAGCTCTGAATTCGCGTGGCTCCGGAACTCGAGCATTCACCCTTCCGGCGTCCCAGATCAGTCTTCCTGTCACGGTTCACACCCTTGTGAGGTATTGTCCACTCTGGATCCCCTGAACTCACGGTTTTATCTTACAAAAGGCGCCTCATAATGCGGAGGTGGTGTGAACCCTTATATACCCCAGTGACCCTTCTATTATGTTCGATGTAGGATTCAGGACTCTTCTTTAGGTCCGTGACATTCTTCCGCACCCAACTTCGTGACGTCCTCGTCACGTAGGCTAGCCACCTTGCCTACCTCCCTCGAGGTGCTTGGCGTGGATCGAACGGTTTAAGACTGGCTCTGATACCACTTATCACGGGTCGAGATTTAAGCTCCGAACCCGCGCGGCTCTGAGACCCGAGCATTCACCCTTCCGGCGTCCTAGATCAGCCTTCTTGTCACAATCCACACCCTTGTAAGGTATTGTTCGCTTTAACCCCCTGACCTTACGGTTTTATCTTACAAAAGGTATCTCACAAGGCGGAGGTGGTGTGAACCCTTATATACCTCAGTGACCCTCCTATTATGTTCGATGTGGAATTCAGGACTCTTCTTTAGGTCTGTGACAACTACAACACCTTGCTGTTCTTGAAGGTGGTGATCATGGACTAGTTTGAGTTGTTTTGCCTCCACTATCTCCTTCAGTTTTCAATGCTGTACTGTTGAAGAACCTGAATACATAAAAATAAAGTTAATTTTCAGCTTGATTGCGTGAAAACCTGAAGGATAAAAATCAAACCCAACATCTTTAATAAGTTCATTAAGCTGACATTTGAAAATCTAAAGTCAATATTAAGGCAACCATTGATGACATTTGAAATCTGAGTAGCCCCAATGCCTCTTAACATTGAATTCCTCGATCAAATATACAATCAGGTCAGTCAACGATCCAACCAGATAGCATCAAGCTCGTCAGAGTTGCTAGTTACCATACAACGGCTCGAATATCAGTACAACATACTATGTTTCACTGTTATGTGAGTGTATGTGTCACGGACTTAAGGGGGAGTCTTGAATCTCACATCGAACATAATAGGAGGGTCACTGGGGTATAAAAGAGTTCACACCATCTCCACCTTGTGAGGTGCCTTTTGTAGGACAAAACCGTGAGGCCAGGGGGGCCAGAGCGGACAATACCTCACAAGGTTGTGAACCGTGGTAGATTCGGGACGTCGGAAGGGTGAATGTCCGGGTCTCGGAGCCGCGCGGGTTCGGAGCTTAAGTCTCGACCCATGATAAGTGGTATCAGAGCCAGCCCTAAACCGTTCGATCCACGTCGAGCACCTCGAGGGAGGTAGGCAAGGTGACCAGCCTCCGTGACGAGGGCATCACGAGGTTGGGTACGGGAGAATGTCACGGACCTAATGGGGAGTTTTGAATCCTACATCGAACATAATAGGAGGGTCACTGGGGTATAAAAGGGTTCACACCATCTTCACCTTATGAGACGCCTTTTGTAGGACAAAACCGTGAGGCCAGAGGAGCCAGAGCGGACAATACCTCACAAGGGTGTGAACCGTGGCGGTCAGGTTGATTCGAGACGTCGGAATGGTGAATACCCGGATCTCGGAGCCGCGCGGATTCGGAGCTTAATCCTTTGTCATCAGATACCAAACCCATCTTTTGCAACTCCATGGATGGCATTTCTGCTCTGATTGAGTTCGAAAGACTCCTCTTATGTTAATGTTCCAACAGTTTTCTGCTATGTTGACACATGTTTTAGAGCGTCAATTACAGATACCGTAATTTTCTTTATTTACTGTTTTAAAATTTTCTAAACAAATTGATTCTGTAAATTTCAGAAGTATTATCGTACTGTTTGTCATGAAACTGAATTAATAAATCAAAGCAATTTAAAAATTAATATTGTTATACTCTATTCCAATCAATTACCAAACTCAAAAAAACAACAAATATATAGATTAGATGGATCAACGTAGGGGCATGTGATTCTCCTGTTTTATAATTTATCTTAAGCAAACTAGTGCTCTATTATTAAAAAAAATATTGTTCAATTAATTATTGAATATTAGAACAGTTAAGTAAAAAATTTATATTAAGTAGTTAAATAGTGTATCTATAAATAAGTCATATGAAATTTGCATAGGAATAATTATTATGAGACATGATGATAAAAGAATGACTTTTTTCTGTGTGTGTATATATATATATATATATTTTAATGTGGTACAATTTAATTAATATTTCGATTCTTAATCCATTGGGTCCATAAACTATGTATATCTTTCACATGTCATGGCAATTGAAGTATTGCAACAAGTAACATGGTTGACTTTACTCCAAGGATTAAACATGAAGAACTTAATTTGTTTATTTAATTAATTACAAAATGGAATAAAATGATGAAAATTTTTGGTGTTTTATGCTTTAATTCATTTTCAATTGGGCCACTACTCTTCTCTTGTTATTTTCTTGAATATAATATTAATAGTAAAGTGTTGAATTATTAATTTTAATAATTAAAATTTAAATCTTAATACTTTAATTACTAAAAAAACATCAGCCACAGCCCTTAAAACTGTTCAATCATACCCGTAAGATTTCCCATCCAATTGCAACTAGTAGTTTTTATAGTCATGCAAAAATGCCAATTGCTTATTCTCTACAAATTTTTTCTTAATTTTTTCTATCAAGTATGTCGTCATTATTATTTATCGGTTTATTTATCGGTTTATATATCAAGTCTTTTTTAAATTTTTTTTTGGATTAGTTGTTTATTTTTATATTGTATGAAGTTAATGATAACTTGTTCTTCATTTGGTTTTCAGCAATTTATTTATTGTTTTTTTATTAAGAATTAACAATTTATTTATTTATTTATTTGTTTTTGAAACCTTGGTGCATAGCTCATAGACTTTTGGTTTTGCTGTCCTATTGAAAGGGAGATTTTAGTTTCAAAGTAACTGAATTTTTTATGTTTTAGTTCCCACGATTATTATTTCATATAATAATAATAATAATAATAATAATAATAAATGTTGCTAATTGACGACTAAGTTTGGTTGTCTTAGGTGTATTGCAAAAGATTATTGCAACTTGTCTATGAAAAAGATGATGAGAATGATTTCATTAATGCCGAATGTTTGGTAGAAAGAACGGAAATGAGATATTAGTATGACAGGAAATATGATTTTTTTTTCTTTTTTATGGTCATCAAGGAATAAAGGAATAATATTTTTTTTATTTTTTGGGTAATGATTGAAGTTTAAATTCGAGATCTCAGCTCCCGACTCCGATACCATTGAGTTAACAGCTCATTGTCATTTGTAATAAAGGAATATATTAAAACCGATTGGCTTGTTTCTCCATCAACTTGCAGTTTATCAAAATTTTGATATTTGTATAAACTAGCACAGACTAGATAATAACAACCCTATAAGAACAAAGCTCCAATATACATTGTCTAGCCCTCCATTATTGTTTTTATTATCAGGAAAACACCTCGTGACGTTCCTGATCAGATCAACCAGAGCTGTACTGACATAGTAAGCGATCCTGATAACAGCAGAAACCATGGCAGTTGCTGTTTTTTTTAATGAAACAGGGAAATCTCGATAATGTAATGTAAGTTGTCCTGGGAGATGAAATGCTTCTCCAATTCCAACCACTGCTAGTTGTGGAAGTAGTCATAAGGCCAGTATAGGCACTCAATAAGTTCCTCACCATCATCATAACCATATAGATGCTCTTTCTTCCCAATAGAAAATGCTTGCAGCTTTTAATTGTTCCCCTCTGAGTTCAATAATGGTTGAATTATTTGTAAATGTTATTTGACCAAGATGGTCAAATGAAATGCATCCTCAGTGTAGTGAGCAGGCACAACCGATGACATCAGCTGAACACCCGGACCATGCGAAAATGCAGTGAGGTGACAGCGTAGTGAGCAGGAACAACAGTCGTATTCTTTTTGGTTTCAGTTCACCAAGTCATACGAATTTCAAAGGCTCCTGTGCTTTTTAGCTATTCTACATAGCGAAAATGTTCTATCAAAATCCAATACCAAATAAAAGCCAGGCTTCTTCTTTGGAGTCTTGGACAGTTGTACTTCCACATCCAACAACAGCACAGGATGCTGATGCAAAGATGTTCAACAATATATCGACTTTAACTTAACATGAATTAGGACATCCAAAATTCTATTTGATCTGCAAAATTATACAGAATAATGTCAATTTTCATTGATATTTGTTACAACAGGATCTTTTGCCTGGGTTACACTAAATGAAATACAGCACAAAATAGGCATGTTATACATTCAGAAGAAATCAAACAAATAACATATAAAGGCATATCAGAAATGGAAAAAACACAAATTTATGAAGTCTTGTGGCTTATGAAGCTTGCAAGGGACTGACCTCATGAAAGCCAGAATCAAAGGGCAGGGCGGTCATGGGTGCAAAAGCAGTAAATCCACTTCAAAGAAATTGCAAAAGCAAAAATAGGATATCTCAGTCCGCAACCCACCAGCCTATTCTGGGTGCTATCTATCAGCCACCACAAACTTATACACCAAATTACTTGGATTGGCACATTCAGAAAATAGAAGTATCCAGTGAACCAAATAGGATCACTATATTTTATTATTAAGCATAATCAGGATTCAGAGCTAAGGCCTCCTTGTAAATCATGTCCTTCATCTGCTCTTCTCCCAATGGTTGCTGCTCAAAGTCAAAAGAAAAAGGCTCAGGGCAGACTGGTTCATCAGCTATGTCGTGTAATCTTTCAAGATAAGGATGGGCCAATGCTTCTTCAACTGTCCACAGACAAATTTAACTTTCAGGTAAGAAAAATAAAGAATTACCTAATTTAGCCACTAAAAAAAATTTTAGTCTCCAACTAAATGACCACGATGCAGAGATGGTTTTCATTTTCCATGATGATTACAAAATAGAGTTCATTTTATTCTAAAACAAAATCATATAATTACGATTAATAAATTAAATTCATGAATACATAAGAGCATAATGATAAATGTAGGACTTGCCAGTAATTCTTTTGGTTGGATCAAATGTCAACATTCTGTCAATGAGATCAAGAGCCAATGGATGAACATGTGAGAAAACATTTGCCAGTGGTTGGCGAGGATGTGCAGGGAGCTGCCTGATATATCTTCTTGCATCCTCATTTCGGAGAAACCCAAGATCAGATTCAGTTGGTGTGCCAAGCAGCTATGACACAGAAAAGAACTTAGTAAGTATTCATCCAAAGAAAGAAACAAAGAAAAGATAACATGGAAAGAAAGCAACTCAAATTTAAATCCAATACCACATTAAAACTAACAAAATTGGAAGTTGATCATTGCCATGTATACTAAGTTAGTTAAATATCTTCAACTAAAAGTACTTTGTCTAAACCCAAACGTTAGAAGTGTATGATGCTAACCTAATGGAAGGTATGATAAGCAAGGAATCCAAATTAATTAGAGAAGTATGTGTAACATGTATCTTGAGTTAGAGATTATTTCATAGATTCCCCATTGATCAATCTTTCCCTTTGTTGCAATTCTTGTAAATTTAGACCATATTAGTAAGCATATTCCTCACTATGAAGTCAGCTAACTCTTTTCAACATTTGCTCAAATCTCTATTTACCTCAGTCAATAACTGCATTTGATGTACATGATCTCTGCCAGGAAACAAAGGCTTTCTATTCATGAGCTCCATAAAAATGCAACCAACAGACCACACATCTATGGCAGCTGTGTAGTCTGAAGAGTTCAGCAATAGCTCTGGTGCCCTATACCATCTCGTGACAACATATTCAGTCATAAACTCATTCTCAGCAGCAGCAGATCTAGCAAGACCAAAGTCACAAATCTTAAGATCACAATTAGCATTCAGCAAGAGGTTGCTAGGTTTCAAATCTCTATGAATCACGTTTGCAGAATGTATGTACTTCAGTCCTCGAAGAATCTGATACAAGAAATACTGTATGCCACAACAAAATAAAATAAAATCAACATAGACATATGCATACACAATCATTATATCTTTAAGAATAAATAAAAGGGTATACGGAATTTAAGCAACATATACCTGACAATGCTCTTCGGATAAACTCTGATTGGAGCGAATGATCTGGTGAAGATCTGAATCCATAAGCTCTGTGGCAATGTAGACATCAGCAAATTCTCTCCGCAAAGGTGGAGGAATCACATCTCTAATTGCAATAACCTGTTTACCATGCACAAAATTATTACTTTAGAATCTAGCAAAGCTCAATATTCATGTCTAAGATTCCACCTTATCGTTTAAAAAATAATAATAATAATTATAATTCCTACGAGGAAAAGAATTCATTAACTTGGTCAAAATTTTAAATCTTTGAATTAGGGTTTTCATTTCCTTGACTAATAATGATTTATTAACCTCAAAAACCTCTTGACAACGAATAATTAAACTTTTAATTTTAAATTTTTGCTCCTCTTTTTTCATTTCCTAAAAATTGTGCAATAAAAAATTTAAAATTTTCAAAAAAAAAAAAAAAAAAAACTCTTACGTTTTCGTGATCCAAATGTCGAAGGAGCTTAATCTCACGAAGTGTACGCTTAGCGTCCATGTGATTATCGAAAGCATTGGCAATTTTCTTTACCGCCACCATCTCATTCGTCTCCGAATTCAATACGGAGCTTCATAATCCGAAAATATAAAATAAAAAATTCAAAAATTAACCAAAAAATAAAACGAATAAAGTGCAAAACCAATTAATATTTTTAGTAAATAGCCTACCAAACGATGCCGTAGGCTCCACGACCGATCGGCATGATCGGAGGCCGATACTTAGACGTTATCTCAAATAAATTTCCAAAAATATTATACTGAATAAATTGACCGCCGTGTGTCTGAATCGCCGGAAATTCTCCGAAGTGACCGCCGGCGTTTCCCGGAGCGACGTCTGCCATTTCGTTTCCCTTTACTGTTTTCTTTTAACTCCTTTTTTTTTTTTTCCTTTTGGCTTTCTGATGTCTAAGGTTTTTATACACAGAAAGACTAGTAATCCTTCTAGTTTTTCAGTAAGAGTTGAAAGAGTTGGCAGATTCGTGATTGCTACGTGGAAGGGGGAAGGAAAACGCGCGAGAAAGCTGGCGACGCGTTTAATGGAGGGTTGAGATTGTAGCCGCCTCTATTCCACGGTTGAGATTTGATGGCGTTCTGTCAACGGTCTTATTCGCCTGTCAACCGCCTTTTGAACTTTTTGGGTTAAAAATAAAATAATTATTTTTTTGTGCCATTTATGAAAGGCTACTATTTTATTATTATTAATTAGGATAATTATCATAAGTAACATGTTTGTTTAAACAAGTCAAAGTGAGGTCACACACTTCCACTTGAAATAGATATGGCCATTGTACACGTGATTTGACTGTTGGAATATAAAATATGAAAATTAATATTGATATATCTAAATATAAAATATATTTTAAATTTTAAATTTATAATATATATTTTTATTAGTTAAAATATTAAAAAAACTTTTCTATTATTTATTTTTTAAATAATTTTTTATATGTTTATTGTATTTAAATAAATTTTTTACATTAATTTATATTTAAATAAGTTTTTATTTTAAATGAAAAAATAATTTAGGTTAAACTTTATTTAAAATGCAATTAAAAATTTAAGAATTATTCGAATATAAATTACAGATTAAAAATTTGTTTTGATTTAAATTAAATTAAAATTTTATTTGCGTACAATAAAAATATAAAATTTTATTTAAAAATTTATAAAATTAAAGTATTTTTTATTATTTTAACCTTTTTTTTTTTCGAAACTTTAACCAGTATCTAATCCAAAAATAATCAGATATACTCGAAAATAACACATCAAAAGGTATTTTCATTTTCCACTTCATCTTTCTTTTGTACCAAACAGCAAAAAAAAAGTATGGAAAATATTAAAGATTAGTTCCGTGGCCAAGGGTTCAACCGTTCAAGGGCTTCTCGTGAGAAAAAAAAGAAAGAAAAAAAGGGTGTAGTGCCAAACTTCCTCCTTTTGTCAAACTTTCGGTGGAGAAAAATAGAACACCAGAGTAGTAGCTAACTAGACAGATCTGCTCTCGAATCCAAACCATTCAAAAGAAAAGAGATCCTAAAATGTTGAACTTTAAACTTTTATTGAATGGACAACAATTACTGACCACAAACTAGATTGTTAGTAAACCAAAATAAGATAATTTGCTAGTGGAGTCGTCGACTGGGAAGCAAAAAAGAACCATTATAGACAAAATCAGTATCCATTAGTAACTAAAAATGGAGCTTAAGTTTATCAGTAGTAGTCAAATTTTGTCCCCTTCGTTACATTAATTTTGTGAATGAAATTATGAAGAGTTATGAAAGGCGATTGCTGTTTAGCTGTCTGGCTAATTGGCTAATTCAAATCTAAAACGAGTATGTTAATTTTTTTATAAAAAAATTCGAAATTTAAAAATAAAAAATTATAATATTAAAATTTAAAACTTAAATATATTAAATATGATTTTTTAAATGATTACGTGAATTCAGGTAACACGCTGTTGATCGACTGATTGGTAAAAAGGTTGCTAGTATCATGAAGTTTGGTTTGAATAACACCTTGACCAGGTTCAGATACAACCGACCGCATTTGACTTATTTCAAGCCAATGGCATTACACCTAACCGGCACGAGGCCACCAACCAAAATCTTGAGACGATGGTGATCTTTGGGTGAAAGTTGGGGGGGCTAGTGAGTCGTGACTCAAATAAATGCTAATACAAGAAGTATCAAAGTCACTGACTTCTTTCCAGATGTTTTCGTCAATGATATCTAATTTGCATTCCCTGAACATTGCAATATATGGAAGCTTTAGAAAATGTCACTTTAAGAACAGACGTGTGCCATACACACCCACCAAGCCGCCCAGTACTAGTTTTTCCTAGTAGCATCTCATCTAGGAAGAAGACCTACCAACCAGCTCTAATCTTCGTCTAAATTTTGCAATACGAGGCCGAACAAAATTTCCTGGTAACTGTGGCGCCAGTCCCTTCACTATTTTATGTAGGGCAAGGAAACAAATGCATTCTTCCTTCGGTTAGTGGGACCTGGTAAGGGACCGGGGAGCGATTCTGAATCACCTGATGCATGACAAACTATTAACCAATACAAGGATGGTAGCTATATGTTACCGTTTTTGTGTTTTGACTTTTAAGAACTCTAAAAACCCTCTAAGACTGGTTGGGTACAGGCAGGGTATCATCAATCACAGATAGAACACCATTAATCAGGAAGGAAATATTGGTCATTGAAAGATCAGAAGACGTATGAATGATCCACCCAGAAAGTAAACTTTAAAAAGTTAAGAACAAGAATAATTAACCAAAATGGGAATCCGCATTTCGATGAAGTTATGTATTATTTATCTAGAAAAGCTTAGTCCCATCAGAAATCTCCCCAAATTCCGTTCAGAATGTTCAACAAAATACAACTACGAAAACACCCAAATTCTTCAAGCAACAATTGCCTATTAACTAACTTTTAAGAGATTACAAAACACAATACATCTGTGGAGGCAAATGTTGTTGGCTTCTTCCTGTTTTCTAACCATCAGCTCATGCTTCAGCAAATCTGCAAGACAACATAGAAACTATCAATACTCTTGACTCTAACAAGCAGGGTGAAACCAAGTAAAACAAGATTGAAGTTCAATAAGAAATTAATGCAAAGATTACCCTAGCTCAGAGAGCTTCAGGTGAGCTTCAGTGTAATCAGCAAAGAAGGCATCCTCATCCTGCAAATAAGTAAAAATCATCAGGATAAACAACATCGAACTTCTCAATTTGGGATTATTATCAAATTTTCAAATCATTGAACTGAACATAAAAGACAACAAACGAAGTGAGTTAAATACAGCGGCATATTTGTCCACCAATGGACGGAAAACAGGGTCAGACAGGAGAACTTTGTCACTTGGCAATTGCAGAAGGCCTTCCTTCTCTCCAGACAAGAGCTCCCTACAAAATATTATCCAATTAGTATCAACTTAATTCAATTTGCAACAGATTTTTCATCACAAATCCCGAATGGATTTGTATTTGCAACAAATGAAGGAAACTCGACTCATAAAAATCTGAAACTCACGTGAAGTAAGAGTTGTCAAAGATGAGAGGGTTGGTCGTCCATGGTCCCTCAAATCCAGACCTCTCCTTGTGGCACCTTCCCTGTACCAAAGGCAAAGAAAATATACATCATTTTAAGTGGATAGGCAAAAACATTTCAAACTTCAAGAAAACAAGGGAATTTCAAATTTAGAACAGACCAGGGTGTGGCCTCCAGAAAGAGCAACAATGTCCTGGTCGCTAAGACCCATTTGATGACCAAAGACCTGCCTCAAGTGGTCAGCTCCTGCAAGATATTTATCAAAAGATTAACCCAAAATCATCACTGACATTAAAGACAGCATTTTATCCTCATTAGAAAAAAAGGAACTCCAACCATTGACAAATAGTATACACTAACCCTTGGTAGCATCAGGAAGACGGCCCTCAGGCGGTGGGTTGGGCTTGTCCTGCATTTATTACAAAATGCTTGTAGGTAAATAAGTGCCATTAGAATATAAAGCAACACTGTCTTGTTGCTCCAAACAACAGTAACCAACAACTTTTATATATTTAGCCATTTTACAAATAGGAAAACCTTCTAAAAATTTAATACCATATCAAATAATGCAAATACAATTATCAATTAACCTCTATTAAAGCAAAATATTAAGACAGTAATTTCCATTAAATCAACTAATGTAACTAAAATTTTCATTCAGGAACCAAGACAGATTCCATCTTGGAGTCATGAACACTTAAAATTACATTAACATTCAAATAATCTTAACATTAACAGTTGTTGTACGTAGTGGAACTTAATACTGACCTTTCTTCCGGGATGGAAGGGAATTTCAGGTCCACCGGTAACCTCAACAGCCACGACACCGGCGAGCTACAAATGATTAAAACGCCAAACAACTCCGGTCAAAATCACTCCAATCAAACATAAAACAGTTAAATCTGAAAGCAAAAAAATATATAATAATAAAAATAAAAAGTTCAGATTAACAGTACAAAACCTGATAAAAGTCAGCGTAAGAAAGGATAGGGAACTGTTCCTTGATCGGCTCGATAAGCCTTACGGCAATATCGAGACCGTTGTTAGCAGCATGTGCAAGCTCAGCAGGCTGCTTCATGGTTCCAAATGGACCTCCGGTCCTAGTCTTGACATCAAAAGTTCCAGCTGAGTGCCACCTGTCACCCACCATCAACCTCTGATCCATCAACATCACCAATCTTACAATCAAAAATTTAAATCAGACTAAAAATAAAAAAGAGAAGCTTACGCTAAACGGAGCATGATCGGAGCACAGTTCTTCTCAGCGATGAGACCTCTGAGCTTCCTCTTAGCCTTTTCAATGGCCTTTTGGTATTCCTCGCTCACAGTTGGGTAACACTTCGTCATTTTCTCTGATTTTTAACAAAAACAGAATCATATTAAGTAATAAGTTCATATAAAATAAAATCATTTCCAAATTCAGATCCAAACTCAGATCGGAAATCAACCTTTCTAAATGTTAAGCAATCGAGAGTTCGATGAAATTAATGAATAGGAAAAACCCTAAAACCACCACTTAATGGACACGAGCTGAGCACAAGCACTCTGGTGAAAGGGGAAGATATAAGGGAGAGTGACGACAGCGAAGGTTCTAGTAGACTAATACTAGCCGTTGGATTAGATAAGATCCTGTAGTTGGTGTTTGTTTTGGGATGGACGGCTTTGATTTCGGGTAAAATTTATGATGCACGGTTGTGCTTGTGGGTGGTTGGACTTATTACAGAAAAAAATTGTCTTCTTTTTTTTTATTTTTTGGAAGAAAAGCACAGTCAAGATTTTATTGGAGAAATCGGATTTTGGTTTTTTTATATATTACCAAAAAGACGATTGCCCAGTAACATTGGAAATTTTTTTTAGCAAAAGGTCAATTGGATGATTTTTGAAATGACGTATTTGTCCTTATAACGAGTAAAGGAGATTTAAGTTCGGTTTATTTCGTATAAAATAATTTTTGAAAAATATTTATATTTTTTCAATTAAAATTTTTTTTTTATTTGGATGAGTCAATAAAAAATATTTTTATTAATTTTTTTAAAATAATATTAATATAATTATTAAAATATCATAATTTATTTATTATCAAAATATATTAAAATTATTAATATTAAAAAATAATTACATTTTAATAATAATATTTAATATTAAAATATTTTATTACTATAAAATTTACTTAAAATAAAACTATTTATTATTCTTTATATTATTTATTAATATAATATAATATTATTTATAATAATATTTACTAATATATTATATTAATAGTCTATTATTTATTAATAATATTATTTATTCATATATTATTATAATATTTATTAATTAAATTAATAGTATTTATTAATATATTATATTAATAGTATATTATTTATTCATATAATATTATTTATTAATATATTGTAATATAATATTATTTATTTATTAATATGATATTATTTATAAGTAAAATTATGCTAAAAAATATAAATAAATAATTATACTCATCTACAATTTTTTTTTCAAAAATAATTTTTATTTTCAAATCCTTAAAATAATATTTAAAAAAATAATATTGTTTTTATTGATAAGTAAATCATTTTTTGTTAACCAATTAATTTTTTACTAAATAAACATCTAAAAATATAAAAATTATTTTTTACGAAATAAATTGATTCTTAATTTGTTGTGTTTTTTATTACATAAGCTCTCCCTAAGATTTGAGTCATTGCCTACATGTTTGTTATGGATCACATGATCATATGGTAATCTTGTGAGATTTTTACCCTAAATGAAAATTTTGTGGTTGATGATGATTTTTTGCGTTTGGGAAATGTAAATAAAGTAATCAAAATATTCGTTTTAATTATATTTATATTTAAATAGATCATACTGATAATATTATTTTTATTGTTATTTCTCAATTTCAAATTATAAAATGGCGATTGCAACACTGAACAGCCGCATGAAATGGCAAGCAGCGGTGCCTTTGTCATTTCTACTATTAAGTAAATTTTTGTCGATTTTAATTCCGTGGAAAATGTAGGCGTTCAAGTGTGAACACGTTCAGAGAGAGAAGATTCCGTTGGAGGAATGATAACTGTATCGGGCGAGTCACGGGAACGTTTATCACCCGCCTATTTGCCTATTGGCCGAAAGGAAATACACTGCATGCGGATTCTATCGTCTTCTAGGCTCTTTACAAGACCAAAAGTCGCAAAATCCTATTGGTCAGGGACTCGAGCGTTTCCAATCGGTGTTTGCCACGTAGGGGACAGACTTTCAACCAAATAAAGCCCCCCCCCCCGATGACACAGCCAATCGAAACGCAATTGGCGCCTGTTTTATGCCACTTTGCACGTTGATCTATTAAAAAATATGTTTTTTAATAAATAAATTTAAAATTTTTGAATATTATTTTTAAATATTTTAAGATAATATTGATTATCCACTATCATTATTATATTATTTTTAATGTTTTAAAATTATATCAACTTTAAATTACTTTTTCTAAAATAATGACAATTTTGTCATTAAATCATGTTAAAATTGGGTAAAAAATTTTTATTACTACTATATTTTAGAAGTAGTTAATTTTTATAGAAGTTAATTAATTTATCTTAAATGATTATAATTCACAATAAAATTCATTTTATAGTTAAAATTTTAATTATTTTAAATTGATTATGAAAATTAATAAAAATATTTAAAATTATTAGTTTTAGATTTAATTAAAAGTAAATTAATAATTTTTAGATAAAGTAATAAAAATCTTTCTAGCTAGAGACACCTATATTTTATCAGCTTAGGACAAATTCAGAGAGTAAACAAAATATGTGAACATAATAAAAAAGAAAGTGATGGAAAGAAATTACTTTAACTATAAAAAAATGGATAGTTTTTTTTAGTTGAATGCCAGGATAATTTTAAAAATAAAAATAATTTTAAATTTTAAATTCTCATATTAAATGATAAATTATAAATATCATTCACTTTAATTTTTTTCTTAAAAAGCATTTGTAGTTTTGGTCATTTATGAAGAAAAGGGATCTTTGAAAAATAATGAACATTTTTTTATGGATATTTATACAAAAACGTCGTTATCCTAAAGAGATTGTCGGTCAACGAAAATACACAAAAAGAAAAAAAAAAAAATCGTGATGCAATGTGAAAAAGGAATATGCCTTACAAGGCGTCAAACCTCGTGATTATTAGTGGTCAATAAATGTAGGTCCACGAAAAATACCAAGATTAGCTTTGTACTTTTATACTTCCTTAAGTTATTATTTGTGATTTTTTTTAAACCCATTTTCAAATTTTTACCAATTAAAAACAAGCAAGTAAGTATTGATTATTTTTTAAATTAATTGATATTTTAAAATTACAAATTTTAAAAAATTTAAATATGTAATGTCTTTTTTAATTATATTATAATAAAATAAAAAATTTAAAAATAAATTAAAAACTTCAACAACAAAAAAAAAGCAAGTAACAACCGAATCATTTTTAACTAAATATTAAATAAACCGTCTTAAATCTTTCTTATTATAATTTTTTTTTTTCAAGTAGAGACCAATGTTTCATTTTATATCCCGTTTCCTTGCCATTGCTTAAAAAATGTCAATGTTATTCCTTTTAATATTTATCAATAACTGTCATTTTAAAACTGTGAAAATGGAAAAGTCTAAAGACGATAATGAATGGTTAGAAGCTAATGTCACACGAAAATTTATTTAATACAAAAAAAAAAAAAAAACAGTTACTAATGAAAATTTTCAAATTTTCCACTTAGCTGTTTTAGAAAAATCGCATGAGAGAAGAGAAAATTGGAAAAAGAAAAGCTATATTTTTACTTTTTCAATTGAGTAATTATGTTAAATGATAAGTTATATGTCATAATTTAACATTTACAGTGTTTTAAAGTCATAGATGACCGGCCAATGACCCAGGAATTTGTCCTTCATTTTCCAAAAAAAGGGCCAAATATGAACGTAAATATTCTTTCGTTCAGAGTTCTTAAACTTCCAAAGTTCAGACGGGCCGCAAGAAGACGGGCGTCGAAAACCACACAAGAAAGAAAGCATGACAAAGAATTTTGATCTGTTTTCATGAAGTTTTTTTCTGTTATAAAAAAAATAATAACAACTACAAGAAGAAAAGGAAGAAAGCTCACATTGGACTAGTACTTTTCTGGATGGCCCGAATGATCAAGTAGACCTGGCTGGCCCTGTTTGATCCATTCATTTCGGTTCTCAAGCCCCATTAAGCACACAGGTAAGTAACCCGTAAAATTTTTGTTGGCCCAGCATCGATCTTTGCAATATTTTCCAGTGCCCATTAATGTATAGGAGTCAACTCAAAACACAATTGTAGAAATTGTAGCAAGAAGTTCGGTAGAAATAACAGCTTCAAGAGTGCTTCTTTCTTTAGCAACAAGAGATTTTCTTCTTCTTTAAAGGCCTGTACTTGCATGTGGAAGATGATCAGATTGTTCAAAAGAAACCATAGTGAAACTGGGATGTATTTTTTTTATTTTTTTGGCCTAGAGTTGACGGCAGTTATCAACCTTGAACTCGAGGAGCTGACCACGAGTTCCCGGAGTGGTGGGATGCAATGTCAGGGGCATTGATGTCGAATCGAAAGAAGGTTTCCCAGTTCATTGCAACAGTCATCCAACATGGATTCTAAGTCCGATCATTGATGTCTGGACAGCTATATGACGCAGCGTCTGTTGCTATGCCTTGAAATGCATTACTGTTATTCTCTCCAGTACAGAGTGTCCCTGGATGAGACCATGACCATGCCTCTGCCTCTGGACTATGAATATGCATCACCAATGATCTGTTTCAATTCTTCAGTGCTTCCATTAGACTGGGATTTCAAGTTCGATTAAGAAACAAGGATACTTTCATCAATAGATACGTCAGGAGTTCATTGGCCTCAATCAGTATGTGTAAACCATAAGCTCATACATGCCGAAGGAATTCAGCAGCAAAGTTTCTTGGACATAAGATAGTGATATAAAATGTCATATAAACAAACATTTAAAATAGCGACTAAAGATAGCAAATATAAGAACAAATTGTTTTTCTTTAGTTCCCATATCTTACAATGCCCCGATAAATCATAGCACATATATAATAGAAACCTCTTAATAATTTAAGGGTGTGTTTGGTGCATAAAATTATAATAAGATAAGATAAAATGATATTATAAATATAATTATATTAAATAATGTCACATTATCTTGTGTTTGATGTATGCAAATATTATTATAAGATAATTTTTTATGTTGGTCAAAATTATTCTTCGTTAAATTTTATACAATTTAAATTATTAAAATAATTTTTTATGATATAATAAAATATATAAATTTAATTCATAAATTAAAAATAATAGTCTTTATTTTCAGCCCAATAAGAAACAGCAATGACCATAAACATGAAAATGGCAAAATGTACCATGCATTAATCGTAAATATTCCATCGTCTGTAAAACTAATAGCAATTTATCAATCTTCAATCTGAAATAAAAACTATAAAAGAAAACCTGTACCTAGCAATATCTGATAGGTTTCACTCTCCTGAAAAGCATACCCAGAAAAATTACATTTATCAAGATTCCTTCTTAACGAATGAAGATCTACCATTTTAATCCTATTTTCAAGCATTGTAATTGATATCCGTAGATGGAGAAAGTTCAAGCTTGGGCACAGTAGGGCAAACCATGTGAAGCTTATGGTACAAGAAGAAGTGTTGTGTTATAGTTACCTCAACAAATCCATCATATCTAGGGTAGGACACAGCAACAATCCATGAGCATAACAGATACAACAAGCCTCAGCACAATTAGAGGACATGAATGCACAAGAGTGTCGTTTATTTTTTATTGATCCAAAAACACAAAATGTGTAGTTTGTTATCAGGAAAGTCAAACAGTAGCAACAAAAGCATTAATCATTCATCACTAACATGAAAGTAGAGGCAATGCATGCGTGAGACAGCAATTTCTGTTTCAGAAAGAGTTAAATCAGTTTTAACAACTTAAACATTAAACCATATCATAAAAGGCAAAAGGCCATGCATGCATGAGACGTGTAATTTCCATTCCAGAAAAGTTAAACTAGCATTAAACAACAGAAAATGTCATGAAAGTTATAGGTTATGCATGCAAAATACGTGTAATTTCAAGGTCAGAAAAGTTAAAATTAAATCAGTGCTAAGAACATGTGCATTCAACTGTACCATTGAAGGACAAAGATTCAACTCGTTCACAGGCAAACTAAGCCCTTTTCTTCAAGCTGGAAATCAAACTAACTGACTCAACATCATGATTCTCCAACTTTACTTCTATGTATAGAAACAGCAATCTATGAGCAAAAGGAAGCATAGCAATGTGAAAGCAAACTTTATGAAAGAATTCATGCATCCTCAAAACAGGTAGAAAGCTCAATTAATTCACAAAAAATATTGATTAGCCACATAAAAACATGATATCAGTCAATTGATGATCAAGTCAGATCGAACTGAAACTGAAGGTAAAATAGATTGAAACCAAATATGACATTTTCTAATTTGTATTGCCATTTTTTTTTTTTGCCCACAATGTTCAAAAACCAATGGCAATCTTAATAAATCAGTGGGCAATGGTTGCCTGGTTCCAATCAAAGTGCACATGACATAATGGGGTTTTCGGGAGAAAATAAGATCTTCCCCCTCCCTATTTTCAGTTTTTATCATTTCTAAAACAAGTTAAAATTCAATAATTGTTAAAAAATATATATATATAAAAAAAGGGTCTGTGAATTGATATGAATTGATTTTAGAAATTTTAGTGAGTTATACCCATTGACCAATCACTGTTACAGCACCGCATAGATAATGAAATGTGCCCCGATAATCAAAGACCTCCCATCCAATCAAATAAAAAAATAATAGTGCTATGTTCATTAATATATATATATATGTATATACACAAAAGATAATAGACTTTTTTCACTTATTAATACATCATTAGAATATATTTACATGTGAAAAAAAGGTGATTTAGAATTCAAATTTTATTTCAATTAATTTATAAAATTATCTTAAAAAACTATATTTAATAGATTTAAAATTAAAATTCCAATACCCTTATTTTGATAAAAAATTTTATAAAATGGAGAGTTTTTATTTGGGCACAATACTATTCCTTTTATTGCCATGTATTTTATACATTTGTTTAAAAGAAAATTTGTGACCACATATTTTAAAATACAAAGGGATTAAAAACCCCCCTTCCAAATAAAAAAATTTATAAAAAAAATTATCAGTAAAGGCAAAAATTTGGGAATTTAAAATTTTTTAATAAACAACCAATAGCTTATCTGTACATATTCTTGAAATTATTTGCCAAAATCGTGGGTGTTAAATTCAAATATTTCTAAAAATTTTAAACTTTAAATTTAGGCTAACATTGTATTATTAGTTGGTGAGTTAGTGTGACGTATTATTATGTAAATAATGTGCAAACATACCCTAATGTACAAACTAACATCAGTATTTTATTTTTTTATAAAAATTAAAAAACAAATATATATATATATATAATACCTTAATTTTTAACAAATTTCGTTAGCTTTATATTTAAATGTTTAAACACTTTTTAACTAACTTTTTTAAAAACTTTTTAAATTTAATCATTAAACATTCATCGATATCTAATTTAACTATAAAATTATTGTAACTTGTATATGTAATATACTAATTGTGTTTTTTTCTTATAAATGGTAACATAATTTTCTTATTTTTTATTGGTTTACCTCATTTTATTTTTTATTTTTTATAATTTTCAAACTTAAAAAAAAATACTGGCCTAAATTTCATAAAAACTCATAAACTGACAACAACACACAGAAAATAAATAAATAAATAAAATTTCCTCCGAGGTGGGTCCCTTGGGGCAATAAACAAATGGAAGGTGGGACCGAGGATTTAGATCAAACGGTTGAAATCTATGGCCCACTGATACACATATCAACGTGGCGCTCATCGGAAATATCACGACCAAACCCAAGAGAAGAGTGGGACCCTTGCTAAACAGAACCAGAGTTGAAGGAAGAAAAAAAACTCGACAAAACTGGAGAAGGCAATGGCAAAATCCCGTAATAAAAAGAAATCCAAGGGCAAGATTAGGAAGTTCACAATATTTAAATGACAGCGATGCAGAAGAGAAAATAAAAAAATAATAATAACAAAAGCCAGCAGCCAAATAAGCCAACCAAAAATCCGAAAGAAGCCTCTCCTCTCTTTCTATCTCTTTTAAAGGCTCTCTTTTTTTTCTCTTCTTTCTCTACATTTCCTCTTGGTGTTCTCTTGGTGGTGGTGTTGTTTGTTCTTCTCTCTTTATCGCCAAACTCATCTTCACAGATTCGTCCTCTTCTCGATCCCCCAGGCCTCACCTTAACTGTAAGTTGTTTCGCTCTCTGTCTCTCTCAATCTGAAACCCTAAATTTCCAATTCTGCGCATTGATCTTTTTTTTTTTAATTTCAAGATCCCCGATTTATTTTCTCCAATCTGAATTACGAAGTCTTAAATCATCGAGAGTCTTTCTTTTTTTTTGTTTTTTGGTTTCTTGATTTATTCTATTGCATATAGTTAACTATTGATTAGATATTATATGGGGAATTTAGTTGTTAATTTTTTGTTGGAGATTTGATTAGGTGGCTTCGGTAGGTTGATCTGCTAAGCGGTCGAGGTTTATTTTGGTAATTCCTTTTTTTTTTTGGGAAAATTTGGGGTTTTAGATTATTAAAGTAGGGAATATGGATTTCTAGGGTTTGATTTGGGATTTACCTAAATTAAGTGTAAGATTTTGATTTTGGTATTTTTTGCAATCAGATTGGGATTTTCGAGGGTTTTGGTAATTTTAATGGAATGATTAAATAAAATTGTGAAGAATTTGTTGATTAATTCAATTGAGGTTTTATTGATGCTGCTTGTAGAGTATTATAAGTACTCTTTGTGATTATTTGTTTGTTTTGGGGATTTAGGCAATCATGAGTGACGAGGGAGAAAAGACCTGCCCTCTTTGCGCGGAGGAGATGGATTTGACTGATCAGCAGCTCAAACCTTGCAAATGTGGTTACGAGGTTTGAAGAAAATTACTCTTTTATTTTCTCTCTAAAAGTTGTTTGGCAATTCAAATCAGAAAAATAAGTAAAAAAGATAGTAAAAGTGAGAGAGTGGGAAAAGGGAGGAGAATTGATGTGTGTCATAGGCGTTATCTCTGTTGATCTTTTTGGCAGATATGTGTTTGGTGTTGGCATCACATAATTGATATGGCTGAGAAGGATGAGACAGAGGGGAGGTGTCCAGCATGTCGCAGCGCATATGATAAAGAAAGGATCGTAGGGATGGCTGCTAATTGTGAGAGGTTGTCACACTCCCCCAGATTTTGTTCTCATTAAAATATTTCAATATTTACCTGCCATTGTTTCTTATTTATTTTTCTAAGCAGGTTGGTCTCTGAAATTAATTTGGAGAGAAAAACTAAGTCACAGAAGGCAAAAATGAAATCATCTGAAGGAAGGAAGCAACTGAGCAGTGTGCGAGTTATTCAAAGGAATCTTGTTTACATAGTTGGATTGCCACTTAATCTGGCTGATGAAGATGTGCTCTTTCTTTCAATCCTTCATAAATGCATTTTCAAGCTAACTGTTATATTTGTCTCATCACCTAAACATGCATCTGTTTTCATCAGCTTCTCCAAAGGCGAGAATATTTTGGTCAATATGGGAAAGTTCTAAAAGTATCTATGTCTCGAACTGCAGCTGGTGTCATTCAGCAATTTCCAAACAATACATGTAGTGTGTAAGTGCAGAAATCTCATGGATTTGGTGTTAAATCTTCCTAATATTAAGATGTACTTGTTTGTGTATTGGATCTTTAATAGAATCATTTTATATTATGTAGTTGGAGTTCATTGGAAAGGAAAATCTAACTTATTATTTTGAAGACTTTTGTCTTCCTGCCTTTTTTGTAGTTCTCTGTTATTTAGTATTTTCTTTTTTAACTTGCATTTGTTTACCCTGTCTACAGATATATTACTTTCTCAAAAGAAGAGGAAGCAATTCGATGTATCCAGTCTGTACATGGGTTTGTCTTGGAGGGTAGACCTTTAAAGTACGAGAATATGTTTATGGAGGTTATTTCTTTTGTTAGTGGTTGGATGCATACTTGGTCTTGGTTATCATCTCTAATACTTGGAATATTCATCACAGGGCATGCTTTGGTACAACAAAATATTGTCATGCATGGCTGAGAAATGTGGTATGTTTAGAAGTGATTTTTGGTTGATTTGTTTTATAAGTTGAAGAAATTAATTTATTTATTGATGCTAGGTTTAGAAAATAGTATGTGAAATGTAATTGAGGTTTTCTTTGGGGGGGGGGAGGGGAATTCAGCCTTGCAGCAATCCTGATTGTCTATATTTGCATGAGATTGGTTCTCAAGAGGATAGTTTCACAAAAGATGAGATTATATCAGCATACACAAGGTATATTCATTTTGAGTTTGCTACTGTATTTATAGTTGTCATCTCCATTTCCTCTTTTATCTTATTTTTATTTTGTTGAGTTTGCATGTGACTTTCTTTGTGAGACGAAGAAAACCAACTTGTAGTTGCTTTCTGGTTCAAATGTATGCATGCATGCATCAATTATAAGTCCTCCGTTCTTCTTTTATTAGTAAAAGCCAATTAGAGCTGTCATATATCTATGTTATTGTTATTGTAGCCCCCTGCCAATAGTGCTATCATATGCCTACAGAAAGCTTTTTTGCTGAACTATATACCCAAAGGGAAGGATGATAGAATGGCATAAATATTGGGAAGCTAACTCCTTTAAAAGACTTTTTGGCAGCTTTCATTTCTATTCAACCCAATTTGATTTCTTTGGCTTGTGGATTACTGTATCTTTTGATGACTCTTCAAAAGGATTATGTCTTCTCATTGCTGCATCTTGGATCCTCATCCTTTTTTTTGCAATCACCAACCGTCAAAAAAATTTTTCACTTTGAAAAATGGGGTTAAGCACTGTAGTCCTTGCTATCCAAATCAAAATTTGGATTAGTTGGGTCTGTTTTTAAATTTTTATTTGCATTGTTTCAATTCTAAGCGTGCAATCCAGGTTCTCCATGAATTTTGAGTAATGTCTTCTCTTGGTTGATTAATAGACTTACTTAGTTGTTTAAAGGAGTAGGGTTCAACAAATAACTGGTGCAACAAATAATATGCAACGGTGTGCTGGGAATATGTTACCTCCACCAGTGGATGATTATTGCCCCACCAGCTCTGCTTCCGCAGCAAAACCCATTGCTAAAAGTACTCCAAATGTAAGTTCACGTTTTTCAACTTCCAAACAAAAACAGCAAGTTAAATTTACATGAAAAAATTAGGAAAATAATGAAGTTATGTTCTACATGCAAGCAGACCTCCAAGCTTGTTAATTGTTTGTTTTTATCTTGGGTCATTACAAGAAGAATTTGTCGAACAATAGGGTGGGTGGGTGGGTTGAGATGGGCATGGGTTAAACCTCCTTGTATGCTTGGCCTTGTTTCCTGCACCTGAGTCTGGTTGTGATTTTGTATGTGGTACAGAATACAACAGTGAGCATTCCTAAAGGTTCTCCCCCGAATGGAAGCCTTGGAAGATCTATTGCTCTTCCTGCTGGAGCATCATGGTATGTCTTAATTTGTTTTCTTTTGTTTTGTTAATTTCTGGTGCTAAAAATTCTGAATCTCACGCCAGGGGAATGCGTGCCTTAAACAAGCCACAATCGGCCGGTTTAGCATGTTCAAATGGACCTACTAAGCAGAAATCTGATACAGTTAGCAGCACATTTCCATTTTCATCTGCAGTAACAAGCACAAATCAAGCTTGTACATTACATGGTGATGTTATAAAGAAGTCATCTGAGGAGATTCATGCTATGCATATGAAGGGTAAAACTGATTTGTTAAAACCTTTAAAGCAGGATGCTGGTTTAGATTGTCGAACTACTGCACTAGAGAAACCTGCTTCACCCGATGGAGTTTCTGCTTCTAAATCATTGAGTAGCCAGTTATCTTGTCCACCAGTATCACATTATAATGGCCAGGGCACTAATATACCATCAATTGTTACAAGCTCCACCTTTGACCATGGTGGGCAGTCTTTAATTTCCTCTAGTGAGAAAGCAGGGAGTATTTCCTCTACTTATGGTAAGATACAGAGCTTGTGCTCTGATATGTCAACATTGACCTTAGATAGGAATGTCTTAAATGAACATTCTGATGTAGTTAGACCAAGCAGTTCAGCTTCTGATCATGGATCAAGCAGTTCAACTAGTAGTCAGGGGTTGCAACAATGTTTTACTGAGCACTGTAGAGAACCTTTGAGTGCAAGAGCCACTGGGAGATCTGTGACATCTCCCAATGGCTTGTTTGTTTCAAAAGAGCAGTCTGATTGGAGAACTGATACACAAACTCAAACAGTGGCAAATACAAGTTCTGAAGTAGAAGAAGATATATTGTCTTTTGATAATCAAAGACTGAAGGATCCAGAAGTCATTAGCCGTTCAAGTTATGTGCCAAATTCACCAGTTTCACTCCATTTATCAAATCATTCTAGGTCCTGTTCAGTGCAACATGGTGAGACTTTTGGCACTTCTAATTTGAATGCTGATACTCTTTTTGTAGATAAAGTTAGTGACAGTTTACGTCTTCATGGATCACTTCATGGATCTAGTATTTCTTCTATATCAAATGGATACCCTGAGAAGTACATAAGCAGTAGTATTGGTTCTGATATTACTGCAAAAGGCTCCCTTCTGCTATCAAATGAAGGGAAAGGGAACCAGATGGGAAGATTCTTTGGTAATGCCACAAAAGAAACAGGAGAGAGCAGCATAATTTCAAATATATTGTCGCTAGATTTTGATACTTGGCATGAGTCCCTAGCTTCACCGCAGAACTTGTCTAAGTTTTTGGGTGACACTGACAGGCAGCCCAATTCTCTCAAATTATCTAGTTCCTGGAAAGCACCGAATAACAATCAGTCCAGATTCTCATTTGCGAGGCAGGAGGATTCTAAGTATCATCCGTTTGATGTTGAGTCCTCATTTAGTGTTTTCAGGCAAATGCCACAGAACCGCCCATCTAGCCAAGATTTTGCAGAAAACAGGGATCTCTATCTAAATAAGTTTGGAGTTTCTAATGGTTTTTCTTCCGGTAACTTTGAGGGATCTGACAATTTTACTAGCAGTCCTTCAGTTTTCTCTTCTAACAAGCTTTCTGGTGAGTGTCTAGGAATTAATCTTTTCCTACTATCTTAGTTCAATCCTGTTAGGGAACTTGGTGAACTTTACACTTGTCTGAATGTTGAGTTGAGTGTTATCTGTTGTTTATTAATAATAATCATGCAACAAGCATGCTCATAATGTGATCTTTAACACCATTATGGATAACTTAGTTTGTTGTAAATAAATTTTTTATTTTGTATGCACTGTTCCATCTTCTTCTCCTGAATTGTTTTTTGATTTCTGAGTACACCAAGCGACTTTTTTTCTTTTGTACTTTTTTTCTGTCTACACTGAACATTGTTTCTTAATTTTTCATGCAAATTTTCTTTTAGATTTTTGTCCAAGTTTGGTTTTGATTCAGTTCATACTGATCCTTTTTTCAATGTTGTGTAACAGTTTCAAGAGCTCAAATTTCTGCCCCTCCTGGATTCTCTGTTCCTAGCAGGTCACCACCTCCTGGCTTTTCTTCTCATGAGAGAATAGACCATGGTTTTGACTCCACATCTGGTAAATTCCCTTTTTACTTTCTTGCTCACAATCTTTGAGAGTTCCTTTCTGGCAAATTAATGTTGACTGCTCTATGTTTAGGAAATCATTTGATGGACCCTTCATCCCTGTTAAGAAATTCTTATCAGGCTCCGGCAAGTGGGGGTAATGGTGGCCCTGGGGATATAGAATTTATGGATCCAGCAATTTTGGCAGTTGGCAGGGGTAGACTTCAGGGAGGGCTCAACAATTCAGGCTTAGACATGAGATCAAATTTTCCACCACAGTTAGGTCCCTATGAAAATGAGGCCAGATTTCAACTATTGATGCAGAGATCTCTTTCTCCTCATCAGAACCTAAGATATGATGTTGGGGGTAACTTTTCTTCTCTTAATGAATCTTATGGAATTTCTTCAAGGCTAATGGATCAATCACGAGGGAACAATATGTCCCCATTTGGACAGTTGCCTCTCCAACAGTCAAGAAATTCACATATGTCAAATGGTCATTGGGATGGATGGGATGAGGTCCAGGATGGAAATGGTCTTGGTGTTGCAGAGTTCCTCAGAAATGAGAGACTGGGATTTAACAAGTTTTATTCCGGTTATGAGGATTCAAAGTACAGGATGCCTAATTCGGGTGATCTGTATAACAGAACATTTGGAATGTGATCTATGCTAAGAAGTCGAATGATTTTGTGCAATCTTAGTTGCGTGTTGAGGATGGATTGTTGACTTGTAAGTTGTCTCCTTGGGCAGCCTCATGAAGGATCAAACTCCCGAAAAATTTAGCCAAAAGTTGGTGTCTTCAAATGTGCAAGGTAACGAGGAAATATTTCAAGTTATTATTATTAATAATATTTCTATGCGTGTCTATTGTTGTCTGCACCTGAATCCTTGCAAAGGGTTGTATATATATTGGGTTAATTGATTGGGGTTTCCTCTAATATTGCAGGTTAAGTGAGATTCTGCTTCTGATAAAATGATCTAAAATTAACTAGCCTCTCCTGATGCTGAATGTTTTGCTACTAATGACCTCTGACAACTAAATAGAGATATGAATTGTGGAATCCAGTTCTAGTCTTTTTTTTCTGTTTTTGGGGCGTGCTATACTCCTACAGAGCGTTAACATCTTCAGATATTAATTAATTTAATTATTTAATTAGAGTTAGTATGATGTGTTTCAGAGATGGATTTACACTGGCAGCTATGGCAAGCTAGTTTAAGAATATCTTTTGGTCCTAGAAAAATCTCACTCTAAATTGGGCTTGTTAAATTATTGGGTGAATAAAATGATATTATTGAGGACATTTGAGAACAAAAACCGAAATATGTATATTAGTGTTAATCCAAGGTTTAGGTTCTAATAGGCCGGTATGTAAAGTAAAATATTTATTAACTAGTACCATGCAAGAATTCCAAATTCATTGTTGGATTTTGGATGACCATTTAATTTGCAGGCAGGCCTGTTTTAGGACAACTCACGGTTAAAAGGGAACAAGAGAACAGTTTCCTTTTCCTTTTCCAGTGCATGTGTTTAGGTTTCTTTTTTTTTTTTTTAAGTCGCATGTCCCACGTCAGAATACACGGATGAGAAAGGAATTTGATTAGGCGAAACATTTTTAGTGGGGTACTGGAAAACTATTTTGTGTCTATCCTCAAAGCAGTCGGGACTACAACCAAAATTGTAGATGCCAAACACAACAGGTTCTCTGTTGTCAATGGCCAAAAACCAAAAAGAAACACGTTATCTATTTGGGGTGAAGCAACATAAAGACGACAGGTGGCTTCACTATTCCTAAACAGAAGTACTTGAAGTGACTAAACTAGCACCATCAACAAATCACAGCTAGTGCTGGGTAGGGCTTAAAGGATTGGAATTCAATTCATCATTCATGGCTTAGTTGAGTTGCGCCCCTTTTTTAAAAGCTGACTTACCCTCTCACCATCTCTCTCCACTGATTATTATCAAAACCAAACAAACAAACATAAAAGAAAAAAAAAAAGAAAAAGGAAACGTGTGGTACTCTAAATCCACATAAATTTTAAAAAAGAGAACAGCTTCCCCATCAATTTGGGTGTCTCATTTAATGCCACACAGTAAATGGTTTGTTAAAAAAAAAAAGAAAGGATCTTAAAAAATCAAAATGGAACCCCACTCTCCTGTAAAGTGCGAAAACCCCCTTAGCTTAGCCCTTAGCGCCCAAAAAAAACCAAATCCCATACTGAATGGAGAGGGGGACCATTGGAAGAGCAATGAAGATCCAACTGGGCTTTGGGTCCACCACGTGTCCCGAACCCTTCAATCATCAGTCGGAGAAACATAATAGTAATATTGTCTTTATTTCCTTTTTTTTTTTTTTTTCATGGGATTGTTATGAGAAGGGATAATTCGAGGAAAGAAAATAGGATGTTGAATTTTAAATTTATATATTTTTTAAATGTGATTATATAAATTAATTTAACTAAATTTTAGATCTTTGCCTTCTCTCATTTTAATTACTAATAATATCTCAGATATTTCATCCTTTTACCCAAAGTTACTCATCTTTTACCTTCAATATTTCACAATGCATCACCAACATATTAATTGATATCTTTTCGTAAGAAAAGTAAGTAGTTGAGAGAATCCATTCTATAAATGTTAAGAGTCTTAACTTTATATAGTTGAGGGTCCATTTTTTATTTATCTTCTATGATAGTTAGAGTTGTCAAATATTAAATTTTACCAATTCACTAAGCAACTTAAACAGTACAAAAAATAATGCATTTCACGTGGAGTCCTAGAAGCTTCACTAATAATAGGTCTCTCATTCACTAGGGTGGAAACATTCACTTTAGCCATGGACAAACGACAAAGAAAAATCCAATTTTCTAGATATCTTGTCCTTAATTTTCATAGCCTTGTTTACAGGTACATGATTCAAGGAAATTTTCAACTTTTGAATATTTGAGTAAACCTTTTCTTTCTTTTTTTTTTTTTTCCTTTGAATCTAGTGCTTGGATTATCTCAAGATTCATGAGGATAGTCTTCCCTTTTTTATTAACAAGCATGGGTTCATCGAAAAATTGAAGGCTTTTAAATAATTCGCCTTCTAATATTCTTAAGCTTTTAAAGTGACAGAGGGCTTGGGCCAAATAAGTCTAAGATCTAATTTAGTATTGTGGTTAAATGTAGTTTTTATGTTTAAAAGTTGTTTTTGACTCAATTTTCAATGTTAATCAACAAAAAATACAACTTTTCAATTTAAAAGTTTAATTTTGCAATTAAAACAAAAAAGTTACTCAATATGTACTTCTGTGACCAAAAAGTATTTTTGAAATATAAAATTATTATTTTATTCCATTTTTTATATTTTATTATTTTTATTTTTTTAGATATTTCATTTATTCATGGTATTTTTTTTCATAATAATACTAAAAACTTAAAATTTTTAATCATATTTTTATCACACTTTTTTAATTATTTTTTTAGTCTAAACTTTTTTACAACCACAATAACAATGCTAGACTAATCCCAAAATTAAAATTTTTTTTAACTTTGTATTTTAATTTTTCCTTCAAAAACCCAAACTTTATATTTTAGTTCACTTTAGTTTCTAATTTCTTAATTATTACATTTGAATCCTCAACTTTTTAAAGTGGTTCATTTTGATATCCTTTTTGTCACATTGCTCAACTATCAATTGAGAAAAGTATTCATGTGGCATCCTATGCAATCTACAAATAGGATATTATATCAATGTTAACATAATTATTTGATGGAGGGATCAAAATGAAATCATTTAAAAAGGTTAGTGATTCAAATTAAAAGCTAAAGTGAAACCGAAATAACAGGTTTGTTAATGATTACAGATAGAATTTATCCCTCCTAAACCTAAGCCAATTTATGATCAACTATTGCACAAAAGTGCCCTTCACTTTTAAATAATAGTATTTCATTAGAACAATACTTGTCTCCAAATTTAAGGTATCCTGTCCTTCAAGGGTGGGTAACAAGGTTAGGGCTAATTAACTAATTGATCACAGGACTAAAAAAAACGAATGTTGATTTTCATTTAAATGCAAAAATAATTTAAAAAATTCATTCTTTCCATTAAAAAAATTTTAATTAATTATTTTTAGAAATTAATAAATTTATATTCGAGTTTTAATACTTATAATATTTTTAATTTTAGAATTAATTTAAAAAAATTCAATTGGCAAGTAGAGGAAAAGCACATGTCAGTTAGAAGCTAAAATTAAAATCATTTCATACTAACAAGTGATTGACTCGACAAAGATCATCTTTTTTAAATTAAAAATTTTGATTTTGAATTTAATTGATGTTTGTTTATTAAAATTATTTTAAAATGTATGATTTTTAATTATTTATTTTATTAAATTAAAATTTTTGAATTGAAATTTAATTGATAATTATTTATTAAAATTATTTTAAAATATATAATTTTTAATTATTTATCTTAAACTATATAATTTAAAAATTGAATAATTTATTTACGAATTTTTTAATAAAAAAATTATTACTTGAAAAACATAATTAATGTGAAAATGAAGCTTCACAGTTATGAATTTAGTTTCACCGCAAATTTTGAATGCATTTAAAACCTTTTTGACTGAACAACTTTTAATTGAGTATTTTTTTCCTCATAATTCATTGCTTTGCAGTTGGTTTGGTTTTTGTTCGTACGGTTGAGACAGCTTTTTATCTTGATCTAAATTTTTTGGTTTGAGCAAATGTGTTAACCGGCAAGTGGCAGTTGCAAAGTGGAAACAAGAGAGAGATTTTTTTTTTTTTTTCTGTTGATTTGCCAAATCAAAGAAATTGGAAAGGCTTTTACAATAGTAGGCCATGAACATTCACATCAAGATTCATGTGTCTCTACAGTTTGATGTAATGTTTGGAAAATATTTTATTATTTATGTTTACGTGGCTCTTCTCTAACCAATCAAATTCTTATGCCATCCAATGATATGTTTCAAGGTGACATTGGTGGCTCACCCACCCGTTAACTTCACATGATAAAGAAGCATATGCCAATTGCCATTGGTATTTTAATTTCATTTTGCAAAATCATAACCATAATTGGCAAATTATCTTTGGATTGGCTTTTTCCCAATTTCTTTTACAAAGGAATATTTTTTTTTTTCTTTTGGGTGTTAGATTTGAATGACAAAGCAAATAAATATGTTTTAAAAACTCAAAATTTAATTCAATTAATTTATATAATATTTAATAAAATTCAAATTAAAATTTTAACATTTATAATTATTTTTCTTATTTTTATATTATGACTTCTTTATAAAAAAATAAATTAGTTTCCCAAGCCAAGATTGTTGCCATTGAAAAGCAAAGGCAACAACCTTTCCAACGATTGGTGGGTTGCTTTTCCCACTTAACAAAGCAAAGTGTTAAATGATTGCTGGCTGCGGCTGTCCCCTCTATAAGCATTTTAGTTGCATTTGTACAACAATAAATTTGGTAATGTTACGAGGAATAGTACTAAAACAATATAATTTGGATTTTGGAGGGTCCAACAATGCTCAAAATATCTTCTCCCTGAAAAAGAGATCAGGAATTCTTGCTATAGCTGTAAGACTTTCCCCTTCAAGATTTGTACCAAAGGAATCACATTTCAAAATGGAATACACTTCCTATATATGAAAGTTTAAACCCACTGCAGATGTTCTGATAATACACGTGCACCCCATGATAATCAGTAAACAAATTAGGGTCCGACACAACAGAGTATAGTTTTTTAGTTTTATCAAACAAGTCGAATTAATATTTGAATCATCATCATCATCATCATTATACAATTAATCTTTAGGACCAAAGATGTTGTAGCATTGCCACTGAGAACGATGATTAATGTGGCTAAGGTGGTGCCTGCGGCGGCTTCATCTGAAAATAGGTTTGAGGGGTGTTGTTGGCGCTGTGGGTCGTTGGATTGAGAGGTTTTGATGGAAGATTGGCAGCAGAGGGAAGGGTAGCCGAGAATGAGAATCCTGATGATGCTGCAGTCGAGAACAGTGGCATTGGGGTAGCACTGACCCGACCATGCATTTGCCACGCCCAATTGGGGAGACCTTGCGGAGGACCTATTTCAACTCTTTTCACCATTGCTCCTTCCTGCCAAACAAATCAAATTTTGGATTATGATACATTGATCAACCCTGAGGGTT